AGAAGACTAAATCCCCGTAAGGCAGCTGGTCCGGACTCCGTCTCCCCTCACACCCTGAAGCATTGTGCTGACCAGCTGTTTTCGGTGTTCACTGACATCTTCAACACCTCCCTGGAGACATGCCACGTACCAGCCTGCTTCAAGGCCTCCACCATCATCCCTGTCCCCAAGAAGCCCAGGATCACAGGACTCAATGACTACAGGCCCGTCGCCCTGACCTCTGTAGTCATGAAGTCTTTTGAACGGCTTGTCCTGACCCACCTGAAGTCCCTCACCGACCCCCTCCTGGACCCCCTGCAGTTCGCCTACAGAGCCAACAGGTCTGTGGACGATGCTGTCAACATGGCCCTCCACTACATCCTCCAGCATCTGGACTCCCCAGGAACCTACGCCAGGATCCTGTTTGTGGACTTCAGCTCTGCTTTTAACACTATCATCCAGTCTCTGCTGCAGGACAAACTCTCCCAGCTGCACGTGCCCGACTCCACCTGCAAGTGGATCACAGACTTCCTGTCTGACAGGAAGCAGCACGTGAAGCTGGGGAAACATGTCTCAGCCTCTCGGACCATCAGCACCGGTTCCCCCCAAGGCTGCGTTCTTTTCCCCTCTGCTCTTCTCCCTGTACAGCAACAGCTGCACCTCCAGTCACCAGTCCGTCAAGCTCCTTAAGTCTGCGGATGACACCACCCTCATTGGTCTGATCTCTGGTGGGGACGAGTCCGCTTACAGGTGGGAGTCTGACCATCTGGTGTCGTGGTGCAGCCAGAACAACCTGGAGCTCAACGCTCTAAAGACAGTGGAGATGGTTGTGGATTTCCGGCGGAACAGAGCCCCACCCTCCTCCATCACCCTGTGTGACTCCCCCGTCACTATTGTGGATTCCTTCCGTTTCCTGGGCTCCATCATCACCCAGGACCTCAAGTGGGAGCTGAACATCAGCTCCATCACCAAGAAGGCTCAGCAGAGGTTGTTCTTCCTGAGGCAGCTGAAGAAACTCAACCTGCCAAAGACGATGATGGTCCACTTCTACACGGCCATCATCAAGTCCATCCTCTGCTCCTCCATCACCGTCTGGTACGCTGCAGCCACAGCCAAGGACAAGGGCAGGCTTCAGCGTGTCATCCGCTCTGCACAGAGGGTGATCGGCTGCAATCTGCCGTCCCTGGAGGACTTGTTCGCTTCCAGGTCTCTGAAGCGAGCTAAAAAGATCGCGGCCGACCCCTCCCACCCCGGACATAAACTGTTTGTGCCCCTTCCATCTGGCAGGAGGCTGAGGTCCATCAGGACTACGACCTCCCGCCACACGAACAGTTTCTTCCCGTCGGCAGTCGGGCTCATCAACAGAGCCCGGTCCCCCACTGCCTGACTATAACATTCCACCGGTCACTCCCCCTCATACTGCACATGCCACTTTAACTGCAATTCATCACTTTGTCTGTTACTTGTTAGTTAGTGCACTTTATGCTTAATACTTTTCTTTTTAACTTTTTAATATTTAAAATTTGTTTAACTTTATTCCCTTGTTTTTTACTAACCCATAGCCTTAGCCTTATTCTTACTAACCCATTGCATTAGCATTTCATTCCACTTTATTTTATTACCTGTGCACTGTTGTCTTGTCTGTCTACTGTCGCGCACTAACCGCCAAGACAAATTCCTTGTATGTTTGACATATTTTGGCTAATAAAGGTTTCCTGATTCCTGATTAACATGTCATTTGCATGAGGAGGAGGGGGCGGGTCCATGTCTCCACTGAAAAAGGATCCTTCCACCGGCCACCGGAAGAACCTACCACCGACCAATGCAACCTGCCGCTCCGAAAAGGTAACCTGCCACCGACCACCAGAACCTGCCGTCCGGACAAAGGAAGCTACCACCGACCACTTTTCGCACTCGGCGTCACTCCAAATGGGATTCGCGCTGTAGTGCAGCGCACCATCGACCTGTTTAAGGGTAGATGGCGCTGCCTCGACTGCACTGGAGGGAGGTTATTGTTTACTCCTGAAAAGGTGTGCAAAATCGTGCTGGCGTGTGCTGTGCTACATAATGTGGCACAGCTTCCAAACGTGCCTCGACCCCCCCGACGCCGATGTTGGCCCAGACCCTGTCCCCGATCCCCAATCATTGCCGCCAGTCTCTCATCAAGAGGGGACAGCTCCGGTGTCCCCTTTACCCCCCCGTGGCAGACACACTTTGGCTATGGCACACTAAACGCTTTTTTGCATCCACTTTGATGTCAGACCATTTTTTCTTTATTTCGGCCACAGTCCGAGGTTGTGAGGCTGCACAACCTTTCGCCACTCAGGTGCCTTTTTGGCATTAGTAATGCCCATACTGTGCCCTCCAAAAAGCATTTGACTTCTCCTTTCCACCTCGACAATGATAATTTCGACTTCACACTGAGTGAAGTTACGTTTCTTCGTTTTCCTCTCAGTGTTTGCCATGATTTCTCAATCGATGAATATTTGTGGGCGTTCCACAGACTATATATGGGCAACTATGTATGCGTGACATGAAGCCGCAAAAGCTGCGCTGCATTTAGAAGTGATTGTGATTTATTAAGGGAAAACTGCGTAGGACGTGCGGCCACACGGTTTTATAAGTCTGAATATTTCTGTGCGTATGCACGTCCTATGTTTCATCCGCTTCTGGCGCAAATCATACGCAAGCTTTTATAAATGAGGCCCCAGAAGAGTACACTTTTGAGAGTGTCAAGGTAAGAGCCCCCTAATAAGTGTGGGAGAGTCTTAGGCGGTCAGATGTCGGCCATTTTTGTTAATGTTTTTTTATTTTAATATATATCATATTTTATACTTTTTGTTGTTTTTCATGAGGAGGGTTAGGGTTAGTTAATTTGGTCGACGTGGGGGGTTGCGGGTTTTCTTACGGATATAAGGTTAGACAGACTTTCCTCCATCCAATTCAAAATTATATTAGTTGAATTATTAGTTCTTACCTCTTTTTACCAGTTATGTTAACTAAAAGCACTCTGGACATTATCGTTGGTTAATGGCCCTGTCATTGCCGAAGTTCTCCCTCTATGATGTTGTGGTGGTAATTAACACAGTACCATGGTAGAGGCTAAGCCTACGCTTTAAGCCACTGAGGCATTTCGTCCGACAGCCCTAATTGACGCGCCGCTGTTCGTCCCAGATGAATGACAGTCCTGCAGCCTTTGTGCTGTTTAGTCCCTTTATTTTTCCAACTTTTTTACCATACCGTTATAACCATCCACCCAGCGTGTGTAACGTAGCACTACCCAGCATGTGCGCCCAGCATGTGCGGTCAAAAACTGTTTGGCTATTCTGGTTGGAAACACCTGACGAGCCCCCATAGGTTCCTCCCCTATATAGGCTAAACCAGCCCCATCAATCAGCTCGTTACATACATCAAAATTGGCTCTTACAACCATCCAATACTGAAAGGGTGAAATCAGCTTTCAACTGAACACAGCTGTTTAGGTATTAGTTAGATAATAAATAAAATTGACTTTTTTAAAGAGAAAATGGAAGGTTGATGTCACGAATATATACACTCTTCACAGTAAACAGTACACAATTTCACAGTAAATTAACGGTATTTTACTGGCAGCAAGGACGCCAGGAATTTACTGTTATTTTACGGTATAATACCGTAAATGTTTTTTACACTATGTTACCGTAAAATGGATTACTCTATGTTACCGTAAACTTGAATGAATTTTACTGTGAATTAACTGCAATTTACTGGCAGTCGACGCTAGTAATTTACTGTTTTTACAGTGCCCTACCGTAATTTACGGTATATTGTCGTATATTGGATTAAAGTTTGTTACCATACGATTACTGTTTTTGTGTAAATACCAGAATGTTACCGTTTACTTATAACCGTATACTTTCGCATTTAATTCCCCACAAATGAAAGAAAGACAACCAAACTCATTTCGGTCATAGTGGTTGGAGTTTATTAGATGCCTTTAATAAAAAAATGTTAGGCCTTTGTAACCAAGAACAAAACATAAAATATGCCGCATGTTTACAATAATAAAAAAATGAATCATAAAATCATTGGGAAGAAGGTAAACTAACTGCAATAATATGCTATGGAACACTTTCAATTGACCGCAACAAACGGCTGGCGTCCTTAATCCAGTGCCTCTGTAAAACAAACCAAAATTAAATATTTAGAAACACTGTCATTGGTAAAATATTAAAATGACAAAGTTGAGGAAGACAACAAGATGTAAGGAAAGAGAATGAAAGAGCATGTTAATCATGCCAGGCAAATAACACTTACCAACGTTACTTAGAGAGACGAGGCAATGAGAAACTCCTCCGATGTTGAACTGCACTGACAGGTGTTCTGGATGAACTAAGATTACGCGTCTGACATCACGTTCAGGAGCAGTCGGTCACGATTAACACTCAAATGACTTTTAGGTAATGAACACTTTGAATAATACAAATATTTATAATCTTTACATTCCGGGCCACTGAAACGACAGCGAAGGCGGTCCATGGGATAGGGAGGGTGTGCTGTGCAGCACAAGGTTGGCGGTTTGAATCCTGGCTGCTCCCTGTGCCAAGTTGAAGTGTCACTGAGCAAGACACCTAACCCCCAATTACTCCACATAAAATTATGTCAAACCATGGGTGTTTTGGATAAAAGTTACAGCTGCATGTATAGTAATGTCGTGTAAGTCAAAGTCATCATCATATCTCATGAGATACTATCTCATTATGATGAATTACAGGACCTGTTTTTCAGTGGCTGACATGGGCTTCCATACATTAACCTACAACAGATGTAGATGGATTGTGATTCACTGCACTTGTATGTGTATTTCCACCACTTCATAAAATATATGTAACGTGCAGTTGAATTACGGTAGTCTGCTATTATTGTAAATTGACAGCTTTAACTGTTTATTCATGACATTGGCCGTTAATTATAAGCAAGGGATGGAAATTTAACTGAATGTTAGTTATTATGACATACTGTAAGATACCGTTAGAAATGCACCGTAAATTTACAGCAATTTGTTACAGTGTATGTCACATTTGAGCCAACGGGAATAATTTCAATGAATAAAATAAATGTCTGTAAAATCACAGCTCTATCATCACAACACTAAATGAATCAAATTAAATTCTTTTAAATTCTTAAATGTACTACTATCAATGAAATTCAAAAATATCTAAACATTTCTGTGACTAAAAGTCGTGCGTCCCAAAATCTATAACACGGTAGAATCATCTCCATACTACATAATATTCTACACGGGTTTTGAATGGTTGGTATGTTCATAGTGGAAAAGCAAAAATTACAAACACAAAAATGTATGTTCTTTGTTTTTGATGTCTATTGTCCTACAACGTAATATTCAATAATGCAGCTGCATTATTGATGCTCGTCAACAGTTTCAAAAAAACATTACAAAATAGTTAATGTTTAAATCTGTACAAATAGATTTAACTTTTTGGCTGAAGGGTGTTAAGAAGGAAAACCATAGCTGAGATAGAAGTTCAAACGATGCCTGTTTTTTCGTCCCTATACTTGTCTGAAAAATGCTGGATTAAGTAGGTATGAATGTTGGATTACTGGTTTCGGGAAGTTACAAAAATTGCCATACAAATTGAAAAAAAAGATTTGGAGTTTCCTCCTTTCTCTTCCTGAAGTCTTTTTTTGCCTTAATTTAATGGCATTCCACAAAATCATTGCATTGGTACCTTTTAAAATAAGTTTCTTGCTAATTAAGGAAACTAGCGTTAGCTAAAATAGGTCTGCATTAAATGTTCATAAAGGATCTGTTTCAGGCCTGTGAGAGCCCATTGAAGGGCAGTACAGGAAAATACCACTGTCATAGCCAAGACTTCTTAGTCCGTCCCAGCCTCGCCATGTTGGTCAATTTGAACTTAATTTTGTCTCTGTTCTTAGGACTTATCTTGGACGTGCAGTCCACTGCTGAGTCCGTCTCCAAGGAGATAGTTGGGCCAAACCAACTATCTTGTGTGAGCAAACCCCCATTTTTTTCCGGAGCCAGGGCTGTTCTGGAGTTCTACAGAGCCAACTGGCTCCTAAGAGAATGCCTTAGCTGCAGCAGGAGGGCGTTGTGGTTTGAGTAGAGTCTGATAGTGTCCCTCTCATGACTGCAGCAGGTGAAACAGGCCGAGCAGAGGATGCGGAAAATGTAGACCCAGCCAAGGTAGTGGAGCTCTGCTATGTTGAGTAGAAAGCAGCTAAAACCTATACTGAACATGAAGTTCAAGAAGATGGTTTTCTCAGTGGCACGCGACACAAAGCAGTCTGTACGTGTGGGACAAGGGTAGGTCTCACAGCGGTACAGTTGAGGCACCGTGAACCCGAACAAGAAGAATTGGCCCACCAGAAAGGTAATCTCCATGACTGATCGTAGTAACACATGAAGAATGTAGATGAGCAGAACCCGATTGGACTGCTGCGTAGGGTCCTCTCCTACTTTGCCACCATCCTCCTCCAGAGAGCTTTGCTCTACTCCTTCTCTCTCTTTTGCATCCCAATCTTCCCTGTAATGACAGTAGGTGGGCATGTCAACCTTTAAGACCTCCATGCCATCCTTCCCAATGCGCCCACATCTCGATTGGGGATACCTCTGGGCTACCATCTGTGCCCTTTGGCCATTCAGCTTTTCATCTTTGGCAATCTTATGTAGAATAAAAACTATGTAGAAGATGGATGGAGTGGAGACCAGCACAATTTGGAAGACCCAAAACCGAAGATGCAAAACAGGAGCAAAAGTGTCATAACAGACGTTGTTACATCCAGGCTGCTGGGTGTTACATGTGAATGTAACATGAGTGACTGCTCATCACTGTAGACAGCGTCACCCACTAAGGCCACGAGCAGAATACGGAAAATCAGCCGCATGGTGAGCCAGATCTTGCCTATCACTGTAGAGTGGTTTTGGACTTCTGACAGGAAGCGACCAAGTATGGACCAGTCACCCATGGCGTAACCCTACAAAAAAGATAAAAGATGTCAACAATATTATTAATAATATGACACATCAGTGTCCATCAGTGCTTCTAAAAACGTTTCTGTAATTGATATCAAACTGCAACAACTTTAGGGGAAATGTTTAAAACAAAACAAGCTGAACGTGATTTATTTGTATTTCTTTATAAATTTGCTCAAGAACATTCAATGAGCAGATGTCCCGACTTCCAAGTAGAATCAGCACTCAGTATTTTGAAATGGGAGTAGCAGAGCGTCGTTCTGCCACCAAAGTTACCGGCTAACTCCGCAAATGAAACTGTTAAAGGAATATTTGCTCAATATGTATTCCAGTAAACATAAGATCCTGTCTAAGAAGCTAGCTGTCACAGTTTGGGTTTGTTTCCTGTTTTATTTTGCAGTTTTCTGCCTCTTGTGTCCCTGGGTAACTTCACTTCCTGCCTTCCTGTGATTGTCTGCCGTGTCTGATTGTTTCCACCTGTCTCCAATCACCTGCACCTTCCCAGTGTATTTAAGCCCTGTGTGTCTTTTGTTGTGTTATACTGAATGTGTTGAATGGTCAAGCCTGAGTGTTCCTGGTTGTGGTCTGTGTTTTGCCCCCTCCCCCCCCGGCATTTTGATTTGGAATTTTGACTACGTATTTTTGTTTGAACTCTGCTTTTGAGTCCTGCCTCCACCTACCCTGTTTGTGACACTTGCAGGCGTACCCCGACAGAAACCTATGTAAATGTGATGCCATGTGATACGTTACATCACTAACCACTACTAAGATGAGATCTAATGTATTGATGATGTGCACTGTGACCCATGGTCAAGATCTGATTGTCCCTGTCTTGCATGATTGATCAGATGGAAGCTGCAGATAAATTAATACAGTTTTGATTACAAACCAAGCTTGAGTTTGATTCCCAACTGCGACAGTGACACGGCCTAAATAATCCAAACGCGCTCCATTAATTGTCAATTCAAAAAGGGTTTTATAGATTAGATTAAATACCATCGTTCACCTTTTATTACATTACAGGTCATTTAGCTGACGCTTTTATCCAAAGCGACTTACATTGCATTTTTTACCCATGGCTTTTTACATTTTTGCCCAGGGAGCAATTAGGGATTAGGCGTCTTGCTCAAGGACACTTCAACATGGGACATGGGACATGGAGCAGCCAGGGCTTGAATCGCCAGCCTTACGGTTCAAGAACGCACCTTCTCTTCCCCTGCACCACGTCCACCCTTGGTCGAACAAAACCCTTATTTTACAAATCAAAAGGTACTTGAAAATATAGTGGTATCTATCTTAACAAATGTTATGGAAAGCTTCAAATCATAAAAACTGAACTTCAAGAACTCAAATTCCCAGAAAGATTACAAAGGTGTCCCTGGGATCCAAAATATCCGCTGAAGGCAATACTTATCTGAATGTATAAAGACATTTGTTACTAATTTAATCATATTCCTTCTGAAACAGACAAAAAAAAGGACAAAGTATACCCACATGAAGGGTAACTGAGTATAAGTTGAACTCACCTCAATGTAAATTTGAAAGAATAAATGTAAAAAGTAGCCTTTGCCATGCGGTTTGCATGGCTGTATTTAATCTTAATGCCTCGATGAAATGAATCCTGTTGAGCGCAGTGAGGGGGAATGGCCTATCTGAAAGTGCCATTGTGTTACCTAACTACAAAGGCTGGAAATGTACACTGTAACAAAGATTTCAAAACAAAATGGGGGGTGGAGTTGGAGTTTTTTTTTTTTTTTTTTTTTCTAAACAGCCGGGACAGTCAAACAAAAAGCGTATGGAACAAGCTAGAAAAGAGGACACAATGCAAGCTTATCCCAAAGGTTCAATATTTAGCCAGTTTTAGAGGTTTGTAAAGTAAAATAAGTTAGACAGTAAATCATTCTACATTCTCAATTACTTAATGACATTTTCAGTTAAATTAAAAGTATACTTAGTTGAAGTATACTTTAACTAGCACTTAATTGATGTTCTGATGTTCATATCAATTCCGCTATACTAAATGTAGCCCAGTGAAAAATTATGTTCACCACTAAAGCCACTAAAGGGCACTGTTCTCTTGAGACAGCTAGTGTAGTGTAACGAGGGAAACCGGAAATTAAGTTCGTTCTTTTCACGTGACTGTCCTGTGGAGCGTACACTGGACAGTGGCGGCTGGTCCATAAAGGGCAATGGGGCGTGGCCCTACCTTGAGCTTTAAAAAAAAAAAAATTATATTGAAAATACATCTTACAAATAGTCATGCTTTTCCTGCACAGGACGTGTCCTCTCCGCATGTCTCAGCTGGGCTCGGGCCGTGTCCGAATGCGGCGGGTCTAAGAGGCCGTTTAGCCACTGATTTAATCACTGATTAAAGTTAATGAGTGACATATCATTTCAGTCCTGAAGAAGACCCGACCCGAACTCGGTACGAGAAGAACAGCTGGACCCAGATAAGCCTGACCACACAATAAAACACCGGACCGGCATAAAAGGGAAGCCTATTTTAAATCATAAAATTGAACATCTCCTAATTTCTTTAACACTCTTCTAAGAGTAGTCGAGAAATAAAGACCTCTAAATATAATGTTGTGTCCTGTGTCATTCAATTTCACCCGCCTACATAAAGAAATATTAAACTGGCATTTCAATGGTAGCAAGGAAACAATTTTTGTATACTGCTTATTTCACTGCACCAACAAGATAACAGACTAGCTCATATAACTGCAGAATATGATGGCTGCTCTAAAATCATTCATTGGCTGTAAAGTTCAAATCTCATAAGACGGTAGTTTTTTTAAGTTGTTGTCGACCCCTCTTCTTGCAGGTTAGGCTTTTTTATAACATCTGCTGTCCTTTATGGATGTATGCCTCCTCATGTAATTCCCGGTATTTCTGCATGCAGAATACTGACCATGTGGTGGAGTGGTGAGCCAAAACAACCTGAAGCTCAGAAGGTTGTGGATTTCATGAAGAACGAAGTCCCACCTTCCCCCATCACCCTGTGTGACTCCCACGTCACTGCTGTGGATTCCTTCCACTTTCTGGGCTCCATAATCACCCAGGAAAAGATTGTAGCCCCTTCCATCTGGCAGGATGCTGAGGTCCATCAGGACCAAGACCTCCCGCCACACAAACAGTTTCTTCCCGTTGGCAGTCAGGCTCATCAACAGATCCTGGGTCCCCCATTGACTGATTCTGACATCCCTTTCCATTGGTCACTCCTTTCACACTCCACGTGCACCTACACCTGTCACTGTCACATACACTCACAACACAGTTGTGTAGAGTATGACTATCTGTTCGCTGGTACACTTTATTTTTAAATTCAAATTCCTTCTTGTTGGTAATTTTTTAATTGTTTATTTTATATCCCTCTAGCCTACATCCTATCTTATATCGTAAAGTCAGATCTGTAAATTTACACCATTTTCTTGCACTATGTTGTCTTATCTGTCTTGTTGTTCATTGTCTTACTGTCTGATGTTAGGCACCAACCGCTAAGACAAATTCTTTGTATGTCTAACATATTTTGGTAATAAATGTTTCCTGATTCCATGTGTCCATTCAGGCAAATTGCATCCAAATGTTGTAAAAAAAACTCCCGGGCCACTTTCTGCCCCCTGTCTGCCCCTGCGGGAGCGGGAGGATTTTGTAGTGTATCCTAAAAGCTACTGGAATCCAGTTGAGAAATTGGGGTATGGGAGAGATGGGAGACCATTGATTTGTCTTAGTGAGAAAACGGGCTGCAGCGCTAGAATGACCTGCAAACGGTTTAGAGCATTACAATAATCAATGCGTGACAAGATGAATTGTCACAATGTATGATCATCTCAAGTTCAGATCTGAGTTTACTTATATTTCTGATATGGAAAAAACATGATCTAGACCAGGGGTGTCCACACTTTTTCAGCTTGCATGCTACTTTTCAATCGACCAAGTCATGGCAACCTATACAACCCCCCCTCCCCACACACACACACAAGGACCAGCAGGGGGTAGTAGTCGGGCGAACAAGTAGCGGTAACCAAACGGAGCAACAACACTGCATACCGTAAGGGAAAGACAAATCAATATTAAAGAAAACAAGCCTCTCATCTGCCGGAAGCGAGGGAAGCGTCCCAACTAGAACCACACTTTCTTGGTCATTACCCTACTTGGATGACTTGCACTGATTAGACTCAGCCAGGGTTGCTTTTGATTTAAATGGATCGCTAATTAGCACTACCAAGTTTTTTTTTTTTTTTTTCCTTTGCCGCTGTGAGGGTTTTGGAACAGAGGATGCAAACTGTGTACGAACTGTAAAGCCCTCTGAGGAATGCATCATCCAATGAGATCTTGCTGGCATTGTATATAAAAAACAATCCCAAAGAGTATCTAATTTATAAGGATGACGAGATACTTGTGAGGATATATGTACTATATGCACTTATGTATCCTTTTTATGTATGTATATGTGTGTGTGAGTCAGTGTGTATCCATTATTCATAATCAGAAATTTGATCAATTGAAGCAGTGAAACATTAAGCGCCAAATAAACAAACAGCATGTCATGCAGCAGCTTTCCAGATGTTCTCTACATCGCAACACTGTACAAACATGTACATGGAGACAGTGTTAGAGACAGTGTGTGAAACAGTCTGCGGGACAGTCGATGCTCCGCTGTGGCGTGTGGTGTTCACCACGTTACGGCTCGAGAAGGTCTTCTATGTAAATAAAGATTCCTTGTCGGCCGCATCGATAGCGCTCGTACAGGAAGTCATCGTGATATCAAAACAGATCTTTGTGGTCTTGTAGAAGTCTCTCCCTATAAAATGTTAATCTAAGTGATATCGCTCCTTTATCAATGAGGAGAGCTGCCCTTTTTTACCAGGGCAGTGACGGGCTAATCCAGCTGGCTCAAGTAAGCCTGCACCGGACCAGGTTCAAGTTTTTTGATGTGTTGCTATGGTGATTTTGCCAAACTTGCTTTGTGGAACCAAAAAGCCTGATCTATGTTATCGTATGCTGAAAATGATCCAGCTAACACAGTTAGCCACGTACATGGAACGAGCCCCAGGAGGGTTTAGCTCTGTCCGACTGTCATTGTTGTGTGTTTGGGCGCTTTCTGGCTTACATTCGGAGCATTTTATGAACCCCTTTCTGTTGCCCAAGGGAATACACGAGTTATTGCAATGAGACGCAGGATATCCGGTGGAAGCATGGCGATGTAAAGAAAATGGAAAAAAAGAGGACAGCACGTGTGTTTAGCCTACAATACTATATTTACCCAAAAACGGTGAGGGCTTGAAGATGAAACAAAAATCTGATATTTACTCATTTATTCAGTGGCGGCTGGTGGAAAATGTTCTGAAAGGCAAGAGAATTTGTTTCACAAGAAATATTTAAACTTGCCTTCTTTATTTTTAATACACAAATGAAAGCTACAGCTTTTTTTATACCTAATATGACTATGTTACCTATACACAGCGGCATGGTGGCAGGGTGGTTAGCACTGTCGCCTCACAGCAGGACGGTCCTGGGTTCGACCCGGCCCAGTGGCCTTTCTGTGTGGAGTCTGCATGTTCTCCCCGTGTCTGGGTACTCTGACTTCCTCCCACAGTCCAAAGACATGCTCTGGGAATCAGGTTGATTGGTAACTCTCAATTGCCTGTAGGTGTGTGAATGGTTGTTGGTCTCTGTGTTAGCCCTGTGATTAGCTGGCGACCAGTCCAGTGTGTACCCTGTTTCTTGCCTGAAGTTAGCTGGGATAGACTTCAGCCCCCCTGCGACCCTTTGTGCAGGATAAGTGGGTGGATACCAAACACCTGTTCCTTGGCAGCATGCCGGGAGTTTGCTCTTTTGTTAGAAGTTGAAGCATTTATTTATTTTGGTTTGTTCATCTCCCACACAATAGAAAGCCTATTTAAATATTTCGTAAGACCTAATTATGTATTATTACTTCTACCATATTTTATTAAATAACACGATTCTTCAAATGAGTTGTTTATGAAGACAATATAATGTCGGTTTCACGCATTACGAATCATTAAGTTCATCCGCATTGCTGGACGTTTAAATTGTGAAATGGTCATTTTTGTCTATATGTGTCTAATATATTTGTCTCTTCAAAGTGGTTGATAATGGAATTGGAAATTGCACTGACATTAACATCGAGATGTCCAGGGGAAGTGCCGTAGACTACGTTCAGCCCTGGGGGTTACAGGAAGTTGTAGCTGCCATGTTTAGCTGCTTTGTTGTAGATCCCCTCTAGGTTTCCTGCAGATGTTAGCATATGTGTTGCAATGGAAACGAGCTGGAGTACGTTTTTATTCCAAGTAAGTAGCACGATATGACAGTAATCTCAGAAGCTGCACGCACGTTTTCGAGATGACATAAATGTTGTTGGGAGATGTTTTTCAGTCCAGCGTTTGAAATGAATTAGTTAGTCGAGGATAACAAAGGTGTTAGCCTGCTAGCTAGCGTCGCTATGTGGGTTGCTGCAGCAAACTGCTAACTAGCTTTATCAGACCCAAGATCCCCGACTGTGTCATATTTACGGAGAATTCCCAAGGCCTCCGTGGTTTCGGTTAAGTTTTCTCAATTCCATATCGCAGCATACTGCGATGTTTGTCTTTTGAGTGACAATTTATGTGAATATTCTTTTGGCTGCTCTTGCGCGCGCGTTAGCATATTGAGCTAATACGAACCACTGTTGTTGCATTACGGTTTGCTAAGCTAAATGGCTAACTTACTTTTTTAGTCTGCATTGGTGCAATCGTTGCCCGAAAGGCAGTGACCTATTGTGAGTCCCAAACTGAATTGTGAAGATGAAGTAATGTACCTGCAGGGCTTTTAATGGCGTTCAAATGAAACCGTGCAAGTGATGTCCCACTAGTCTGCTCACCAGATCTTTGCTATCGCTAACTCTGAACCGGAGGGTTTCTAGCACGCGGACACCAGTGACCGTACACCACAGTAAAGGCTGCTAACTTGTGGCCATGCAGTAGCTTTAACGTCACCATTTACTTGAAACGTCTTCATACCAGTCACAATTTGATCTTAAAACTGTATTATGTCCTCTGCATTTCTGATTGTATTGGATGTGCATCTTGTCTTATCGTGGGAAGCCCCTCGTTTGTTCCAAACTCACATCCTCCACCGCAACGTCATTAGATGTTGGATTCAAAGCATTTTATTAAGATTGGTGTGCAAGTATAGAAACGCTGTATAACGTATTCAATGAACGCAGGCTTTCTGAAAATAAAGATCTGCGAAGTAGCTACTTCAATTTAAAGTATAAGTATATCTCTGTATTTGGTGAGTAAATTGGTGTAATATAGTTGTGGCTGCTCCTGGTGTACAGTAAGCTGCTCTGCGAATTATAGTCAAACTTATTACATCGTTCGCATGTATTTGCTTATGCATATTGCTTTTGTGTAAAACAAGAATATCTATCACCAACTGACTGGAAAGGGAATTGGCAATCTCTATTTGGGCTTTTTGACAAATGGCTTTATATTAAATGACCCGGACTCTTTTTTTTGGGCCCATCGAGAGATATTTGATCCGAAGTGTACGCCACCGGTTTCCAACCCCATCAAGGGTTAATGTGTAAGGAGACCGGCTTATTCAAGGGTTTATAATAAATTCTTCGCTTGTATGAAGCCTGCATTGAGGCCAGCCATTGTACCAACCCTGTTATTGTTTCTTTTAAGCCTTGTAATGTTTTTGGCGGATTGAAGGGGATTTGGGAGTTCCCTGTCATGGCTGTGATACTTGGGAAGGCCCCAGTTACATCCCAAACCCTGTGCCCGTATTCTAAAATACTTTTGAACACTTTTTTTCAAGACAAACATATTTTTCAGCACAATAATAACTAAGCAATTAACGGCAAGACATCCAATAAAACAAAAAAATTGAAAATCAAATTGTTTTGTTGGATCTGAGGCTTGTATGGACACTATGGCAGTAAAATATGGCATCACTCAAAAAGAGTGGCAGCATTCTATTAAATGGGAATCTGTCATGGTAACACCATAACCTGATTTTTTTTATTCTATTTTTTGTTCATTTCCATCCCCCTTACTCTTTTTCAATACCTAAAAAAAAAAAAATCTCGAACGGGACCTCACCCGTCAAAATAGATTTGTATCAAAATGATCAACGCAGCTCTTGCTGAGAAAGAGAGCATTTGCCTGCCTTTGACTTGCATACACACATGGTGGGAGAAATGCTAATTGCAGTAATGGTTTTAGTGCTTCTACAGTGTGGCAGATATAAAAGCGAATCGACACACCGTGACGGCCCTCAGTTCTCTCTGACACACTAAAACACGTAGCGTGGCCAACCTCATTAAATGGGGACTGGACCTGCAGCAGCCCCCCCAAAATGCACCAGTGCTTGGGTGTGTGTCATTCATAGAAGAATGCAGTGGGGGGAAAAAGCAGCGCTCGGTTTACTGGCCAACACAAACCCCCCATTCCCTGCCCGCTCCTGGCTGACCCGGGCCGGGATGCTTGGCTGAACCTGAATAGCCACGGGTCAGGTCTTTAACCCGGCCCAATTGTGGCTACATAATAGAACATGGCTGTCTCATCACCACATCTCTAACTTGACCAGTTGTAAAGTTGGTGGTTACAATGTGAAACTCTGCCTTCTCCCTGGCCAAAATATTCATAGAAGCCCCCACCTTCTGTTCGTCCCATCCCATTGGGGATCTGCCGTGACCGATGTGACAATGCCCCAAGCAGCTGCAGACTTAAGATGTCCTCCCAATAGTTTTTTTTGGTGTCAATGTCAAACTAGCTGCTAGAAAGCTTTAATGCCAATCTCCAGATGGTACATTTTTATTGAATATTCTGCAGCAAAAACCGTTTCCACACTGACTGTTTCCAAATCCATTATGCACATGACTCCTGGCCATTTCAAATCCAAAATGCTCCCCCTGCTCACGTGTTTAGGGCTGAGTGAAAAAATATATATGTATATATTATAGAATAAAAAATATATCTTTACAATTCTTTTTAAATCCAGACTTTCTTGGGAGGGAAGGGGTGGGGAGCCCCACTTATTCAATGATAGGGGAAACACTGCATTTCTGTGCATTCAGGAGTTTTCTTTTAGTGTAGCAAACTTTGCCGCACACGGCTGTATGTGGTCCGTGTCTGTATTTCTTGCGAGCACTCTGGTTTTGTTCAGCTGAGTAAAGTTTCTTCTCGCCGCGGCCTCTTTAAAGTGAAATAGCTGTTTGCTCCAGAGTCACCACGCTTTATTTCCTTCATGCAAAGGACGTGAAGAATTTACATATTAGCGGAGGGAAAAAAATCCTTTGAAAGTATATCGTCATATTGCCCTGCCCTAGTATTCTAAATATGATATGCTCCATTGCCAGAAACTGTAATTATACTTTACAAATCATTGTATACGCACCATACTCAAGAAAAGGAAGGGAGGAGGGCTGCGACTAACTATTATTCTGATAATTGATTTAATCAGTCGATTTATTTTGTTGAGCTGGATAACAAGCAGCAGCAGCAGAAGAGCTGCTGGAAGCACATTACGTTCCTTAGTTCAAAATGGGTCAACGTGGTGCTCCCGTGCCATGTCAAGTTGATTTTGCCATTAACAAACTTTTTTTTAGTTTTTTTCGAGTGAAATGCTCGCGCACCGTGGACGACTTACAACGTACTGACTTCTCTGCCTGCGCCACATGACTCCCAACAACTGCCGCTGCTCTTTCCTCTACGTCGGCTCGGTGGTTTACCCCGCGCATTCTCATTGTGTGATGTAATAATCGTGCGACACAACAAAGCAATAATGAAATTCTGAAAGTCATTAATCGCAATTAATCAGTTTGTTTTTCTTCAATAGACTATTACTTAAGCAATGAGTAATCACTTTGGAAAGCGTATATTTTAGACACTATTGTTTAATTGTATTTTAAACACAACTACACACATTTGATCATCTCCATGGTAGAATTTCACCGGGTGGAACCGCGACTCTTGCTGCTGTCCTCGTGCACTTTGTTGTGGTCTCAACTCCATCATTTGACTGCTGTTTTGGCATTGCCCGACATTTAGCCAGGACATTTTCCAAACCACTGTCATTTAGGGCAGCGCTGGTGGTTCTCTTCAGGCTGTGGACCACGCAGAGTAGATGTTAAGATGGAAGTAGCCTAGGAGTTAGCTTAGCCTATCAGTGCGTAAGGTTGTCCGTTTGCCAATCATCCCTGTTATGTATCTATTTGTGCTTGTCTTATATGTGGTTTCGTCTCTGCCTTTCTTTTTACAGCAGGCCAGTGAGGCTCTGCATCACCAGCACCAAGTAGCCGGGAACAGCCTCTTGCCATTGCTCAGTTCTGGGACTGAACCGCCTGATCAGAAACCAGTGCTGCCCATTTCCCTGGACCAGAAACCCCCAGTCAGCGCTGCAGAGCTTCTTAAAGACAATGTGGCTAGTGGGACTGGTGGAGGCGGTGGTGGGGTGCCTCCAGTTGCTGTCAAGAAGGAGCCAAAATCAAAGACACCCTTCATCTGTGGCTACTGCAATAAAGCCTTCCGGGACAGCTACCACCTTCGGCGGCATGAGTCCTGCCACACTGGGATTAAGATGGTGTCGCGGCCTAAGAAGACACAGTCTGCCCCCACGATGGTGCCGCTCATATCCACTGTACCACGTGAGAATAGTGGAAACCCTTCATACATTACTACTGTAGCTGGTATCCTGACTACGGCCACCACGTCCACGTCCACCAGCATTATGACCCCAATGCAGCACCAACACCAGCACCAACACCACCACCACCAGCAGCAGCAGCAGCAGAGTATCCCTAAGAAACCCCCCAAACCAGTGAAGAAGAACCACGGGTGCGACATGTGTGGGAAGGCCTTTAGAGACGTGTACCATCTCAACCGCCACAAGCTGTCGCACTCTGACGAGAAGCCCTTCGAGTGTCCCATCTGCCATCAGAGGTTTAAGAGAAAGGATCGCATGACATACCACGTCCGCTCCCACGACGGTGGAGTTCATAAGCCTTACATCTGCTCTGTCTGTGGGAAGGGCTTCTCTAGGTATGTGCTTCTCATTTCTCATGAATGCATGAACCTGACTGGCATTCGGTGGCATGGTTCTGGCATCAGTGCTTTTTAACGTGTTGGTGTAATTCATTATCATGTTTCAGCCTCCACTTGTGAGCCAGCAAACATCAGAGCAATGCAACCACAGTAAAGTCAACCAGTTTAAGTACAGATGGCTGACCACTCTACTTGTTACTGGAAGCGACCTTAGAGTTGGTACTACTTAGTACTAACAACAAGCATGAGCAAGATGTGAACATGAAGGGTCCTTGATGGGCCTCGATCAAGTCCCATCCGGCTCCATAGCGATCACTGTAGCACTCAAGCTCTTCAACCACACTAACGGCAGCCCATTAATACACCACCGACTTGCCCAGGCTGAGGCAGATGGGAGCTTGTTGGTGGAGCTCTCCAGAGTAGTTCACCACGAATTGGCAGGTTGCAGTTAATTCCCTGCCTGGGGTCTAGTCAAATGATACCATAAGTTGGTCTTATTTTCTGAATATTTAGCGGGACAAAGCCTACAAACAGCACTTATTTTATGTATCTTCTTTTACATGTGTCATTACTCCTTGAAACCAAAGTGCACCCACATATCGTCTCTGAAAGCTAAACTGCGCTCTTATGCTTTTGATGTGTTTTGAGAAAGTACTTGCTTTGAGTAGAGAAATAGTAAGCACAGCAATATTGACACTGTACCTGGAAAAAAAATCTCTTGATAGTTAACTGTAGAATTGGCTCTGCCCATGAAAAGACTTCACTTGTTTTAGATGTTTCCAGAGAGTGAATTTAAAAGTGAACATTACTCTTGCTGAGCTACAAACATTTCCTTCTATTTCATATGTAAATACATCCCAATTCTATTCTCAATATTCAATTCTCAATTTTTAAAAAATAGTCTGTTAAAAAGTAATGTAGAAAAGGGGAAAAAATGTACAATGCAGAACAAACAGCTGAATAATGAGTTCACCTCTCTGGGTGAGCGCAGGGAGGGAGGAAGATGATGATTATGCAGTCAACAGTGGCTCAGGCCCTCTCTAGGTGGACCATTATTCTTCTTTAAATGATAAGCTGCCCCGTTGTCTTTTTCAGCTAGTTTATTTTTATATATGTATATACCTTTTAACTGCTAATAACTAATGTTATGGTTGCCAACTTCCCCAGCTGTGGTCTAAAGGGGTCGTCGTGGCGCAGGGCTTAGAGAAGGTGTGCTGGGAAGCACAAGGTTGTTGGTTCGATTCCAGGCTGCCCCATGTTCCATGTCGAAGTGTCCCTGAGCAAGACACCTAACCCCCTTTGCTCCCCGGGCAAAAATGTGAAAAAAGCCATGGGTGTAATGTAAGTCGCTTTGGATAAAAGCGTCTGCTAAATGACCTGTAATGTAAAGGGGTCTGATTACAGGGTGACAACATATTGTATTTTTTTTACTTAATTTGTCCTGAGCCAGGAAATAGCTGTGGAGGTTAGGGCTGAAATAATAATATTATTTTGAAATAATAGTGTAGTAATGGTGTTTTCTCTAGCTGTTTTCAACCATGACATGCAAGTTGTCAATAGTTTATTGTCTAGTCTTTAAACATCCCTTCCCGTTAACAAGCGTTGTTCAAAAACAAAGGTCAACAAAATTAGTTGACCTGCTACCAGCTGAATAGCTGATTGTGTCAACATTATGACAGAACCAACCATTTCCCTAGTCTCTTATATCAATGAAATGAAGCTACAGTTAAAGGATTTTCATTGTTTTCCTTGTCTCTCACCCTGCAGACCGGATCACCTAAGCTGTCATGTCAAGCATGTCCATTCCTCAGAGAGGCCATTTAAGTGCCAAGTAACGGTAAGAGTCCTCGCTCCGAGTCCTTCCTGCAGAAAGCAGCCATGTGTGGTCCCGCTTTAGATTTGTGTCATTAATACATGATGATCAACATGATTAAGATCTCTAAAGGCCACATGGGATCATACCGCTTCCTCACCATTGGCTTCAGGGTAGGACATTTTGTTGGCTCTGTTATTGAGCTGATTATTTCATGCTTCTAAAAGCAAAGAACCAAACATTTTAAACCTTGCAGTCAACTGCAGTCTCAAATAATTTAATTTTACCAAAATCGATTGGTTGTTAACCACAAGACGGCAGTAACTTTTGAGGAGAGGAGAAACATCTGTCACTGACTGCACTTTGTCTAAAGTTAGCTAACGTTAGCTAGCTATCTAGCAAGCCTTCGTAACTAACCAGAGCTAGCCAACGTTAGCTAAATAAATAATTTAAAAATAATTAATACTTCGTAGGGGTGTAACGATTCATTTTAACTTTGATTCGAATCGCGATTCATGGTTGCCGATTCGATTCATGGACGATCTGGGTTAATTTAGAACGATTCGATTCAGTGACTTGAAATCGATTCAGTAACTTTACTGGACAGTGCAGGCAAAGTTTCTGAGATCCCTGTTTCTTGTAAGGAAATCAGGTTTAAATTAATTATGGATATTATAAACAAGCAAACAACAATTGATGGCAAATGTATTAACCTTTTTATTTGAATCAAGTGCCATTTTCAATGTAAACATTACACAATAATTACACAATGTTTGGATCAATTCACAGAACTCCGGATTTTCAACCACATTGTAGGGTCGCATGTCTTTACAGACAACATTGACAATTGTTACTGTGATGTTGAGTTTCGTGCTGGCGGCCTGAGGTGTCTGCAGAGCTGGAGTTACCTGCTGCTGCAGCGGTAACGCTGCTAGAGGTCCTGACTGTCGGCGTGTTGTTTAGAACACCTCCGTGTTTGCAAAAGCCAAAATGTTTGCAGTCGTCTCCTCCACGCAGTGTTTTGTTGTTGTTTCGAGTTTCGCGCGGCTGCCGCTGCAGACTGAATCGAGTAACGTTTAACGTGTCTAAAGTGCTAAAAAAACAAATAAACGCACATCCATACCGTTTTTGTTTAAATTAAATTAAATTATTTAATTAATTAATTTAATTGCAGTTTCCAAGTATCGATTAATCGATTCAGTGAATGAATCGTTACACCCCTAATACTTATCTGATACGTTATCTTAAGTATGTTGTTCGGTTTTCTGGTGGCAAAAGGACATGTATTTCTTAATGTGTTTGCTCCCCATGGAAAAGGTCAGAATAATTTGCGGTGCTGGTTGACCACGGCGTTGGCAGTTTGCTGTCTGCAAGTTCGAGTCCCTTGACAGTCTTTGTTGTTTGTTTGTTTTATGTCGTAATAAAACATCTTTGATCTGTCGTGACGAGTCGTTGCAAATAGGCATCGAGATCAGATTCTAATGCTGTCACAATTTCAAATTTATGTTGTGCGATTATTGCACCAATATTGCGATAAACGATATTATTGCAATTTTCAGACCATTTTATTCCACTGATATTTAATGACAATATAATAGCATAGTAACAAAAGTACGCTCCTTCAAAGAACGTTTTATTCGTCAGAATATTTGGACATTAGAATCGGAATGTTAAATAAATCTTAGAAATAAATAAAACAAAAAATTAGTGCAAGGGACACGATGTGGGGCGACGCGTCGGTCTTGCGGTCGGGGTCGAGAAAATGTGTCCAGCGGAAAAGCAAGGCAGCCGGGGAGGTTAACCCGGGGGCTTCAACTGCCGGCTGGGCAACGCGCTCTGTGGCTGCAGGGTGAGACGGGCGACTTGTTCCCGCTAACAATCGGCCGGCCCGGGAGGAACGCGGGGCAGGGGTCCGGGGACATAGCCCTCCCGGCCAAAGAGGCGAACGAGCAATCTGGAGGAACCGACTAGTTCAGGTTTAAAGACTGGGCGGATGGTGGTTGTTTTAGGTGAGATTTTAGCTTAGTTGTGTTGCCTGTTTTTGTTGCCACTGTAAAAGTTTACTTATCAGCTCGTTCACGTTATTGGTTCTCCTCCCTCATTCGGCTTAAAGCCAAAACGTTCCCACACCGGAGCTGAAGATTGCGGATTCGTGACTAAGTCCATTTGGACTTGTAGATCCGAATTGTCTGTAGATGTGACAAAAAATAACACTTCATATCACAGTGGGTTCACACATTCCCTTTCCCTGTTGGTGTCCGCGCTGCGTGTGCGCATGTGGGAACGCTGTCTAAGCCTCATTTATATGTGAAATTAATATCTCATCACAAAATATTGGCAGCTTTTCTAATCAAAAGCGACTACTCTCGGTCCAGACTGAAAATGAATTGCGCAAGTGATCCTACAGCTTCCATTACATTTAATGACGTCATTTAGCGGCACACTCTATGGAACTTTTGGTCACTCTAGAACAGGGGTCGGGAACCTTTTTGACTGGGAGAGCTATAAAGGCCAAATATTTCTAAATATATTTTATTGAGAGCAGGCATGAATACCGGAATGAAAATCCCTCACCTTTCGGCGAAATTCGCCGCTTTGAAACCAAAAAAGGTGAGCTTCGTGAATCGTGTAGATTCAATGAGTTTTTTTTTGGGGGGGGGGGGGGGGTATGGCGGCAAATCACTGTCAAAATTCGAGAGCGCAAATCAGGTTGATGCGCTTGCGTAAATCAAACATCCGCGAGCAAAAGCGCAAGATATTTGGTCGCTCGCGGAGCGTCAACTCTGCTCGCGCACGAAGGTGTTTTCTACGCGCTCGCTGTTGTTCTTTTTGACAGTAAGGGGGTGGAGCCAGTCACCATGGTCTCTACACCTGATTGGCTACAAACCCCGTCTTTGGATTGGCCCGAGTGATGCATTCACACAACTATAGAAGCTTATTTCCGCACTGAAGAAAGGGGATAGAAAGTCAAAATTATGAGCTAAAACGTTTTCAAAACACAAACGACACCTCTCTGTAACGGTAGTGGACCGTAGATGACAACCAGCTACAACCATAAGGGAAGGGAGCGCGAGATTCAGTCACTGAATCTCTTCAATGACTAAGAAATGACACTGACAAGTGCTACAGGTGGAATATGTGCGCGGGAGGAGGGGGCGTGGCGACGGGGGTTAGTGAGCTACCCTGATAACTGTACATATTTAGGTGTTATAGGCAGAATATCTGTGCAGGGGGAGGGGGCGTGGCGGCGGTTACAAACATGCACGCGCGTGCAGGCACGTCAGTGGGCCACAAATTACTTTCTATTCAGAATGGTGATCCCTGGGACAAAACCAGTTGAAAACCCTGCCCTAGAAGGGTAATATCCTTCTCACCTTTTTCACCCTTGACCCGTTTTCATGCCTGCATATAATATTTTTAACGTATAATAAATTAAATATGCCTTACTTTTAATGTGACTTCTGGTGCTGCAAAGCTAGCGGAATTCCCGTCACCTTGCCTGGTCCACACACGTAGTTGCTGCTGACTTGTCTGCACTCTCCGCTGTAGCTCCTCGCATGCCCTTTTCGTGCTGTCCCCCGCATGCAAATTAAGCATGGTGCGTATCGAAGTACCGCTTTATATTTGACCGTTTCATCGATGCAATTTTATCATTGCATATTAGACATACCGCAGATCCTCCTCTGTCCACGCAGCCTGGAATGCACGGTAATCATCGTCTTTTTTTCTTTTTGCAATCTTTTCCGTTACAAGGGTTGAAGCGGATAAACTAGTTTATCTGATAAAATTGATTTCTTCACCTTTACAATGACACGGATATCCTCGCAAGCCATTGGTGACCCGTGAAATTTATTTTCAAAACTAATTTCTGTTTACTTTAAAATGACACAGTATTATTAAGAAATATCACGTATTTTTAGTATTTCAGTTCCAAACTGATTTTTTTTTTTTTCAATTCAAAATTGTCTGGGAGCCATATGCCATCACCGGAGGAGCCATGTATGGCTCGCGAGCCATAGGTTCCCAACCACTGCTCTAGAATTTTGCTGTGTGTGCTTTTGTCTGTCAGAAAAAGATATATAGATATGACTTCTTTGCAAGCAGAGATGTGTGTTTGATGAAAGCGTTCTAGTCATGTGGTTGGGCTCCACGTGATGTGAGAAAAAAAAAAAACAATGTTGTTTCCGTCCTAGGCTTGTACCTCTGCCTTTGCTACCAAAGACCGTCTACGATCCCACATGATCAGGCACGAAGGCAAAGTGACCTGCAACATCTGTGGCAAGATGCTAAGCGCTGCCTACATCACAAGTCACCTCAAGACGCACGGCCAGGCCAGTTTCAGCAATCCATGTAACAATAAAGGTAGGCATCTCGTAAAGCTCCTGACTGCTCTGGCCACCTTTTCCGTTTAACACTTGGTCATTGACTAAGTCAACTGGCCGGCCAGTGTTTCTTAGATCAGAGTGAGACAAGGAGAAAAGCTGATGTTGTGGTCTTCACAATAACATAACGCATCTTTCCTTGTCACCTTTTCCACCCCTAATGAGTTTTTTTCAACCTCAAGGAGCTGTCCAACTTTCCTCCAACTTTACTTCTAATTAGAGAATTGAACCAACCCCTGACTTCAGGAATTTACCTTTTTTAATGAGATGAAAACTGCCACAAATGAGCAATAAAAACATACAAACCGCTTAATTTATGTCAGCCACCGGACAATAAACAGATCTATTCCAATGGGCAAAAGAAGAACTTATGTTGGTTTATTTGGACGCTAACTTTAATCAGTTAACTTTATGCTTTGTGTAATCCCTGTCACAGTGCATTCAAGCTGCAAAAAGTATAAACCAGCCGTAGGCGAAGGTGATTACCTTATTATGATTTGACTTCAATTTGATTTTTATATATTAAGATATTTGTTAAAAATTCAACAGTAACTTTGACTGGTTTATTAGGAATCACCCAGACACATTCCTCTGTGTAACAAATGCGGCAATAAATGGCTTCTGATTTTGACAATATTTATAATAATTAATCCAATAATGCCGCAAAAAATACTTTATCAAAGCATTATTTCAAAAGAAATGATCATTTCTTGCCCAATCATCATGTGTTTTATGCAAATAACCAGAATTTGTGCTACTTCTTACCACTAGGCGTGCCCTGCCTCTTCAAGGGGCCTCACTGCTCCCCCTTAGAATAGTGCCTTATAGCGCCAGATCACACCAGAAGTCGTTTAAGGTTACTTTTTTTATAGAACCGGTCTATAACTTGTTCTTTTATTACAACTAAATAGCCTTATGTTATTTATCTTATCTACACAATGTTATATAACCCACCCTCTGTGTTGCGCCCAGCAGAGTTCCGCCTCTATGTGTACACACACACACACACACAGAAATGTGCGCACACACAAAGGTGAGGACACTCTCACCAGAAGGCAGAGAGGTGTAAACACTGTAGATCACAGTAACAAAATCTTGTTTAACACTTCAAATTTGAGATTTATTGGGTCAAATAACCTCAATCACTGTTAACTTTTTAAAATCTATTTTCTATGCCTACATTGTGCTTTTTATATTGTACAGTCAAACAACCGTAGTATCAGGGCTGTAGTATTACCTGGTGGTGTACAATCTTAAAGGTATGGGTGTGAAAGACCTCAACCATACCAACTGTTACAGCTGACTCCCAGATGACGGCACTGCTGCCCTGTGCACTTATAACCCAATATGTGTCTGTATTTCTGAATAGGCATAAGTGACTGGCAGTGGAACCACTCAGGGCCACGAAAAGGTAATCCACCAGCTAGTAGTAGAAATCCCCAAGTACTGAATTCTAACCTCTGCAAAAAAGTGGCTAGTTTTGCTTCACGTACCATGTCACACAAATACAGAAGCATTTTGTTTCTCTAAGGACTGTTAACTGTAATTAAGGTTCTTATTTTGTTAATATAAGGTTAAATTTCATGAAGCAGGATCAGTAGATCATTTAAATGGGCCGTATACTGGGTCTTAACACTTCTGCTAGATGCATACTACCTGACCGTTTCATCAGAGGTCATCTTGCATTACCAACTGCCATTTCTGTCCTGACTTTGACCGGCTTTTTTATTTACTTCTCAAATTGACCAATTCTAATTGCAATGATGTCCCAGTTCACATCAGGTCTTAACTTACCCGTCTGTGAGCTCGCCGCCTCACAGCTTAGGTGAGGCACATTATTCATGACCCTATGATGTATTGGCCCCGAACTCAGCTGGGACGGTCAAATTGGCAGTCCTACAGTGTACTGTGTATCCAGCCTTCAGCATACACAAAGCTTAAGTTGTCCTTCATAATATGTTACTGTTTCAAATGTCAAACTCATGGGCAGTTAGCCGGTTAGTCTATTTATCCTGCTTTTTGAATTTACCCCTCAGGTGAGTTGACGGTAGGAGAGATTTTAAATAACTCCTTCCAAGTCCTAATTGACAACTCTCACAAAGGTAGGTTTCTTCTACCATATTACCACAGTTGACATTATGCATTAATTGTGTATTGACCTTTTCAGTGACCCAGCTATACAACCAAGAAACTGAGGGCTGTTGACTTTCCCTGTTTTTGGAGGGGTAGTATATTTCCATGCGGTTGGTCAGCCCTAACTCTACTCTTATGTCTCTTTTTTTTTTTTCCAAACAGATGGCAATAGTGTGCACAATAACTCGGCCGCGACAACGCCGGTCTCCAACACGGCAGCAATAACCTCAGCCTTGAACCGCAGCGGCATCAGCAGCAATCCCATCACCATCGCTGCTCAGATGAACATCGGCACCAGTACGGTCAACATCACGTCACAGGTCAACCTGCAGCACCCGGTCACTATCACCGGTCCGGTAAACCTGGTCAATATCCCGACAACGGCACACATGAATATCGCCCACCCGGTGGCCATCACTTCTCCCATGTCCATGAATATCACTGGGCCTCTCAACATCGCCATGAGGTCCATGGAGAGCATGCCTTTTCTATCCCAAGTTCTACCTTCCTCCCCTCCGTGGTAGAGATTCTTTTAGTCCATGTAAGAGCCGATAGTGTTTTAACTGCCTAATAATAATAATGAGGTCTTTTTAAAACTGTCATTTGACAGTGTTATTTGTATGTTAAAATTGAAACGCTAATAACTAATGTAATCTAACTCCCTAGATAGTAACCTATGATTGTTATTTGCAGGAGTGATTACTGCAATTGTACAATTTTATTTTTGTTTGTATTTATAGAAGAAAAAAATATTTCAAATATCCGTAATGATCATAGAAAAAAATTGTTTTGAGTGCTTAGCCACTCATCGGCGAGTAGTAGCCAACCTGTCTATCATAGGACGTGTTTTAATTTACTTTATTTTAGATATTTTAATATAGAATATTTCTAGAAAGGTTTTATTGATACCACACAGGACACACAGTTCTTGGCTAACCCTGAAAATGTATTACTGGGAAAATCAAGGTACTTCATCACATTGATGCAGAAATTCTGTAAATTAAATTTGACTATAAAGCAGTCCTGCTCATAGATATGGGACATTGCCCACACTTGCTTAATAAACCAAAATGGAGAGATCCCTCAATGTAAACAGTGAGGCAATCTTTCTGACAAATATTCAGTTATTTTCATCTCCAAGTATCCATCATATCACTTGAACGTACTTCCTCACTGTAGTTTTTTGCGTTGGTCAAGTCCTTCTCATTCCCATTGGCTGGTTTTCTGAGGACCATGTCCCTTTCAAGTATAAACAGTTAACTGGTTGGACACATTTCAGTGTGATCCAAGTACGGAACTCCAGTTAGGAGAACGATGGTCTCAACCAGCTGAAAAACACCATGGAATATAGTTGGAAGCTCAGAAACAAAGCCAGCAAATGGCCCTGTGGTCCAGAATTATCCGGCTCAGATTAACGTAATTTTGTGCAGATATTCGGTGTACATATTATTTCATGCCAAAGATTTTCTAAATATCTTGTTTTCCCCTGCTATATTTTAACAGATGAGGGGCAAACCTTTTAAATGGCATTCAGACCATCACAGGACACATTCTCCTTTCTGAAACCAGAGTTCAATGATCTTTTTTCATCAGAAGCCAACAATACCCATTATATTATCGCAATAATCATTTTCCTATTTGTATTATGGGATGTGTATACAATGTCAAATTGTTGTCATTACTAGTGGTAAACATGGGACAGATTTAATTACTCTCAAACCAAAAGAGTACGGTTTTCCATTTGGGTGTATAATTATTAGGCAGTTATCACAATACCAGCTGCTGCATTGTCACCCATGTTTTTGATTCCCCCCCCCCCCTTCTTGAGGGATAGTTAAGTTGAGCACTACTCCAGAATGTTCTCCTCTCTCCTTAGCTGCTGAAAGACAGTCAGGCTCTTAAAAGTAGCCGATTTTAAGATTTCTTATGTTGGACATCTCACTAGAGCTTCAGGCATTGCTAAAACAGCTCATTGATTTGTATTGTCAGTTATCCGATGCTTCCTCTTTTTTTAGTGGACTTATCAGTGTTTAATAGTTTTATGTATTTTAAACTTTAATAGCAAAACACAAAGCTGCAATTCTGAGAGAGTGTTTATTCTCTGCATTATTCCCCCACGTTTGTGTTGTATAATTGCTGAAAACCAGTCATGCAACACTGCTGGATGCTCTACACAAGTTTGTCTCTGTGTGTGTGTGTGTGTGTGTGTGTGTATATGTATATGTATATATATATGTATATGTATATGTATATGTATATATATATGTATATATATAAAAAATCTCCAACCATGACAGTTGAAGGTACAACTCAACAGAACATTTCTATCACTCAAGTCTGTCCCTTGCAATTTGCTGTTAAAATTGCAGTATTATCAAAGGTCAAATATTCAGAAATTTAGATAACTGAGGACGTCTTCTAAATGTAGAGGTCAAGAGAACTGCCTGGTGGCTAGAATCTGTACTAAATGAGTCTCCAAGTGAACCTGTTGTAAGTTTAGTTAGATTGTTTACTTTTGACAGGTATATGATCCCCATCACTGTCAGGCCAACTCAGGAAGGTTACTGAGAATAGTCTTTTAAACCCATTCACACACACTGATCACTTCTCTGTAAATATGAAAAAACACTATTTTACTGCCTTTAACTGTGGGAGAGGGAACATCTTTACTTACCATGGGCTAACAATGGAAGAACAATATCACCAGTGATGTGGCTGTCCATCCATCGAGAGAGGAACAATAAGTCTGTGTTTAATTCATCCACACACCATACCACTGTCATCCAAAAACACACAATGTATTCATACAATTCGATCTGTTGCTGAACCTTTTCACTGACATGAACTTCTTCAGTGCAGGAACTCTGAAGCAGTAACCTGTAGGGTGTGAACACTACAGAAGAGCGGTACTTAGAGGGGCATTTTGATTTAATGCAGAGGGCCAATGATTGGTGCGTGTTTTAACACTCCATCTGGCCAACCCAGATGTTTGGCCCCTTAGTTTCATTGTACGCATGCCAACATGCATGTAATGGCATTATGACCTTGGAATTTGATTGGTTTCTCATCTTCAGTCTTTTTTCCAATGTTACATGTGGATGATTGAGCTTGCCCCGTGTAGGTTTGAGTTCAAAAAACATTAGAAGGTTAGTGACTTTTTTTTAATGAAAACGAAACACTAAAGAAATATAGGATGAAAGGAAGTGTGTGTGATGTCAATTGTCCTTCTCCAGTTCCCGTAAACAAGTGTGCCTGAAATATTTTTGCAAGCGTCTTCACACACGTTGACACCTTCTCTGCTAGATGTGCCGTGTGATGGAATAGATTGTAAGGGAAGCCTTCATCAGTTGAGAGGGCCCAGCCAACCAAACAGTTTTTTAGGGGGGGGTCAAACTGATGGGCGTGAAGTTATTCTACTTCAGGAACAACCGTTTATCTGAATTTAGTTTTTTTTGGGTCAGGGTTGTATAGATCAGACATTTATGTTTTAATTTGACTCCAACCAAATGTGAAAAACATTATTTGGCCAAATAATGATTTGGAAGTTTATTTTTGTTTTATGTGAAGTTTGCATGAAGAAATTGGCAGATGTGAAGGCGAATGAATGTATATCTTTGTACAAACTATGTAGTTCGGAGAACATGTTAGTTAGGGCACATGCAAGAAAAAAAAAAACTTTTTATAAATCTTTTTGTATTAGAACATTAACAATGGTAATTTTTGTAATATACGATGGCTAGGCTTTCTGATTAGCAGAAAGGTAAAACATTCCAACATTTTTTTTAAATGTCCATTGAGAATAACTAAAGATATGCGCAATGTTTTACGTGCCTTTTATTTGGGTTTGTCTAAATAAAAGAAAACAATAAAACATGATTTTGGACTGTTCATGCTGAGTCGGAGAGGAAGTCTCATCTGAATCTCTCGACCGAGTCCCCTGCACTCAAGAGACTGTGCTCCTTTCTGCTTTCAGTTGCTTTTTTCAGGCTTTCGTCACAGTGTTCTGGGAGGGTGAGATTGTGGCTGAAGTCTTTTGTCTTTATGGATGATTCTCATCTTTACGGGCTCACTAGCTCACAGCGCCTGCTAATGATTAAGTGCCTCTGTGACTTTGCTTATTGGAGTCAATTGTGGGGGATTTTGTGCCAAACCATGGTCTGTATGTGACAACGACAAACATTTCGGAGTTTTTTTTTTCTTCCATTCTTTAACTATTAAACTTGGAAAATGTGATGGACTGTGTGAAGTGACTTTGTTTTGATATTCGACGGTTTAATGAAACAGGAATGAACAAAGATTTGATGCTGAACAATGTAAAGAAATCCTTTCTTTGTAGTCACTGTTCCGCACAAAAGTGTGTGCACTTCCTTTTCCACCTACTTGCCTTGAGCTATTTGCATTAGGACCCTAATTTCCAGGGCTGGTAAATGTTAATGCTCCAGCCTCACATGCTAATTAACTTTAATAAAGTTAGTTAAAAATTTAAAATATTAAAGTTACAAAATATTAAGCATAAAGTGCACTAGCGAACAAATCACAAAGTGACGACAAAGTGAAAAATTACAGTTAAAGTGACATGTGCAGTATGAAGGGGAGTGACTGGTGGAATGTTAGTCAGTCAGTGGAGGACCGGGCTCTGTTGATGAACAGCAGAATCTGAAAGGAATTGTTAGTTATGTTTTTGGAATAAACCACCCGGGTGTAAAGCAGCTTTAAATTAGTTAACAGGTTCCAAAAACAGATAATTATATATACATTATTGAGAATACTTCTGAATTTTAAGATTGGTTTGATGCTGCTTTGAGCACCCTCAGTAGCCACACACTTCCTTTTACTTCACACCAGAGATGAGTCCAATGAGGGTGGTGTCATCCGCAAACTTCAGGAGCTTGACGGACTGGTGACTGCAGGTGCAGCTGTTAGTGTACAGGGAGAAGAGCAGAGGGGAAAGAACGCAGCCTTGAGGGGAACCGGTGCTGATGGTCCGAGAGGCTGAGACATGTTTCCCCAGCGTCACATGCTTCAACTGCTCTAACCCTGAAATGGTGTTTGCAAATTAAACCTGCTGTCATCACATTATACCATTATCTTGCGTTCAGCACTGATTTGCTGTATTTACAACATTTAATGGGGTAAACTAACCTGTTGAGATTTTCAATTGCCTTTTGTTAGCTTTCCAGGAGAGGAAATTAGGTTCCCCCAGGTCAGACTAAATTATAGAAAAAATGTACGGAGTAGGGGAGGCTTTACTGCATGCTAGCAGTAAACAACACACAGTGCAGAGGTCGGCAACTTTCCGCATTAAAAGAGCCATTTGGCAAGATTCCAGCCAATTAAAACCCACGTTGGGCCGCGAAACCTATTTGACAGCTATAATGAAGAAAACACTGTCTTTTATATTGCACGTGTAATGAAATATGCAAAGTGAACAAAAACTTTAATTTTATTTCTGTGCTTGATGCAGCAAAATACTAAATTAGTTTGAACTCTTAACAAAAACAATACTGGCACGCATTTGTCTTGGAAATATAATACAAAATGCAGGTGCTTCACTTATTTTTGTCTTTAAAAGAAGAAAGAAAACACTTCACCTAGTGAGCATTTTTTGGTTGAAAAGACGTTGCAATAGTTTAAAAGTGAGTCTTTGCAACGTCTTCGTAGACGTTCAAAAGCAATCTATTTTTAGACCACATTTCAATGTGATTTTTTATACGGTAATATTTCGTCCTCTTGTGTGATATCAGTATTTTAAAGGTTTAAAAAGAAAATACGTCCATATTTGTAAGTTTACCACCGATATTATAAATCACGTTGAAAACGGGTCTAAACGTGAACGTCTTTTCAACATCTACAAATAGACAAACATATTAATTTATCAATTAATATGTATTATATGTAATATGTATTTGTATTCATTATAACACTTTTCCTAATTTAAAACAATACAAAAATAAAATACATGTCAGGAAAATAAACTATTGAATTAAAAGTGCAAAAACAACATGGACGTTAGTTTAGAATTCTGTGTTTGTAGTTTGTAGTTCATTTTCAGATTCTGTAACTAGATCTGGCTCTGAGTCACTTGCATTGGGATAGTATACCTGAAATCAGCTGCATCTCCCTCATCCTCACTCGATCATTCTTTGTGTAAAGGGAAGTCAGAGTGCGCAGAACACCCCTCAATTGCAGATTCCTCTAGTCAACATGTTCATTCAATTCAAATCATTTTATTTCGTTCAGCTTTTCAATCTGTAAACATGCTGTCCCAAAACACCCAAAATGTTAAAAAGAATGTGACACCACAAGTGTTTTACTGGAATAACACCAGGGTCTTTTCTTTATCATAAGAGGGGGAAGTCCTCGAGCCGGACTGAACAATACCAGTTCGGTTTACTCAAGGAACAGAGATCATATTGTGGTACAAAACAATAATTTATTAGTACATCAGTAAAAACAAACACTGTAAAACTATTCTAATTTGGCTGACAGCTTATCACGGAACAATCTGTGTACTTGCCCGGGTCCCTAACCACGATGAGGGTAGGGCGAGCGTCTGTGTGGAGGCAGCGAATCTCCCAGTACATCTAATCACCCGTGCAACCTAAAAACATGCAACACACACACACACACACTGCAACTCACTCACGCAACGGCAAAACAAAGTGCGTTAAAAACAGTTCATGCAATATCACACCACATGCTAAAATCTGATCTAAGAAAATACCCACGCTATTCCTCCACACAACGGGCACCCCCCGCTCGAAATAAATAAAAATAACAGTAGGCAAGTACCCGAAACAAAAACCGGAGCGCAGGACGAATACATTACATTACAGGTCATTTAGCAGACGCTTTTATCCAAAGCGACTTACATTACACTTTAAACCCATGGTTTTTCACATTTTTGCCTGGGGAGCAATTAGGGGTTAGGTGTCTTGCTCAGGGACACTTCAACATGGAACATGGGGCAGCCTGGACTCGAACCACTAACCTTGTGCTTCCCAGCACACCTTCTCTAAGCCCTGCGCCACGACGACCACATACAATGTTATGATATCAGCTGGTTACAATTGCTAATCGCTACTCGTACCCGGATACGGCAAAACAGCAGTTTGTGCACCACCTGGAAAGGCTGAGGAGCTAAACCCTCCCCAATGACGTCCGAAGGGACTCCACTCCAGGTTGAGATCTGTAAGCTGACAATTTCCCCCATAACAAACAACCTACCAGTTAGCGACCTACCTGCTACTCTCCTCTCAGCGGACTGCTAGAGAACGGGAGACGGCCTGTAAAATAGGGCGCTCATTGATGACGTCAGCCCGACCCCTTGACACTACCCAACACATCTACCCCCACTACTTTTACCCTCGGGACGAGGATAAGACTCACCTCCCTGACTTAAGACTAAGGGGACCTAAAACGGTAGCGCCCTGCCCACTCACGGTTGTCTGTGGCAAGCGATGAACGTTAGAGTGTCAAAATTCTGTAGGGTGTTGGGTTCCAGTGATCCTGGATCTTGTTTCTTCCCCTTACGCTGTGGTCCCTCAGATACACCAACTGGTCCACGGTCAGCCCTTCGTCAACATTTCGGTCGTGTCTCTCCTCTCTCCGTTGTGCAGCCCCCTGCATACGATGTCTTGCCCCGGCATAGGCTGCTCGTAGTCGCCTCTGGTGTTCACCAAGCCAGTGGTCCACCGTACCTGCAGCGGAGTCTGTTACTCTCCCTAGCAAGAAGTCCACCGGCAACTGTGGATCTTGACCAAACATCAGCAGATAAGGCGACTCACCAGATGATTGGTGTATGGTGGTGTTGTAGGCAGAGATAAGTTGTGGGAGGTACAACGTCCAGTCCCTCTTCTTCTCCACTGGCAGCGTGCGCAGAAAATTGTGCAATGAACGGTTGAAACGTTCACACTGCCCATTTCCTTGCGGTCTGTAAGGTGTGGTCCTACTTTTCTGAACCCCGTACAACTCACATAGCTGCTGGATGAGTACCGCTTCAAAACCTTTCCCTTGGTCGGAATGAATCCTAGACGGAACTCCACTGTAGGTGCTCGCTGGTCTCGAGTGGGAATGGCCTGTGTATACTTGGAAAATACATCAGTCATTATCAGAACATGTTCTCTACCATCTCTAGCCGGTTCAAGCAAGGTAAAGTCAATGGGCCAATATCTGATTTGGCCGGGAGGCCAATAAATGGCCCATGGAGGCACGGACTTTTGGTTGGACCGCTTTTGCCAATGTACAGCGTTCAAAGTTCTGGCAATACTCTTTAATTTCATTAATCATACCTGGCCAGTAGCATCTTTGTCTCACTAGGTCGGTTGTTCGTTCTACACCTTGGTGTCCTTGGCCCTGATGTAACTGGTGCAATACTTCCTCTTTTTTAGTTTAGCAGGCAATACTAGCTGTCGTCCTTCCTCCCCGCCATCTGGTCTAGACACACGGCGATACAGAACTCCCTCCTCCTTTGTCACCCTCTCCCATTGGCGAAGCATCTCCAAAACTGATTTGGGGATGGCGTGCCTCTCCCGCTGGTCTGGGCCTCATTTCCGGTTCCAAAAAAACAAAAAGTGACTGATGATAGGATCAGCTTCCTGCAACGCAGCTAGATCTACAGCAGAATGGGTAGGGAAAACTGACACGGTTGACTTAGTTACCTCCATGGTCGGTTGTATGCCGAGTTGTGCTATCATCTGGGGGATGGCACTGCCCGGCATCAAGGCACCATATCCTTCAGCAGGCGCATCAGTTTGATACTGCCGGGATAATCCATCTGTATTACCATTGGCTCGGCCGGGTCTGTACTTAATGGTGAAATCAAAATCAGAAAGTTGAGCGGCCCACCGCTGCTCGAGGGCACCCAATTTAGCCGTGGATAGATAACTTAAAGGGTTATTGTCCGTATACACCACACACTTCTGACCCAGGAGATATTCCCTGAATTTCTCGGTCATGGCCCACTAGAGCGCCAAGAACTCCAACTTCATGGAACTGTAATTTGTCATATTTCGTTCCGTTGGCTTCAATCCTCTGCTGGCGTAGGCCACTGGTCTCACCTTACCACTCTGCTCCTGCGAGAGCACTGCTCCAAGACCACTGTAGCTGGCATCGACTTCCAGGATGAATGCCTGGTGCATTGCACTGACCAAAGGGCATACGGTTAAATTCGAACAACCCGATAGGCGTACAAAAAGCTGTCTTGTTCTTGTCGGCCTCTGCCACGGCAACTTGATTGTACCCACTGGCCAGATCCATGGTACTGAACCAGCGGGCACCCGACAAGGCATCCAGCGACTCTTACTCATTGATGACGTCAGCCCGACCCCTTGACACTACCCGTCACATGAAATTAAACTGGGAGAAACCTGAGGGGAAAACAGCAGAGAAGTAGGTGTGTAGAGTATAAACAACTTAAAGATGTACAGTACATTAAATTCCTACAACAAAAATTATTCAAATATTGTGAATCATTAAGCCAGGTGTAAGGCAGGACCAGTGCAGAGACAACATCCATCAGATGTAAACCACCATCCACAGAAACCTGTGAGGAGGGAAAGCACAAAGACTTCAGGGAAAAGGCAAAGGTGGTAATTTGGGTTTATGATGACAGTAATAGTAAAGTGACTAATACTAATGATAACCGCAGGTGTGTTAAGGCTGGCGCATGCTTCTGCGTCGTTGCGTCGACGCACTCGTTTCAATTCATGGTTCTAAAAGTCTTCCTTGTGTTGCAGAGCAATTCAGCGCCAGAACACCAGGTGGAGCCCGTTAGAACCATGAATTGAAATGTGTGCGTCGACACAACGGTGCGTAAAGACTGAGACGCCAGCCTTTAAGCATGCAGTAACCAATTCAGCCCTCCACCCTTGCAATCTATATTTAGCCCCAATTGCTTTAAAAACGTGTTTTCAATATGAAATGGGAAAGACAATAATATTTTATGGATATACCAACAACCTAACGCATAAGCAACACCAAACACAAAAAATAATCTAGGTTGTTTATTTTTGGTGCAGGTCATCGTGTTGAACGCTAGCATGCTCCAAGCTAGCATGCTCCAAGCTAGCATGCTAACTAGCAAACTACCGGCGCTAACGCTAACTAGCTTACCAAAGAGAACAGTCTTTCCCGTATCGAGTGGCCAGGACAAGTAAAGCAACTGGTTATAGTTCCAGTGTGTTTCATTCAAACACTCACGTACTTACATTTCTCGTAAGAGTATTGGAGCCGGTAGCCGACCAGTTCATCAATTATTATGAAAATCTTAAATGTTAATATAGTCTCTCTTTCAACCATACGTTACAACATGACACATTTATCAACAAATTGATGTTTTTTTGGCACGTTGATATTTCATCCACTTATATCCTACAAGATTCACTCTTCTCCCGAGTAGTAGCTATAATCAAATGGAACAACAATGCTGCATACCGTCAGCGCAAAACAAATCAATATTAAAAAACAACAAGGATCTCGTCTGTTAGAAGCGAGGGAGCCGTGACTACTGAATTACTCCCTCCACACATTCTTGGTCATTACCTTACAGATGACTTGCACTGATTGCCTGAGTTAGCCAGGGTTGCTTCTGAATGAAATTAAATGTGTCTGTTAGTAAGCAAGGGTCACTAATTAGCATTACCAAGTTTTCTGTTAGCTCTAGCGGTCGACCGCACATGCATGGTGACTAGGGCTGGGTATTGAGAGCCGGTGCCATATTGGCATATCTACGACCGGTACCTACCGGAACGAAAAGCTAAGCGATTTTGGTGCTTGCTTTTGGTACCTGAGCCGATTGAAAAATGCTATGGCCATGATCACATCACGCCAGTTCTCAGGTCTTTACACTGACTTCCTATCAAATAAATAACTGACTTCAAAATCCTGCCGTTGGTTTATAAAGCACTGCATTCAGTGCTTTAGGGCATTCAATGCTTTAGGGCCAAAGTACATTTCTGATCTGCTGATACTTTATGAACCACCACATCCCCTTAGGTTGTCTGGGACTGGTCTACTTTCTGTTCCCGGAGTAAAAAGTAACATGGAGAAGCAGTCCGTTTTTCTGCTCCACATATGTGGGAACAGAGTCCCTCAGCTTCTCTAAATCTAGATTAAATATTTTTCTGTTTGATGCAGCCTTTAATTGATTTTTGCATTTCGGAAAAAAAAACCTTATACTACACCGCTACTACACTTTTTGACTGTTTTTCTTTTATGTTTCAATCAATGTTCTTAAATGTTTGTAAATCTTCTTGATTTATGTTTGGATGTTTTTAATGGTTTCAGTATAGGCTACTGGTCCATGTTAAAGTGTTGTCCATATGTTCACAGTTTTACTAATGCTTAATTGCATATTATGTTAACTTTACAATGATCCCATTATAGGCTGACCAAACATTTGAGACTAAAGCATACTGTAATTTGAGTGTCCAAGCTTTATGCTTAGGATGTTCTTGGCATTCTCCAGCAGTTTATTCTTCCAATATCAGGTTTTTCTAACATTACCAACCTCATTTCGTCAAACAAACAACAAAGAGACAACCAGTGAACAGCTGTGATGATCTGTTACGACGGATTCTTCTCAGAATTGATGACAAGTGACATTGTGCATAAGAACCTTTTAATTTTCTGCACTGAATTGGAAAAGATTGTAAAAACATAACCCACAAACCTCTTAGTAAACGTCTGCAGATAAGGGACAATTTTGACACTAGTTAATGTCTAAATTCATCAAAACATTATAGATGAAAGAAATGTACAAAAAGATTCCCTTATTACCAAAGTAATGCGTAAACACAAGAAAATAAAACATTTTGTTTATGTCAATACTGGATTTAATATTTTGTAAATGTGGCTTTATTATTGGAAATGGCATTCAGTCAGTGAGTGGCAGAGGAGGAATGAGAATAATTGATGTTCCACAAAACTCAAAGGAAGTTCAGGATTGCTACATGTCTACAAAATCTAGTTATGTACACTGTACAGAGATACATCTGTTACAAAGAAAAGATAAGGTTCATGTCTGAGTGGATCTGGCAGATAATAGTATTATAAAGGGACTAAACAGTGATCTGAAGCAGTCACATTGACACTCCTCTAGGCCAGATGTTAACAAAGCCATTCGTGACCTGGATAAGGATTAGACTTCTGTCTGTAGGAAACAAGTACAAAACAACGGGACGCTAATATACACGTTTAAGACAACGAATTAACTATCCTGTGATCTGAAGATATATTTTCTCCTGATCATGTCTTATTAATGGCATTTCATCCAGTTAAGGATGAGAATGATTTAGCAAATTAAAAATATCACAATTTAAATGTTTTTGTTTTTGACAATTTAAAGTCATGCAAAATTAAGTGACGGGCCAGGCACTGAAGACACATTAATTCATTGTTTAAGTGCCTTTACTACAAACTTGTAGAAAAGGCTTTGACTGGTCGGAAGGTAAGTGCTTTGACTGGTCGGAAGACTAGAAAAGCGCTATACAAGTACAGTCAATTTATCATTATTGGTCACTATAAACATGGTAGGTGTCAACCACTGCTGCTAACAGAAGCTGATCAAATTTGGTAACAAAATGAGACAACGGTCTTTATATTTGGATCAATCTTCAACTTAAAGTTGATCCCATTTTGATAGAGTTAGCTACGTCAAAACATTTTGGGGGGAACAAATAAGTCAGGATTGTGTACTATCTGTAGCTAGATAAAAATGTTGTTGGCTTCCACACACAAAAATAAAGCATGAAGGTCAATGAGACATTGAACACTTTGGGCTAATGAAATATGATAGCTAAAATATCATTGCATTTATGGTAGGCTTGATATCATGATGGGAAAGGAGCCAGCGCATACCATATTAAAACAAATGTTTGCCTTCTTAGAAATGTGGCCAGAAGATTGACCTTTTCTGGTACTTAGTATGAAACATACTATTTTACAAAGTCTGTAGAGGCTTGGAGCATTACAAAGCTTACAAAGCCAAGGACAACAATAGGAAAATGGGGAATTTGTGTCCTTTTTTATCATATGAAAGAAGTACCAAACCAACATTTCACTTACATGCTTGTGAAAGTGAAATGTCTCTTTGTTCAAATGTTTTTACTACAATATCTTTACACTCCAATCTCTTTTGGATTAGTATTTCTTATTCACATTCTTAATTTCATTCAATTCGCATTACAAATTACTGCCTTTTTGAACAGGAAGATACATTTTCATTGGTCTTCACAGAAGGGACAGAACTGACAACACAATGACAGTTCGATCATGCTAAAACTTAACAGTCCCTCGTTTGGACAGAGTTTGGTTCCTGTGGGAAATGTGTTAAAAAATGTATGCTTTTAAGACCATTGTTAACATCAAATGTTGTAGACAGCAATACATTGCAGTTCCTAGACAAATAACTTATTCCCGTGATAACATAAACTTGTGCATCTCCTTCCATCTGCTCCAATGTTAGGCTCCTTCTCGTCAACGAACATCCCACAGGTTCACTGTGCTGGTTAATCACACCTCTGTCTGCTGTTGTGAGTCAGTTATGATGGTCACCCCTCGACAAATCTCATCCATACTGTCAAAGTTACTGCCATGTTCAGAATCATCCAGGCTGCAGTGGGCAAACATGCCAGAGGCTGATGATGCACCAACGGACAGTCCCACATCAGTACCCCCATTTCCTGGGCTGATGCCATTTATTGAAGAGCTGAAGTCCCCGCGGGGGGCCTCTCCAACAGGCATCTGATGGGGAGGAAGGTATTGGCTGGGGTGGAAGCGTGGCAGGGCATGTTGATGCCCGGTGCTGCCAGAGCTCAGGGTGCTGTCTTTGGAGATGGGTGTGTTGGTGGGCAGTGGCACATAGAGTTCAGCATAGTCTTCACCAGTGGGCAGTGGAGGTGACAGCTGGTCTTGGCTCAAGAACTCTTCTTCGTGGGGATGGGGGTAATCACTGTCAATGTCATAGCCTCCCAGGTAGTAGTCTGACTCTAGTTCACGTGTGCTTCCTTCAAGGCGGGGGGCTGTGCCTGCGACATTAATGCCAGGACCTGCCTCGTAGCCTGGCACCTCTTCAATGTCTGACAGCCTGGTGCTCGGCATCCAGTCTGATGTGTCCCAGTGATATGCTGGACAGTAGAAGGGGAAATGGTTAATAACAATTCGGACCGTGAAATAATACAAAAAACAATTGGTCTCCACATTCTAGAGCTCTGCAGCAATACAAACAACAACAATACAAAGGATTTGAAGGTCAGGTACATGACAAGGCACAACCTGTTCAGAAAAACATGTGTGTGTCATGCACAATAGCAGCCGGTGAGGGTAGGGGTCATAGGTGTCACAACATGCTGAGATTCATGAAGACAGGCCATGTTGATCGGCTCAAAAAACAATTAAATAAACTGCCACCAGATTGCAAACAAGTAAATACAGAGTTGCAAATGGTTTTCTGACTTTGCAAGTTGATAAAAAATGACTCAGTGCAGCATAAGAAAGCTCAGAAAGTATTTTCTAAATTATAAAGTTGTACATTACAAAACCTTGGATATCTCCGCCAAGCAAAACATGGTACTATTTTGTCTGCAATGGGACTTTGTTGGTGAAAGTGCGCTAACACCATAGCAAACCCCAACTATTCATCGACATACAGTACATGCATACATTCCGTGTCCCATTGCAAAGATCTTCTGACCAAAAGGACAGTGTGCCAACAACTTTGCAGCTTAATTTAACTCAGTACCAGTCAAAGATTTGGACACATCTTCTCATTCAATGAGAAAGTGTGTCCAAACTCGACTGGTACTGTCTAAGGGCAAAGGGTGAGTGACAATAACGAATCAAACAAAAAGACATACATGCACAAAAGCAGAACACAAACCATGGACTGAGCCTGTGAAAACGTCATCACGCAACAACTGGTACAGTACCATCACTGAGCTGAAAATAAGTAAAGCTAAGTGAGATTATGGGATGCAGCAAGGTGAGAGTCGCATGCAAACATTTGTTGGGGAGGGAGCAGAGCGACATCCCTCGGGCTACTAATTCAGTACAGTACAGCACAATGAGTGGGAAACAAGCTGTGGGAGGTGTGGTAAATCACATCAAATCATTCATATGCATGTAACCCTCCAATCCGGACACGGATGAACCGCGGAATTATTCAATGACAAAGAACGGAAGTATGCACAGATGGGTACACAGAAAAATAAAGATACAGGGAGTAGACAAAATAGTTTCGGTCAGGAGAATCTAGTATTGAGATGAAAAGTCCAGATTTAATTTTCGCGCAGACTATTCAGGGAAAATGCCTGACTACTTTTATGCTACCAGTGGTGGAACCCAGATCCATGGATCTGGGTTTCTGTTTACTTGGAGTAGATGCAGGTGCAGCTAATGTGAAAATAGGGGGCGATGATTTTCATTGCAGAATAGTGGGAGGAGTGGTAGCCTTAGGGTGAAAGAGAATAAAGCACATTATTTCACTGTTTACATCAATGTTTAGCATCCCCCTGATTTTTCAACATATTACTGCCACCTATAAACAGCAGAATATTATGAAACGTTGAAAGGGGAAATGCTGGCACTAGAAGACAGGTCCACAAAATTTAATGGAGTTTAATTGAATGAAAATTGCATTGATACTTCTTGTTCTAACATACACTGATCTACCATTGTCATTGTCATTTAACATTGTGGCGGCTGGGTAAAACAATGCGTATTTAAAATGTTGATTCTGTTCATTCGCAAAGTTATTTTCATGGGTGATTGGTATTTTGTCTACTCGCTGCAGATAGAAAAAGAGAAAAAGATTTGGTGGGTTAGAGGATATTTAGGGAGGTAGGTAGGTGGGTGAATAGGTAGGGGGCTCTGGTAGTCACCTCTGTTGTAGGTTTGACCGTAACTGTAGTCCATAACTGACACTATCAGACGGAAGAAATACATAAAACAGAGCTCTTTAGTATTAGATCAGGATTGTCTCCTTTTCTAAATGTAATTTTAAAGAAACAAAAAATTTAAGCTTTCAGGTCCTGTGGGAATTTGGATGTCTATTAGTTGCTTTTGTTTAGTTAACGTCATAGCTCACCTTTCCTCCCCATAAAATAAAAACGAACTCAGAAGTAAAAGTGCTGACTACAAACCTCCTGATCTCGTGGGCGCTGTAGCTATCATAAAGATTGTGCATCTGTGTGTGTGTAACAGCCACCTGTAGACTCTCCAGTTTTGTCAATTTTGTTCCGCTGGATTTTGACGCTTTCTTGATTGTCGTTGTGTATTCGTGAAGTACATTACTAGATCGATAGATAAACATGAATCTTTCACCCAAGTAAGTGTATATGTGTCTTTGCCCCAGTTTGCAAAGAACAAATTCACCTACAGCCAATCTGTATGTTTGTGTCCAATTTTCTCTTTCTGTTGACTTTTTTTTGCATCTGTAGCCTGTCTTAACATTTTCTTAGCATCTCATTGGGGAGGGAGTGGGGCTGAATGGTTGGTCAAGTCTCTGACTTTGAGAATGGAGACCAGGGTTTGGACCCCACACTTCCGCTTAAGCACTTGTTATTATATGGTTCAAATAGTGCTCAATTTTACTTTCCAGTACAATGGTTGGGAAAAAATGTAATGTTACTGTAATTAAGTCTCAAAGAACAATAAATTAAACCTTTCTGTGCCATGGATGGTTAACCATGTGCCACAATGAGGAGCTTACAGCCAGCAAGCTACCAACCGAAGACCACTCACCTGAGGAAGTGGTGTAAAATGGAGGAACTTGTCAGTGCAAAAAACTACTGAGGTCATCAGTATATACTAAGAGCTAATGGAGTGTTCGATTGACTAACCACTGACTTTGAGAAAGGGGAACAATAAATGATCTGTTAAAATAAATTAAGGTAATCTTTGTACAGTGCCCAGGAGGGTCCACTTATTGAAATACACAGTATGTTACAAACAGTGAGTGTTTTTTGTTTTATCATATAATTGCAGACACCTCTGATGACCAGACTGAGACAAGAGAAGAGTGAAGGGAGAGACATAAAGGGGATAAGACATGGTACCTTCACTTTCGATTGTGTCGACTGCATCATTGACCAGTCGAATGACGGTCACTATGGAGGCTTGCGGGGGGAGAAAAGGAGATAAGTTTTGAATTACAGTCATCCAAAGTGAGAAATCCTCTCCATGGTGTTAGTTCGTTCACACCTGTGGCACTGCGTATAGCTGTCCACTACTTATCCTGTCTGCTGAAAGGACACCTGGTCTGCCACTGGCACAGACAAAAGTTCTTACTGATTTTGAAGTTTGGGGCCAGTTTGCATACAACATTGTTCATATGTACGGAGATACTTAAGTTGAAATAAATGCTCAAACAATATGGCCAAACAAAGAAAAGGACCTTCACAAATGCAAAGAAAACCATATAAGAAAACAATACGCTAAACCAAGAACACAACACTACTTTTTGTCTTTTTAGTGCACTGATGACACCAGTTAGACAAGCCAGTGTTTCCACTAGGTTTACAACTTCAAGGGGGGTGGTGCGAGCGCCACATGCACATATTCACGCTCGTAATCACGCAAGTAATCACTTTAGACAGCGTGTATTTTAGACAATGTTGTTGTTTTTTTTAGACAAATTGTATTTTAAACACAAAACTACACACATGTGATCATCTTGGAGGCAGCGTCCCAAGGAATGGAACATGTTGAATTAGCGTCCTTGTGCACTTTGGTGAGCTCTCAACTCTCCATCATTTAACGGCTGTGTTTGAAGTTCCAGCCATCTCCCCACATTTAGCCAGGACGTTTTCCACACCACTGTCTGTTTGGGACACAGCGGTGGTCCTCTTCAGACTGTATACATGGTAGATGTAATTACTGTATTATAAGTATTGCATCATTATATACTGTACTGTATACTAGATGTTGTATTAGATGTTGAGATGGAAGTACATTTACCTAGAAGTGCGTAAAGTGGTCTGTTTGCCACTCACCACCCTTCTGTTTGACACATGGAGGAATTCCTTTGCACAGTTCTCCATTGTATGTGGCACCTCTGTTTGTTTTACTTCCAATTCAAAGACTATCACAAACTATCTTGCTCTCTCCTGTCTAACTCAGTGCAGCTAGCGGCGGTTTTGTTTCCTCTATTGAAAATCAAAGGATGCAGGGAAAATTAAACGCAAAATCAAATCAGTTACAAGACAAAAGCTACGACCACCAGCACCACATTGTGAACTGGTCCACACCTCTTAGCTTTTTTAAGAAGGATTGTAACAATGCTGTTATGATATTGGCAGGGTTTCAGAAAACATTTCTGAAAGTGTGAATGCATTTTTGCATTATTTGATTATTATTATGCTGCTTAGTTCTGTTCTAAAAATGTTATTTTGTCTCCAAATTTGATTTTGAATTTCTTTAGAAAGCCTATCTACCATTTAGATTACGAATGTGTGGTCAATTCATCAAAACAATGTTTGCTCATTTCGTCGTGGCGCAGGGCTTAGAGAAGGTGTGCTGGGAAGCACACGGTTGGTGGTTCGAGTCCAAGCTTCCCCATGTTCCATGTCGAAGTGTCCCTGAGCAAGAAACCTAACCCCTAATTGCTCCCCGGGCAAAAATGTGAAAAAAAAAGCCATGGGTTTAAAGTGTAATGTAAGTCGCTCTGGATAAAAGCGTCTACTAAATGACCTGTAATGTATTGTAATGTAATTTATTTTCAGGGACCTTCTGGCAGCGATCAGAAGATGGTATTAAAAAGTTAAGTTTAAGGTAGTCTCTGGGTAAGGGATGTAAGGGGTAAGGGATTTAGCACAGCAAAAAGTCAATATTTTGATTCACACCCAACCCCCACTTCTGAATTGTCACTAAAAACTTTAATCAAGTTTAGTCAAACAGAAAAAGTAAGTAAGTTCCTTTATGTGGATGTCTATAATGATACTGAGATACTGTGTTGGCTTATTTGAGGAAATTGCACTTTCTTGTTTCTTGTTCTCCTGAGTTTGTAGCCTATGGTTGAATGCACTTATTGTACGTCGCTTTGGATAAAAGCGTCAGCTAAATGACATGTAATGTAATGTAATGTGTTAATCTCATATATTATATGATATATTATAAATATGTTATATTTGATGGGCTTCTCTCAGAGGATATGGAGTTCCACCATCTGGAAAAAACACTGATGAAATGTATATCTATATTACACAGGAAGGTTACTCCGTAATGCCAAAGACAACAACCCCACGTTTTTCTTAGAGCACTGTAGCCAGACTGACAGAGAGTCACAGCCGTGCATTCCTATCGACCTCCGTAGTAATGACTACATGAATGTCTTCAATAACACATTTTAATTAGTAGAAGACAATATTACTAATCTCCTGCCCCAACCAGTACCAATTGACAGAAGTAAGTTTGATAGCCAATACAAAGAAATACAAACCTATTACTGCCATATTGGTTTCTTTGCACTGGCTCCTTGTAAATTCAAGATTAGAATTTCAAAGAAGCAATTAGAGCTGCAATCTCAACTACTCAAGATATGGATTATTTTTCTCACAAATGTACAACCACACAGCCTGAAGGATGTCACAGGTTTTTGCAAAAAAAACAATAAAAGCATAATAAAATATGATTCACTAATGAGTGCAATTAAAAGACGGAAAAAAGGGACACCCTGTGGAACCAAATAATTAACAAGCAAACCAAAACTCAAAATAACCACATTCACATACAAACTTGGGTATTCTGAGAACCTGAACCATTCCTGCTGCAGGTGCAAAGTGTCTTACCATTATCGTCACAAGCGTCAGACTGGAAGGAGCTCAGTGATTGGACCTCAGAGTTACTACTTTTGTTGCTCCCAGAGAAACACGTCACTTCCTCTGCCATGTCAACCATCTCACCTGATTGGAGAGGGAGAAGTCAGGGGGTAAGAGGCCAGATACCAACTACTTAGATTATTTGTTTTTTCATTTGTATTTATTATGGTATTATTAGTACTAATTAAATTAATTATTTATGTCACCTAGGTTGACTATGTTTTAATATTATTATGTTTTTCATTCTTCACACAGGACATCTATTATACTTCGGTCATTTCTCATGCGGTGGTCCTGGAATGTATGCTACACAGATTGTAAAGCCTGCTGAGGAAAGAAAATATATAAATTAACAAAAAACAAAACACCCAGAATTTACGGAAGGACTTTGGACTTTGACAACTTTGCACTGCATGACGTTACACAGAGGCAGCCAATGAAGGAAGCTGGTCAAATGGATTTGAATGTATGTGATAACAATTATATTAAAAAAACAAAAACATTTAAACGTATGAATTCAGTAGCCTTCCGAAAAGAAACAGAAGAGCTGCTGCTCACACACCAGCCCTTCTCCCCAGAAGACACAAAAAACGGTCCCTACTGCAAATTGACACCAACTAGAGATCACAGTATACAGATAAAAAAAAGTTTTTTGCCTCACACGGCAAAAATGATATGACTTAATTAGCGCTAACATATTCTAAATATAAATTCTCACTCATTCTCACTCATTTTACTACTAACAAGCAGTTAGTAGTAAAAAGCAAACACACAGACTTACCCTCATCATCCCATGGACTCTTGCGTAAGGAGTCACAGTCTGAGCGACAAGGCGAAACTGGTGGCAGGTTGGGGGCCACGCTACACACCACTATCCCCCTCCTGGTTGTTCCTGACAAGATCCTTGGAGACTCTGGGTGAAAAGTGCTCATCTCTGTATGCTCCACACCACGCCCATCCACCAACTTTTCCAGCGTGGACCGCGGGTCTCCTTGGAAACAGGGTGTGTATGCCATGGGCCTCACAGGAACCTGTGGAGGTCCCATCATTCCACCGCCTCCCGCTACAATGGCCCCATGCCCTGTCTCGGAGTACAGGTGGAGAGGATCACCTGGTGTGCAATGTAGGGTCTTAAACTGAACACCGTTGGCCTTGTTGAGGAGTGCTGCAGTGGCTGGGTCCTGGACCAGAGACAGGTTGTTGCGAGAGTAGTTCTTTTGGAAAACCTTCTTACGGAATGCGATGAAGAGGAGGATGAGGGTGATGATCACCAAAAGCACAACAGCAATTCCGATCAGCTCCTCTTTACCGACCACAGTGTGACCGGCCTGCATGTCAGGGACGACAACAGGTCGCAGTCCGCAGCGTTGGCCCACAAAGCCCGCCGTGCAGTTACAGTAGAAGGAACCATAAGTGTTAACGCAGACGCCACTGTTGTCACACTCGCCGTCTGGATTGCCTTGGTCACATTCGTTCACATCTTCCTCACAGCTGCAGGATGGAGGAGAGAGGAGAAATAGTAGTGAGCTCATAGTGTATGGATGCCTTGTGATTGGTCAGATACCTGCTCAAAGATTGCAGATGAACAGCCAGAGAGTGAGAGATTTAGTTAGGATCCACTGCAGATAGATTGTAGGAGAAGAAGTCCCTGTGTGGGCTTACAATACAAGCCCATTTTCTCTTGCACTAGAAGCTACTTTGTGCAGTTTCAAGTGTCATCCAGTTCTAAAAAAGATCAGTGGCTCAGTCCATACAAACTCCACAAATCCACAGACCTTGATTTTGAATTTCTATGGGGGACCCAAAGTGAATTAGCAGAAATGTAAGTAGGTAGTCTACAAATCAAAGTGTCCTCTAGCAAGGTGTGAATTAATATGGCTGCTGATGAGAAGGTGGCACATTGCATGGCATCCTCTGTCACCAGCCTGTGAATAGGTGAATGCTGGTCACTAAGGAAAATATTTTAGAAATGCAGTGCATTTTCCATTTCATGGGATTTCCTGTTTTTCATATATTATATTAAAGGTCATTTCAATGACACTTTTTATCGAAAGCAACTTACATTGTATTTTAACCCATAGCACACCTAACCCCTAATTGCACAGGGAGCAATTAAGGGTTAGGTGTCTTGCTCAGGGACACTTCAACATGGGACAAGGAGAAGCCGGGGCTCGAACTGCCAACCTTGCAGTTCCCGGCAGTTAAGTTAGGCACACCCTTCCTACTCCATGCACCACCATCGCATGGAGCAGGGAGAATCAGTCTCCCTGTATCTCTGGATAATGTAGAAAGTAGTTAAAGCCGCATATTCAAACTTCCATTCAAACTGTGTTGTATTGGAAAGGACACAAATTGACAGCTGGACAAATACATGCAAAACCTCTTTAAATTCAGCTTTGTGTGTTTGGACTGGAACTCACATCAGACCCTTGAAGCCCCTCCTGCAGCTACAGAGGAAGGCGTTGCCGATTGGCCTACATGCGCCACCGTTCTGACACGGGTTGGGAATACAAGCCGTTATTTCCATCTCACAGCGCCCTCCGGTGTACTGGGGCTTACAGGTGCACGAGAACCCTAGCAGACAGACAGAAGATCTCGTTCATTAAGGATCTAGAAAATTCAGTTCACTGTTTACAAGTCAAACAAACAGTTTGTTTTAGAAATTACGAGACACACACACATACATCCACATTTACACACACGAAAATGGCATACCTTGATAAAAACTGTAATAACTCTAATTGCTTTCATAGCTCATAAATTATATAAACATGGAGATACCAAGCTTAAACCACATTTACATGATAGCCCAGTATGTGGACAGTACACATGTAACGTTCACGTTGATGGAGTCAGGATTACTACTCTTGAGGAGGCTTTTATGAAGGCCCCACGGCAGCCGAACGACAGGAGTCAGAATATGTTTGATTTTTCCCCAAGGCCGGCTCTGGTTGGTCTGCCCCGTTCAACCACTTTGATCGACAAAGTTAGCAACTCAGAAGCCGAAATGGGTAGAGCGTAAAATGACGCTCGAGAGTGAGGATTGGCTGTAAAATTTGAGCCCTGACCCCCCTAACGTCCTTTAAAAGTACCAAGAAGCTGTCACGCAAGGTGGCCGATTTGCACTGCAGAATCATTTCATTCAAAAACGGCAAAGGTAGATAGATTCATACACTTCGAAGGCCTGGTAGTTTTTGTACTCTAAATTTGGCAAAGTTGGTCAGAGAGGAATGTCAAAGATGACTGAATTCAGTGTAATCTCAGTTTTGCCATGGTTTCTGTGTTAGCATTTAGCTTTGAAGTATTGTTCAACCTTTCCTCAGCGCTGTTAAGATAAAAGCAATGGAGCGCTACAATTCCCAGGGTGTTTGTCTCATTATAGAGTAAAAGTGGAACATGTAACTTGTGGGAGGTCCATCAGTGTTCAGTGAGTCCTGCTGGTTCTGTAACCTGTGCTGGCACTGTGTAGTAGGGGAATTCTACCATCAGCTGCTGATTAGTCTTGAGTCTGAATTTGTATGCTCTGTATGAAAATTGCCAGACTTGTAATACATTGGGAGCTGTGCCGATCTACCCAATCCACCTTCCATTATTAATCATAATGTGTGTATCAAAACTGTGTTTTCTCTTCTTTCTATTAGTCGAACAGTTCCATTTAAATACATCAATGAGTTGCATATGTTCATTCATCATGATTAACATACCCCCAAGTTTATTTTGACTTTACACACACAGTGCTGCTGCCACAAATACTTACTAGAGGACCTAATGTTTTTAACTCACTATTTCCTCCCACTTGGTTGGGAGGAAATAGTGAGTTTATTGGAAGTACAGCGAGCAGATGTTTGGATAATGCTTTAATCTTTTAAAAATGTTTTGAAGATTTATTACTACAATACCAAGCAAAATATTAAAGGGGACATATTATGAAAATTCCACTTTATTAGTGCTTCTACACATTCATTTGGGTATCTGGCATGTCTACCGACCCACAAACTGGTAAAAACAACTCCCACGATTTGTTATGGTTCTTGTACGTCAGAGTGAGTGACTGAGAATGAACTTCCTTATCATTCTCTTGTACTCCCTACAGAACACAATTGTCTTTTCGTAACTCCTCATGAATAGTCCTAACCATCTTTCCTTGACAGGAGGCACGGTGGTGTGGTGATTAGCACTGTTGCCTCAGAGCAAGAAGGTCCTTGGTTTGATTCCACCCAGCAGCCTTCCTGTGTGGAGTGTACATGTTCTTTCCGTGTACTTCGGCTTTCTCCCACAGTTCAATGACATGCTTTAGGATTTATGTTAATTGGCGACTCTAAATTGCCCAAAGGTGTGTGAGTGTGATGTTGGCTGAGGTTCACTCCAGACCACCCCCCCGCAACTCTGTATGAAGGATTAGCAGCTTTGAAGATAGATGAATAGATGTTTCCTTAAGCCCTTGAAATTTTCCACAGAGGTCAAGAAAAAGTGGTTAGGAATAGACGTTAAGAGGTCATTTTTTGCACTATTTGACTTTCAGCCCTTATTATCACTACTCACCCCCAGAAGGCAGGCTCGTGCAGATGGCTGCATTGCGACAGGGCTGTTGAAGGCAGGCATCGGGATAGAGGATACAGCCCAGCTTCAGATCCGTCAGTCCCACCACTTCTGCATAGCGCGACCGTTTGTTCTGCAGCGGCAGCTCGTTGTTGTTCAGCGTGACAGAGTCTAGGCAGCCCTGGAAACCCTCAAGCACCTGTGGGTCTTTCTGGGAGTCCACGAGGCTGCGAGAGTTGGGGGGCTGCACCTGAGGAGAGATGGGTGAGAAATGAATTCATGAACTTCCATAGACACCCTCAAGATGTGATGACTGGCCACTTGTTATTCACAGAAGAAAATTAATCAACAATGTAGACACACGGTATTTGTAAGAAATCTCAGGAAAGACTCTTTACTTTCACCTTTCTGTAAATCTTATCACAATAATTACATTTCACTGATTGTGTTCCTCCTCAGATTTTGTGGCATTGACGGAGTTAGAATCAGTAGTTCGTAGACTACATAATACACACCTTTTAGTGAGGCTAATTATTAGAAAATATTAGGGTCTACCTCCACTTTAAATAATTATTTAGCACAGTGTGTACAGGCTCAGTCTCAAATATACAACGTATTAGAAATAGCCTTAAATTGTCTCCTACATTTTTAGTGTGTATATAGAAATAATGTTTAATGCAGTTTAGAACCTGACTCGTATTTTCATAGACATTTCAACAAATGACTAGTTCCCAATCTTATCCACCTTGAATCCAAACAACTTATTTGGAAGTGAAAACATTTCAGATAGAAACTCTAATGAGATGCGTTCATTTCATTAATTATTTAGATTTCAACAAATGTGCATGTTGCTGTCATGTTAAATGACCATCTGCAGCTCCTCACTAACCAGTGCTCCAAAGTAGATGCTTCTGTCTGGAGAAAGTGGTTGTGTGAATGGTGCTGCACTGCGTCGCTCAACGTAGCTGTCGTCCAGCGCCACACTGCTGAAGTTGCGATTTAGCTCGAGTGCCACCGTGTGCCAGCTGCCATCATTGATATGATGACCGGAGATGCCCAACATGTCGGGATTGTCACCACCATCACTGCCAAGGCCACAGGCTAGCTGGAACCACAGCTTGCCGTCCTCCAGCTGCACACACACACAAACACACAACTTTAATATTGTACAGTATATTTAATCAGGGAAGTTCATTAAAGGACCCTATCAGAGTCTCATTCAAACAGTTGAAATCCATTATTAGGATCATTGTCATACCTTCAGGCACCATAAGCTTGTGCATGTATTTGTTATGCACAACTGGTGCAACGAGGAACTAAATGTTTCTGCGGCTTTGCAAAATGTTAACTGTAGATATTGGTTTGGGTGTTAGTTTAGAAAAGTGTGTAAAATATAGAAAAGTCTGATTACTACCAGAACAAAAGACAGAAAATAAGACTAATTTTGAACAGGAACAGAAACAACGGGCGTGTGTTTGTTGTGTGTGTACCTTGAGCACAGTGCAGTGCTCAGTGTATTGTGTGTGTGTACCTTGATCATAGTGCAGGGCCCTGTTCCTCGTACGTGGTTCAACTAAGTCAATCAAATGTCCGATTATCCAGCTCAAATTACCGAGATGATTGACATCAGGCTATCTCGGTTCCTCGAAGGCGGATCGGCGCTCAAACTGTCCCGTTAGTTTAAACCAGATGTCAGTCATCAGGATAATCGCGCGTGCGGAAGAGTCGATCACCGAAACCAGGATTTTTTTAACAGTATAACGGCAAATAAACTTAAAGCAAGAGAGTCTTTTTTCTCCCCTGACGAGCAGGAAATGAACACATATAATGAGATGCTATGTTAATTTTAATCATTTCTGTCTGGATGAATTTAATGATTATACATATTTTACGTTGTTCATTCTGTACGTCCATCGCAGTCTCTCCGTCCCAGGGAGGATCGTCTATGGCGGCAAATCAATGTCAAAATTCAAGAGCGCAAATCAGGTTGATGCGCGCGCGTAGATCAAACATCCGCGAGCAAATGTCCGTCTCGCGCAAGATATTTGCTCCCTCGCGAAACGTGAACTTCCTCGCTCGCGAGGTTAGTCTCTGCTCGCGTTCGAAGGTGTTTTTCTTTTTGACAGTAAGAGGTCGGAGCCAGTCACCATGGTATCTACATCTGATTGGTTACAAACCCCGTCTTTGGATACCTGGAGTGATGCATTCACACAACTATAGAAGCCCATTTCCGCACTAAAGAAAGGGGATAGAAATGCGAAATTATGAGATAAAACGTTGTCCAAAAACAAACGCCCCCCTTCGGTAGTCATAGTGGACCGTAGATGACAACCAGCTACAACCATCATTTACCATCATTACCAGCACATTAAGAGCAATGCGTCCAGCTCTCAGACCGGTCCGTATTTGTAAAATACCGGGGAAAAAAGTCGCCATAAACGTCCTGTGTCTCTCTAAACAGGGTTCTTGCACCATTTCAAAAGTAAAATTGAATGCTTTTTAAGACCTTTTTAAGACCTCAACAAATATAATTTAAGACCCCAAAATGTCACAATTTCTTTGGAATACTCAATTTATTGCCTCCTACAATGGAAATCAAAACTTTTTTTCAAATTAGGAGACAGTATAATAACTGACAATAACCCTTCCAACACTGTTTGGCCAATATAGATGTAAACAATCAAAGTGATTCCTTTGTGATGCAGAACAGAGCCAACATAACATACATAAGTTTGGATTACACTAAACAACACAATGCATTGCATGAAGGAACCATATCGAATAATGAAAATAATAACTCTTTGAAAACACAAATGTGATCACATAGATTTAAATGAATTGTGCCTCGTCACAGTATGGAGAACCCACAGTACCTCTGCCTTTTGGGTGTCTGGTGTTGAAATAAAAATTGTTACAGCCGACTGAGAGGTGGCGTCTAAACTTGTAACGTCGTTAGGTCGTGCTGCAAACAATGCAGGGATTAACCTGGCCCCGCTATGGCTAGCTGCTGCAACGTATCTCTGGTGCTTTCCTGCTTTCATGTGCGACTCGACGGCTTTGAGCCTAATGAAAAGGTCTTTTTGCAGAGTTTACACATTGCCCCATTGTGGTTTTCAACCAGCGCCAACCACCTCCTAAATGCATCCTCTTCCATCCACTTGTCGTTAAATTTGCACTTCCCCATCATCTTTGCATTTTCAATCTCACATCGACAACCGCGTAATGGCGACACGCAGCCTGACGTCAGCGTCTGTAGCCGACGTACCGTAAACAGCTATTCAATTGCGCAGACTCATTTTGCACAATACTAAATGAATCAACTATTAGATGTTTTACGATGCGCCACTGTGCTTTCTCGTCGTCATTAAGCGCACCGGCAAAAAAATGAATACCTACAGCAACTTTACGTGAAATTTAAGACAATTTAAGACCTTAATTACCCGAATTTTAATTAATTTTAAGACTTTAAGGACCCGCGGGAACCCTACTAAAGGTTTTTCCCTTTATTCCTCCCATTAAATACTTTTTCATTGTTTGGGGAGTTTTTCTGTGCCGATGTGAGGGTTTCTGGACAGAGGATGTCACAAGACCTCTGAGGCAAATTTGCGAAATTGTGCTATACAAAATTAAATTAATCATATAATCATGACAACAACTGAGCCCCTGCGAGGCTACAAGCCTGACAACGTTTTGCAGATAAGTTAACGATAAATGCATGTTGGTAAATTGTATAGGCTCATCTTAAGTGCCTCGTCACTCTAATCAATCAATTATATTTCTTTAAATGTGCCTGCTTGCAGGAGGCTTCATGAATGCATCATCATCCAATGAGAATAATGATCAACTCTTGTTGTATGTAGATGAAAACAAGCCCAAAGAATCAAATTGATACGAATGAATAGGATATATGTACTGTATCAGCATCCATTGTTCATAATCCGACATTTGATCGATTGAAGCAGTGAAATGTGGAACATCCAGAAGTTTATTAAGCGACAAATAAACCAACAGAACTTTACGAAGAGCACGACATGCAGCGGCTTGTTCTCTGCATTGCAACACCGTACAAACAAGACCGTATGAGAGTGTGTCTGACACCGTGTGTTGCGAGATTGTCTTTTGTCCATGTAAAGCTACCGTAGTTTGGAGTAGGCTAACCACGAGTGTAACAGCATCGTGGTTGTTGTTGTTTCGAGTCAAACGCATAGCTTAGGTTGCTCTGGGCTGTGCAAAATAAAACCCTCTTTAATGTGGAATACGACTCGCGTCTTGCCTCATATCATGACATGGTGTCAGAATTAAGGACTTCAAATCGATATTAAGGGCGAGATGGCAAAGTTTGGACCTCCAGAGCCGTTCGACTTCTCGCAGCTGGCGGAGTGGCTTAGATGGCGGCAGAGATTCTCCCGTTTCAGAGTCGCATCGAAACTGGACAAAGAGAGTGGCGAAGTGCAGGTGAACTCGCTCTTGTACTCGATGGGGAGGGATGCCGAACCTATTTACGGCTCGTTTGTGTTTCCTGCGGCAACCGAGGCCATGCCATATCCAGAGTATGAGTTTAATCTAGTGATGCAGAAATTTAACCAACACTTTGTCCCGAAAAGGAACGTCATCCAAGATCGCGCCTGTTTTCACAAGCGGAGCCAAAGGGACGGTGAGACAGTGGAAGCTTTCGTGCGGAGCCTGTACGAGCTCGCGCAGCACTGCGAGTTCGGTGCAGGGAAGGACGAGCAGATCCGGGACTGGATCGTCATCGGAATAATAGACAAAGAGGTTTCTCAAAAACTACAGCTGGAGGCGGACCTGACTTTGGAGAGAGCCATCCAGCTTGCACGGCAAAGTGAACAACAAAGTGCAGAGCATCTGGAAACTACAGTGAATGAGGTGAGACAGAAACAGTACAATAGCACAAGGAGGAGCTACGATAAACAACGGCAGGGACAAGGACAGAAATACAGTGAGAACAAACTGAACTCAGAGATGCAACAGGATGCATGATAGAAAGGAAAGCTGTCCAGCTCGTAACAAAAGGTGCAGAAAGTGTAATAAAATTGGACATTTCGAGGCCGTGTGTAAATCCAAAATGCTGAAAGAAGTCAGAGCAGGGGCTGTTATGGATTCTGATGAGGATTCATTTTTTATTGGAGAATTATTCCTGAGAGCAACCACGAAGTCAAAACCAAACATAATTGAGGAGTCAAACCCGGATACTAACTGGGATGTAGAGCTACTAGTGAATGGCAGTCCAGTGGATTTTAAAATTGACACAGGTGCCGATACCACCGTCATGACTGAAGAGACTTTCAGCAAGCTACGTCAAAAACCCAAACAGAACAAGTCCAGGCCAACAGTGTATAGCCCAGGCGGGAAAGTCCAATGCGTGGGTAAGTTCCTTGCCACTACTACATACAAAAGTCAGAAATACCAATACTAGATTACAGTCATAAAAGGACAGTATGTTAGTAACTTGTTGGGCAAGGCAGTGGCAAAGTGCATGGGGCTGGTAGCGAGAGTCAATGCTATCACTAGTGACTTAACAAGCAACGTGTTTGGGGAAATAGGGCTACTGAACTGTAAACCTGTTAAGATCGACCTGACTGAAGAAGCAGTCCCATACAACGTCAACACGCCACGCAGAGTTCCGTTTCCTCTCCTTCCAAAGGTGGAGAAAGAGCTAAAGCGCATGCTCGGCATCATTGAGGAGGTTACAGAGCCGACAGATTGGTGTGCCCCAATGGTGCCCGCTTCAAAACGCAACAAGGACGAGGTCAGAGTGTGTGTAGATTTGAAACGCTTGAACAAGGGGGTGAAGCGCAAACGTTACATATCGCCCACACTGGATGATATAATACCTAAGCTGGCAGGAGCCACGGTTTTCTCCACTCTGGATGCCTCTAGCGGGTTCTGGCAAATTCCATTGGACCCCAACTGCCAAAGACTGACAACCTTTATAACCCCAATGGGACGGTTTTGCTTCAAACGTCTGCCTTTTGGCATTACATCAGCGCCCGAGATTTTCCAGCGGCTGATGACCGACCTCAAAGGCCTAGAAGGGACTGTCGTTGTGATGGATGACATCCTGGTTTACGGATCTACAAAAGAGGAGCATGACCACCATCTCGACGCTGTGCTGCGGACGGTTAAGGCGTCTGGTCTCAAGCTCAACAGGGCCAAGTGTCACTTTGGGAAGACTGAACTGCAGTTCTTTGGACACATCATTAGCGCGGAGGGTGTGAAGCCTGACGAGAGCAAAGTGGAGGCTATCGCTCAGATGTCCAGTCCCTCCAACGTGGAGCAGCTGCGGCAGGTGCTCGGACTGGTTAACGATGTTGGAAAATTCCTGCCAGGTCTGTCTACAGTGTTGCATCCACTCACTAACCTGCTCAAGAAAGAGACCGCGTGGGTTTGGGGTGAGCCTCAGGAGCAAGCATTTAACAAAACAAAAGCAATGCTCATGGCTGCACCAGCCCTTTGTTATTACAACGCCAACAGACCAACAGTGGTCAGTGCCGACGGCAGCAGTTATGGCCTTGGTGCTGCCCTGATGCAAGACCATGATGAAGAGTTGCGGCCTGTTGCCTTTTGCTCGCGCACACTCACCGATGCGGAGAGGAGGTATTCTCAGATCGAAAAGGAGTGTCTGGCATCTGTCTGGGGTGGTGAACGTTTCGCCCGCTACATTCAAGGTATGGGCCGGGTCCATTTACAGACTAACCACAAGCCACTGGTGCCATTGATTAACTCATACGACCTGGACAAAACGCCACTACGATGTCAGAGACTGCTCATGCGTCTCATGCGATTCAATGTCACTGCCCAACATGTTCCCGGTAAGCAGCTAGTAGTCGCAGATACACTCTCCAGACACCCACTGAAAGACAGTTACATGCCTGAAACAGAAATGCAAGTAAAGGCATATGTGAACACTATGGTGGCTAGCAAACCAATCAAGTCGCCCAAGCTCGAGGAAATTCGCAAAGTCACACAAAGCGATGCTGAACTTCGAAAAATAATCACATTCATCAGAAAAGGGTGGCCTCGCAACATGGCAGAGGGCTCACCACTGCGTGGATACTATGCAGCCAGAAATCACTTATCAGAGTTGGACAGTCCTATACCACCACCGCATGGTAGTTCCAGCAGTGCTAAGAGCTGGAGTCCTGGACCAACTGCACGAAGGTCACCAGGACCTGTCCGGAGCGAGCCAAGTTGACAGTTTGGTGGCCAAGCATCGGAGTACAAATCACTAACAAAGTGAAATTATGTGACTTTTGCAGAGAGCAAAAACCTACACAAAGACGTGAACCACTGGTAACCACTCCCCTGCCCAGTGGCCCATGGCAAAGGATTGCTGTTGACCTGTTTGAATTAGACGGTAAGACTTTTCTCGTCGCTGTCGATTACTTCTCTAGAGACATTGAGATTGCTTCCCTCACCACCATTACCAGCAAGCAGGTTATTGACAAACTCAAGCACATTTTACGCAGTTCACATCAGCAGAGTTCCGAGATTTCGGACAGAAGTATGGTTTCACTCACATTACCTCCAGCCCACATTACCCCCAGGTCGAACGGAGCTGCGGAAAGGGCTGTTCGGACAGCCAAGTACATCCTCAGACAGCCTGACCCCTGCTTGGCCCTTATGGGTTATCGCGCTACACCACTCGAGCCACGGCAACAGGTGAGAGTCCAGCACGGCTCATGACTGGTAGAGAGATCCGTACGACTGTTCCGGTCCTGGAAAAGACATTGCTGCCACGTCCATTCAGGCCGGATCAAGTCTACATGAAGGACGCAACAGCAAAAGATTCATACAGTTTCTACTACAACCGCAGGCATTCGGCACGCGCGCTCCCTGACCTTCACCCTGGTCAAACGGTTAGGGTGAAGCTCGATGGGGAGAAGGGATGGATAACACCTGCCAGGGTCATCAGCAAGCTCAGGCAACAGCGTCCCAGCAGAACAGCGGTTCTCCACAGCCAGATTTGACTGCGGTGCCGGAAGCACCGGTAAGCTTGCCACCAGCAGGCCTTCCCGCAGGGTCTCCCCTTCCACCATCTACTCCAGTGAGAAGATCTTCCAGGGGCCGCGAGATAAAGGTGCCTCTTAGATTTCAAGACTGATGTACAAAAGGGCAGAATAATCCCTTTCAGGACTGAGGGCAGTCTACCCCTGTGACGTCCTGCACCGTTCTGAGTATGTACCAAGACTGTTAGGGAAGACGTGTTTTGGTTATGTGGTGTTGCATCTACTTTGTTATATTGTTTGAGAATGTTAAGATTTAAGTAATATTGCAAAATGCAGATGTTTGGCATCTTGTTATTGCTAACTTCAAAAAGGGGGAGATGTTGCGAGATTGTCTTTTGTCCATGTAAAGCTACCGTAGTTTGGAGTAGGCTAACCACGAGTGTAACGGCATCGTGGTTGTTGTTGTTCGAGTCAAAAGCATAGCTCAGGTTGCTCTGGGCTGTGCAAAATAAAACCCTCTTTAATGTGGAATACGACTCACGTCTTGCCTCATATCATGACACCGTGTGAGACATGAGAGAGTGTGTGAGAGACAATGTGTGAGACAGCGTGTGAGAGAGTATGAGAGACAGTCCGTGGGACAGTATGTGAGACAGTCTGCGGGACAGTGGATGTTCGGCTGCAGCGTGTGGTGTTCATCACTTAACAGGGAAATCTTATTGTAAATAAATGATTCCCTGTCCTCAGCATCTATAGCGCTCCTACAGGACGTCATTGCGGCTAAATGGGTCTTTGTGATCTCGGAGAAGTCTCTCCCTATAAAACGTCTAACTGATGTCGCTCCTTCATCAATGAGGAAGTGAGCTGCCCTTTTTTCCGGGGGAGTGATGAACTAATCCAGCAGCTCAAATGAACCTGCGCCAGAGCAGGTTGAAGTTGTTCGATGTGTTGCTATGGTGATTTAGACAAACCTGCTTCAGGGAACCGAAAAGCCTGATCTACGTCATCTCATCCTGAAAATTATCCGGCTAACTCAGTTAGCCACGTACGAGGAACAGGGCCCTGGGCTCCTTGTGTGTGTGTGTGTGTGTGTTGTGTGTTTACCTTTAGCACAAGGCAGGGCTCAGTGTGTGTGTACATAATTATTCCTCTCCTTTGCAGTGTTCGGATCCTAAGGCTGACTTTCAGTTCCTCCTGCAGCCATTCAGACAGTCTGTACTTGATGTAGCTGTTTCCTGAAAAACTCAGAGACGAATGACCTGGAGCAAGGCCCCCCCACCACCCCCACACACACAGGTTAACAAATCACATGTCAGAGCAAGTACTCTTGATATTATCATTCAAATGTTTTGTTTGCTCTCTTTCTTCCTCACCTGCACATTCTCCGAGTTTGCCTGTTGGACACTGGCATGCATAGTGCCCTCTAGTGGCCTGAATTGAAACACATTGCATGTCTGCTGGACATGGCTGGCCCTCACATTGTTCTGACAGGACAGCACAGTTGGCATCTGTACACCCACACAACATCCGAGAGAAAATTACACTCATCATAATATTCATAAATGAGGACTTATCATGTCTAATGTGTATATGTCTAATATTGATCTGAAGACAAAACATCTCTGGTATATATTTATATAGTGTGGATGTGGAACACACTAAATAGATGATAGCATCCCTCACCATTGCAGGTGCAGTGCGAGGTCCGGTGAAAACGTGGTGAAACAAAGCTGACCCTTGGTGTGCTGTATGTAGCCAGGCTGTGAGAGTCCAGGAGGATGCTCTGTTCACACTGGGCCCCGCGACACTCCAGCCCCGAGCAGTTCTTATCTAGGATAGCTGACACTCTGAGGACCTCCTCTAGCTGCCGGCGTGATGCGCTGAGTTTCTGGGTGAGGTAAGCCGTCTTATAGTACCCGCCCCCTGCTGTTTCCACAGCAACGAGCATATCCAGTTGTTGCGTTCCGCCGACTGGCTGCAGACTGAGCAGGTGTAGCTTGTCCCTCTGCTGCGATGAAGCGGCCTTTCGCAGAACCTTCAACATGCTCTTCAGGTGCAGTGCCACAAAGTCTTGTGGTGCTACGCTCTCAAAGCGTATAGTCACCGCCTCACGCAGCATCTCTGGTGTTACTTGCTCCACGTGCACGCTGACTGGGACTGGTACGGCAAAGCGTCCATCACTAACGCTTGCATTGAGGGCGTACCTGCCTGCATCCAACCCGCCCAGAGCGATGATCTTACCATCACGGGGACTGATCTTAAAGAGACTGCGCTGGGCCAGGGGCGCGTGGCCAAAGGTCAGGGCGTCGTAGGGGTCAGCATCAGTGGCGTGCAGCTGGCCAATCACACCGCCTGGAAACTCATCCTCCATAGTGACGATATGAACCTGGAGGGGTAAGGCCACGGGCCGGTGAAGGCTCTCCTCAATCACCCTGACTGTTAGCATTGAGGTAGAAGACATACGAGGCTTCCCTGAGTCTGTTACCTGGGAGGAGAATGAGGAAGGACAGGGACAGACAAGAAGATCCGTAGAAACAAGGGAGAAGATGCAAGAAAAAAAATGTGGATAAGGTAATGAAAGGACAAGAGATACAGCATTTGAGGATCCACTATTTTTGAAGCATCGAAAAAAGTGACTTTAGCAGCTTGCTCTACCTGGATTATAATAGCATATTCCGTTGCCAGGTCCCTCCGGAACACTTGATTGGCCACCAGCGTTCCATCTTTCTCCAGCACAAACTCTCCGCCTTCATTCCCAGACAGGATGTGGAAGTCAAAGGGCTCGCCATTGCGTGAGGAGTCCTGATCGTTGACCGACAGCTGAAGAATGCTGGTGCCGATAGGCTTGTTTTCCTGGGAGAGGGAGACATCATTAGAAATACCTTACTGTTGGGGATACATTATGCACGGTCACAATTTAATGTCTTTGGGAAGATGATCATCAAACTAAATAGTAATTTTATTTGTAGATCCTTGTTCAATTCTTAGCCCCATGGCATATCATTGGGTCATTGGTGTTGGTACCATAACCTTACACTTCCTGCCGAACAATTATTTAAGTCAGTCCCTCCAGGAAATCATGTTGAGAAGAAAAATGGTCATGCGTATTATTTGGCTTCAACAAATCCCATTGCATTTTGCTTTGGTCTTGGTTCTGACACTGTGGGGTCAAACAAGTTTTTTTAAATTTGACTATGTATGAAGAGAAACAGAAAGTAAATTGATGGGAGGGAACCAAGGTAGCTATTTACCGGGAGGACCTTATAGGGAGGAACTTTGGTGGGCGCGGGGGTAAGGAAACAAACAGCTGACGGAGGAGCCAGCTGATACAACGATCAACCGTGCGGCACGACATGAGAGTGAGGTCCCTGAAGGGCAGCCGGTAAGGGGGCAATTTGTTGGGCAAGGAGGGGACTTCTCATGGTTGCGACCCGCTGCGGCAGCAGATTAACCTTTTGTGTAATTAACTGGTGATGGTTGAGCTTGGTGGAGGCACGGTGAATGTTTGTGATGGAATGGCTTGTTGGAAATGAATCCTGATTCACACTGTCACTGATTTTGCTTGTGAAATGATCACTTGGGGGGGCTCTGTGAAATATGGAAATATGGGTCGAGCACAGACTGTCACGGATGCCTGCGTTTATTTGAGTTCTGTTTGTCAATTTAAGGTTTTTCACCTGGGACGACACCAGAGACAGAAAGATGCATTTTTTCACAGAATGAGGACTATATAATTTGAATCATGGATGTATTAAAGGGGGGACCTGCTGAGCTTCTGTTCAGGGCCATGATTTATGTGCAACCACTGCAGTTGAATGCAGATTGTATTTACCAAACGATAAGAGCCATTGACGACTTATTTCCATCTGCCTTTGTGCTCCACTAAATATATCAATCACGATGTGTACCTGTATGACAGTAGTTAGGTTGGCCGGGAAGAAGGTGGGGGGGTTGTCATTGATGTCAGAGACGTCTATGTTGACTATCACGGTGGAGGACATGGGTGGTGTTCCACTGTCCAGAGCTCTGATGGCCAATGAGTAACTGGGAACCTAGAAGGTCAGACACAAGAGAAGATATACAGAAGTAACACAAAATATAAAGGATGTCCCCCATGGGTTTTTGAAGGCTTTTTTGAATGTCTGGTTCGTGCTCACAGCTTGATCCCAAAACATTCAGCAGTCAGATTGCCAATGTAACAGTGGTAATTTGTGGTTATATTCAATCTGCACTCCTACACTTAATCAAGCTGTCTTTCTACAATTATTTGAATTACTGTCACGGTGTGGGTCTATTTCCTGTCTTATTTTGTAGTTTTCTGCTTCTTGTCTCCCTGGGTAACTTCCTGCCTTGTCCTGTGATTGTCTGATTGTTTCCACCTGTGTCCAATCACCTGCACCTCCCTAGTGTATTTAAGCCGTGTGTGTCTCTTGTCGCGTCATTGTCTATCGTCCTGGATGTTCGTTTCCTGCCTGCCTTTTTGCCCTGGTTCGAGTGTTTTTTTTTCCTGTTGGCCTTTTTCTTTGTTGCCTTTTGACTATTAAAGTCTTCTTTTGTTACTCGACGTCTGCATTTGAGTCCTGCCTTCCACCCACCCTGACAATTACAAGCCAATAAAACAGCTCTGAGATGAAGATAAGACTTCTGCATTTCAGTGGTCTGAAGTTGACAATGTTTAAGCTCTAAACCTGCTGCAAGAGATCTCTTAATAAAATTGCTTTATAATGAAAACCTAAACAAGTTCAGGAGAAATGCAAAAGCAGTAAGAAAACAAGTTTCTGCTGCCTGAGACGTGTAAAAAAACACACGTCTGTAGTAAACAACTCTGACCTGCTTGAGAGAAAGGGAGAAAATAGAAGCCAAAAAAGCATCCACATACTGCTATTCGCACACAGATATAAGCCTTACATACAGAGAGCGAGAGAGCTACTGCTCTCTATGTGATTACCCCACACATACTTCATCAGCCAAACGCTTTCATCCCACACACTCTCGCCGAGCATGCTCAGACAGCTCATCCACCGCACTTGAATACTTTATTATGTGCATACGAAACCTGAAGTTTTTAAGCGATGCGGAGCAGAAGGAGACGAGGAAGAAGCAAATGAGGAGGAAAAGAGCTCAGAGGATAGGAAAGCGGGGCTGCGCATGCCTTCCATATTTCTTCCTGCTGCATATTAAAAAGCTCATACTCAAGGCTGATTTGTGCATGTGCTTCCTGTTCAAGTGTGATTAGTTGCCATCTGGTCAGCGACAGGGCTCTCAAATGTCACGCATTGAGCGTGACAGGCACTCATTTCGGTCTCTAGTCACGCACTCCCGCAACACATCCAATTCACGCCCCAAAAAAAGATTTGTTCTGAGCCGCGTTGGTTACTCCCCCCCCCCCCCGTCGGCCGTAGCGTTCGCGCCCCCTTGACTATGGTGCATAACATAAGACAGTAAGACAATGAAACATGGACAACTATGGGAGCTCACACCTGAGCAGCTCTCTCAAATGCTGGTTTGTGGAAATGGTCAACTGATAGAAACAGTCATATCTGATCATAAGCTTATCGTCCTTTTGAAAACACAAAATATGTTATTACAACTCAAATACTGCATGAGAAAGGTGATAGTTCATAATGTACTGCTGCATTTATTTCTAGATAACCACAGTGTTTGGTGCTGATGATTCAACCTCCAGGCTGATATAATACCTACTACAATTGTGATTACTAAGTTAAAAGGTTGTCTTTTATCATTTATTTTAATTAAGGCTGTCAACATAAACTCATTAATATATGCTATGTGTCCGAGATTAATGCAACAAAATATTTTAACGTAGTTAACTTGCGCTTGTTTACTTCCGGACCGGAAGTTGACCACGGAAACGAAAAGGCCGCTAGCTGCAGTCAGTTACATCAAGATGGAGAAAACTTTTTGCATTGGAAGTAAAATAAAGCGCGACATACTGCGGAAAACTGTTCGGAGGAATTACTCCACGTGTCAAACAGAAGGGGGGTGAGTGGCAAACGGACCACTTAAAGCACTGCTATGTTGAGCTCTCTGCTAGGTTAAGCTAGCTGCTATGCTACCTTATGCTATGCTATCTTAACATTTAACGTTACCCTGCGCCGCACACAGTCTGAAAAGGACCACCACTGGGTCCCTAAAAGACACTTGTACAGTATACATTTTACAATGAATAAACGTCAACATAAATATCATGCAAATAAGTGATTTGACAGTTTAAGAGTAAATTATTTCTGTTGATCAATGTGTTCACGGACTTAATAAAGTCAGGATATCTAGACTCAGCCGGGGGTGGAGGAAGTAAGGTTTGGGGGTCTCGAGATGACAGAGCTTCACGGGAACTTGGAGTTGAGGCATTACTCCTTAGAGTCAAAAGGAGTCGACGATGTGGTTGGCGCATCTAACTAGTAATGCATCCTAGGCAACTTCCACTGAAGGTTTCTTACCACCAAATGGTAGGCCGGGATAGGTAGCTCGAAGGAGTCAGCTGAACCCGAGCGGTCGTTTTTTGTTGGACTGTGCTAGTCCGATTGTGTGTACCAGAGCACCGTAGGCCGATGACCGATTTTTTGACGTATTGTCTGATTTAAGGTTGCATGTTTCGGACACTCAGGTAAAGAGAGGGGCAGAGTTGTCAACTGAGTTGGGTCAGAGGACCCAAACAGGCTGTGTTGGTGGACTGGGAACATCTGTGGGGGCCGCAGATGACCTACTCATACCTCCGGCACAGCTTTTCTTGCATTCCTGTGGAGTTGAACCAGTTCAAAACTTCCATTGTTGAAGCTGTGGCAGTGAGTTATGACTGAATCCAACTACTATAGCCTCTGTGTGAAAAAAAATCATTTTTTACATACTGTCACTTCATTGGTGAAAAAAAAAGAGCCAACTTGTGTGTGTGTCGTCGCGCTGTTGGTGGTATGAAGACTCAATACTCCCCTCTGCCTGTGGGTGGCGGTACGCAGCGTAATTAATAGGCAGATTTGCTGAGGCGACAATTTAAAAAAATGAGATTTAAGGCCGCCGCATGATTCTGCGTTTGCGTCTGCGTCGTTGCGTCGACGCACTCGTTTCAATTCATGGTTCTCCGTGAGACTCCGTAAAGGACGTAGTTAGCGGACCAATCGCAGCCTGGTGCGCTGCGGGAGGCTTGCGTCGCTTTTGACGTACGCCTAAAAAAATGGCTCGAAACATGCAAGGACGCAAGGAGGTGTGAAAAGCGCCGCAAGGGAAAACGCAGAAGCATAAACTAGGCTTAAGAGATACCTGGGCATAAAGCCTGTGCCATCTTGGCATTAGGATGACGTTAAGTTTAAGAAAACACAACAAATAGAACACGCGTTTCCCTGATTTCTTAGAGTATATTATGCTCATGCTGAAACTATGTCTGGGATTGATTTTCATATCATTTCCGGTTGTTGGTGTGCCGTGAGATTTTTTCTGTGTCTTTTTCGTGTGCCTTGACGCAAAAAAGGTTGAAAAACACTGCTCTATGGAAGACGTCCATCCATCCATCCATCCATCCATTGTCAAACCGCTTATCCTGCACACCAGTGTTAATTTTGGCAGCTATTTTTGATTTAGTCTTAGTCTGCATATTAGTTTTAGTCACATTTAGTCATTTTAATCCTGCTTAGTTTTAGTCTAGTTTTCGTCGACAAAAACTAGACTAAAATGTAATTAGTTTTAGTCTAGTTTTAGTCCCATTAAATAGCCATATTAAACTCCTTTTCTTCCCTTCTCAGGCCCAGGGACCCCCTGTGTTGTATCTACAGCTGCATAATAGTCTAGCTTGCAGTACTTGGTTGTCCATTAGATGTCCCTACTAGGACAGGTCTAAAGCAGGTCGGCAAACTTTTTGACTCGCGGGCCACAATGGGTTGTAAAATGTGACTGAGGAGCCGGGCCAAGAACAACTGGTTGAAGTGTTTGTGTGAGCCAATATAAATGACATGTGAAAAAGGATTTGGATTTTAACAAATAGCAAAGCATTTATTTGCAAGGCAATTTAACAAATTGGCAAAGGTGTAACAACTTCATGAGGACCAGGGATCTAAACGCAACACTTTGTTGTCTTTGTCTGTTTACTTGCAATGCTTTTGACACGGCCACCTGTCACGTGTGTGCGTGCCTCTATGTTGCTTAGTAACGAACGTACGGTAGCCGAGACAGTTTAACACCGAACTATAGTTGAAATGCGCGAGGCTTCAGAACCTGCAATGAGTTTATTACGTTAGACGTGTTTGTAACGGACCGTCTCATTCAGCCGAGGAAACGCTGCCTGCTGTTGCCAGAGAACAGAGCAGAAAGGTCCGACAGTCTGCTAAACGGGTCTTCATGTTTCTGTGAAGCAGCGCGGCTTCAGCCTGCTAACAGCAGCTAAACCGAGACAGCTGAGCTAAACTAATGAAGCGCACATTCAAACTCGCCGAAGCGTAAAATAGTCGTCGCGGTCCGTAGTCGGTGCACAAGAACCACCGCTGCGAGCGCGCGCTCTGGGTTCGTGGATGACATCATCATGACGGGTTAACATCCGCCGTACTTTGACCGATCTTTTTTAAGATCGTTTTCGTCACGTCTTAGTCATGGATAAAAGGTTCGTTAACGAGGAATTTTCGTCGACGAAATTAACACTGCTGCACACAGGGTCGCGAGGGGGCTGGAGTCCATCCCAGCCAACTTCGGGCGATAGACAGAGTACATCCTGGATTGGTCGCCAGCCAAGAAGACATACAACCATTCACACTCACATTCACACATCTACGGGCAATTTAAAGTCCCGAATTAACCTGATCCCCAGAGCATGTCTTTGGACTGTGGGAGGAAGCCGGAGAACCTGGAGAGAACCCACGCAGACACGGGGAGAACATGCAGACTCCACACAGAAAGGCCACTGGGCAGAGTCGAACCCAGGACCTTCTTGCTGTGAGGCGACAGTGCTAACCACCACGCCACCGTGCCGCCCTCTATGGAAGACGTGCAGCAGAAAAATTTGAAATCCGTTCGGAGATGCTGAAGTCAATGGGTGTTGGCTGAGGGACCAGAGTGTGTGCCAATTAAAGATATATCGCACTACTCAGCCTTCCTGGTAAAGTCTATTCCGAAGGTGCTGGAAAGGAGAGTTCGGCTGATAGTTGAACCACGGATTGAAGAGGAACAATGCAGATTTCATCCTGGTTGTTGAACAACAGAACAGCTCTGTACTCTTACACGGAGCATGGAGGGGGTCTGCTCATCCAGTCTACATGGGTTTTGTGGACCTGAAAATGAGAGATACTGTGGGAGGTGCCGCCAGAGTACAGGATGAGTGGGTCCCCTGTCTTCGGGTTCTCAGCAGAAAGTCTCGTGGGGGTTGGCCTCCGCCAGGGCTGCTGTCACCAATCCTGTTTGTGGTATTCATAGACGGGATATTGAGTTGGAGTCGGGGAGAGGAGGGTTTACTTATGCAATAAGGTACAAGAGGCTGTACTTTTTGTCCAATAATGTCCCGGCAACCTTCGGACTGTTACATTAAGTACTGCCTCATTGCCTCACCTTATTGCTTTTATAATACGGTTAACAGTGAAATTATAAATAGTAAGTAAATAGCTGCCTTTCAACACAAAAGTTTTAGCCACCAAACATTGTGTATCGCATTTCAGTAGCATAGAGAAAAATAGTCCCTGTACGTGCCTATAAACACCATTGGGTCGCCTTGCAAGATCTCGCACCATCTCATTCATTCACATAGCTCATGACGTCCACCTTATTTGTCGAGTTGTGAAAGCTTGCATTGCCCGAAACCGGTCATTTGTGGTGTTTCCGGTCTTTTTTTGGCGATCGCCAGGGAGCTAAAAACTGAAATGTCAACTAACGGTCACGCAAAATCTGACCTGTTACTTTGAGTGTGCAGTGAGATGGAACGCTCGGGTCAATGTGAACACGGGGTGTACATTATCGCTCAATAATGTACACCCCGTGACACTCTCTCAACCAATCAGAAAGCTGGATTTCATCTACTCGTATTATAAAGTTTTTATATGCTAAGGATCCCCATCTTGAGATCCCCCTGTCAGAGCAGGTAGATGTGTGGTGTCCGGATCTGGATGAGTTCACAGAGGCTGTACATTGGCTTTTGTGAGAACAGCTGTCTACCATCATGCACCAAGGTGAGTTATCACTGTCACGGTGTGGTTCACTTCCTGTCTTATTTTGTAGTTTTCTGCCACTCGTGTCCCCGGGTAACTTCACTTCCTGCCTTGTCCTGTCATCCCCTGTGATCGTCTAATCGTTTCCACCTGTGTCCAATCACCTGCACCTCCCTAGTGTATTTAAGCCTTGTGTCTCTTGTGTCACTTGTCGCGTCATTGTCTATTGTCATGGATGTTTCTTGTCAATCTTCCTGGTTGTTTCTTGGTCCCTGCCTGTATTTTTTGCCACGGTTCGTGTGTGTTTTTGCCCCTTGGCCTTTGCTTTTGCCTTTTGACTATTAAAAGTCTTTTGTTTTCTAAGAAGTCTGCATTTGAGTCCTGCCTCCCCACGCATCCCTGACAATAACAACGACAAACCCTGGTTCAAAGCGGAAAACTACAACTGCAGAAGGATCAGGCATTTACGAGTGGGGACAAAATACAGGTTTAGCAAGGCGGTGAGAGATGCTAAACGACTGTACTCTGAGAAACTCCAACAGGGTTCTTGCACCATTTCAAAAGTAACATTTAATGCTTTTTAAGACCCCGAAATGTAATTTTTTTTGGAATACGCAATTTATTGCCTGCTACAATGGAAATCAAAACTTTTTTAACACACACTTGTTACAGCCGACTGAGAGGCCTGACCTGGCCCCGCTATGGCTAGCTGCTGCAACGTATCGCTGGTGCTTTCCTCCTTTCATGTGCGACTCGACGGCTTTGAGCCCCATGGTCCCTAATGAAAAGGTCTTTTTGCACATAGTTTACACATTGCCCCATTGTTGTTTTCAATCGGCGCCAACCACCTCCGAAATGCATCCTCTTCCATCCACTTGTCGTTAAATTTGCACTTCCCAATCTTCTTTGCATTTTCAACCTCACATCGACAACCGCGTAATGGCGACACGCAGCCTGACGTCAGCGTCTGTAGCCGACGTACCTTAAACAGCTATTCAATTGCGGAGACTCATTTCGTACAATACTAAATGAATCAACTATTAGATGTTTGTTTACGTTACACTGTGCTTTCTCGTCATTAAGCGCACCGGCAAAAAAAATACCTACAGCAACTTTACGTGAAATTTAAGACAATTTAAGACCTTAGTTACCCAAATTTTAATTTAAGACTTTTTAAGGACCCGCGGGAACCCTGCTCCAACAACAGTTCAACTGAAGAAATTCAACCTGCCAAAGACTATGATGGTGCACTTCTACACTGCCATCATCAAGTCCATCCTCTGCTCCTCCATCACCGTCTGGTTCGCTGCAGCCACAGCCAAGGACAAGGGCAGGCTGCAGCGTGTCATCCGCTCTGCAGAGAGGGTGATCGGCTGCAATCTGCCGTCTCTCCAGGACTTGTTCGCTTCCAGGTCCCTGAGGTCCATCAGGACTGAGACCTCCTGCCACACGAAAAGCTTCTTCCTGTCGGCAGTCGGGCTCAACAGAGCCCTGGTCCCCCACTGACTGACTCTGACATTCCACCGGATGTCATGTTGTTTTGTTGTCCATTGTCATATTGTCTGCTGTCATGTACCAACCGCCAAGTCAAATTCCTTTTTCTATCTGATTGTGGTTGCCCCTGCAGTGGTCCTGCTGTGTGCCTGGCTTAATACTCACAATTACTTTAATAATTTCTGTCATAGGAATTGCATGTATTATACATTGTTCATTCTGTACACATGGCATCCATTGTAGTCTGTCCATCAGAGACGTGGGAGTGGGATCCCTCCTCTGACGTTCTCCCCAAGGTTTCTTCCCTTTTTTTTCCCTCTAGGAAGGTTTTTTTTTTTTTTTTTTTTTTTTTGGAGTTTTTTCCTGTGCCGATGTGTGAGTTTCGTGACAGAGGATGTCGTATGTGTACAGACTGTAAAGCCCTCTAAGGCAAATATGTAATTTGCGATTTTGGGCTATACAAAATAAAATTAATTGAATTGAATTGTTGAAAAAGTGCTATGTTCGTATCATTCTCAATTAGCTTTATGTGTCATTTTAGTGTGGGAGCAATTGTTAATGTCTTGAATCAACATTTACAGTTTTGGGATTTCAGGGAAAATAAGCTACAGCTTTTATTAGTATTATCAGTTATCATTGGTGTTATTAGCTGTAGTTTAATATGCGTACATATCGCACTATATTTAGTGCTAACAGCAGTCTAATGCCGACCAAACATAGGTCCCAGAGATGATGCTATTTCCAGTAGTTAGAAGTATTTGTGTTTTAGTGTGCGTGCCCTCACTGTCTCACGGTCCAGTGGCTTGTTGACCCTGATGACCCCACGAAGGGGATCAATGAAGAACTGGCTGTCTTGGTCTCCACTGACAACAGAGTAGAGGATGGCTCCATTCACTGGACTGTCAACGTCTTCTGCCAACAGCTGAAAACACACACACACACATACAATTGCAGGTTGAGGGACGTTTTCACGCTTTGAGGAAGCACACTGGAGGAAATATTTGCATCTATATATGAGAAGTAAAAAATGAGCTGTGCAGATACAAGCCTTCTCTGTCACAAACATCTCCTTTGCCGTTATGAAGCTCAGGTGCTTGGTTGGATTTGACCCCAAAATACAGAAATCTGAGGTGATCTAAGTGTCAAAAGTGTAGGCAGTATGAGGCTGACCGTCATCAGTAGTGCTTTACAGTGATTATGGGGGGACTAACAATCTAAGCTGCTACTTTGCTTTGCTATGTTGGTTCATTAACATAGAAGACCCTTCTAAAAACAAAAGGCCTGATAATTACAATTGATGCAGTGCCCATTTACAGTATGCTGCTTTGTAAATATGTGTTTTTTAACCTACTTTATGATAATACAACTTTCCATCGCTGCCATTTTATATTTCCCTCACTCCCTGTCAGGTAGCCATCAGATGAAATTCATGTGAGAAGATTATGAAAACTAAATTAACTAGAACTAGAAAAAAACTAGCCCCCCAAGTTTTGGCAATGTTATATTAACATTTGCAGTAGAGTAAAGCATGTACCGTATTTTCCGCACTATAAGGCGCACTTAGAAGCCTTTAATTTGCTCAAACAACAGTGCGCCTTATAATCCGGAGCGCCTTATATATGGATCAATTGGTAAATTGATCCATACTGATTGTACACGGCGCTCAAGGCGCTCTGCCAAACATGCCAAAGCTCGGTCTATGACTGCGAGATGCTGAGCGAGCGCTCAAGCGCGTGAGATATGGAGTTTGTTTCCGGGCGCGTCGGAGAAACAAAGCTGTTGTTCTTGCCGAGCATTTAATGAGATTAAAGAGACCGTGCCCTTTTCTTTACAGTGGCTGAACTATCTTAACGGGGAAAATAATTTATTCTTAAGGCTGGCGCATGCCTCTGCGTCGTTGCGTCGACGCACGCGTTTCAATTTATGGTTCTTTAAGTCTTGCGTGTGTTGCAGAGCAATTCACCGCCAGAACAACAGGCGGAGTAACGTGTTTTTGTTGAAGACGACCTAGAGAGTCACGTCTTTGTGTGTGGAAGTCGATGGTTTGTTTATTTATTTATCATAGACTTTATTGCCCCGTGCATCGCCACTGCTGCTTATCATCGCGGACACATTTGTCCCGTATTTTCCTCCACAACTCTTTGCACCTCTCGAGCGGCAAACCAACGTTTGCGGAGATCTCCCTCCATGAATCGGGAGGCCGTCCGCGCATCCTTATAGTCCGCCAATGACTGGTTGTAGAAGTGGTCATATTTACGCATTTCTTCCGACAAAAGTTCTTCAATCTGATCCGTTCTCTCGTAAACATTCTTCGTTTTAATAATGGCGGTATTGTGCTATGAACCTCGCAGCATCGATCGGACCCTGAAAGCACCATCTCCACCAAACCAACGGGAAAAATAAGTTATTCTAAAAGGGGCCCTTGGCAGGCGGCGTGGCTGGAGAGCAGCCGAAGATTTAAGGCGTGTGTAAGCTATTGTTGCACAGGTGTTCCGGTGTGGGGGCTTTTGTTGTGAAGGGGGAGATGGAAGGAGAGGAAGTTGAGGTGGTGTTCAACTGGGGGTGTGGTGAAAAGGGTGATAAAAATAAAGTTGCGGCCGGTTCGGCGCAGAACTGGAACTCCGGGTTGTTTCTTTTGTAATCGACACGAAGTATAGGCGCACCCGAACCACTCGGAAGCAGAGCGGACGCACCTCGCAGCATCGATTGGACCCTGAAAGCAAAGTCTCGACCTCCCCACACCCCCCTCCCTGACCTCAAACGCTTGACTGCAGGTGCGCCCTATTTATGAGAAATGTTCTAAAATAGGTCATTCATTGAAGGTGCGCCTTATAATCCGGTACGCCATATAGTGCGGAAAATACGGTACGTGATCACTGTTGGTTAGATTATTGGGCTAGACAGGCTTTCTGTGTGAGGTTTAGATGTCTCTATTTTCTCTTCCTTGCAATAGAAGTAGATTCTCCCATTTGTGTATTTTCAGCATTTTTTTCAATTTAGTCTCAATTTCATCTAATATTTGTATTTTTAGCAATTTTCTAAAATTAATTTCAGCATTTCTTACTTCCAGTTTTTTTTAGCTTTTTAACACATTTTCTGCAGGAAATGCATTTTCTAGTTTTAATGTTATATTATTCTCTTCTGTAAATGCAATTGTACATTTAATATGTTCATATTTCATATCCATATTTATTGCACTGTGTACATTTGTCTTGTCTTACTATCCAATGTATGTACCACCCACCATGACAAATGCCTTGTATGTCTAACAGACTTGGCAAATAAATGGTTCTGAATTGGATTCAGATTCTGAAATTGTGGTGATGCTAAATAAATCAAAAAGGGTTCTCCAAAAAATGTGTTTTAAAATGAAAACCTAGTGTAAACCTCAATCAATCTCAAATAAAGGCAGGCAAAACATGACCGACTGCAAACTACCTGGACTACAGAATCCCCAGTAGTAGCATCCTCTGACACAACTGCAGTGTAGATTTCACGGCTGAACATTGGGGCGTTGTCATTGACATCTGTCAGATTTATGTTCACTGTTGTAATGGCACTCAGTGATGGTGTGCCACCATCACAAGCCTCGACTGTCAGAAAGTATTCTTTACAGGCCTCATAGTCCAGGGGCCTGGCCACTAAAATGGCACCTGAGCGAGATAAGGAGAGAAAATGCATGTGCGTAATGACGGAAAGTAAATTGAAATAGCATGTTAGGAAAGGAAACATTTTTAAAGCTTGTAATGTTTATATACTCACCGGTCAGTGGGTGGATGTGGAACTTCCCATGATCATTTCCTGATCGGATGCTGTAAGTAATCTCAGCATTGGTCCCGATATCTTTGCTGGCAGCATAAATTCTCAGGACCTCAGTGCCCACTCCCATGTCCTCTGGCACTGTCGCTAGCTGATCACGGCGCTCAAACACAGGTGGGTTGTCATTGATATCCAGCACAGTGATAGTGACGTTGACAGATGAGGATAGGGGCAGCGGTGAACCTTGGTCAGACGCATGGACTGTTATTTGATAAGTCGGCTGGACCTCGCGGTCGAGGATGCGTTCCAGGATCACGATGCCTGAGGACTTATCAATTGAGAAGGAGCCTTCTGCAGAGTCGGCAAGGGAGTAGACCACCATACGGCCCGGACCTGCTGCAAAGCCCAAAAATGTGTCAAGTTTGGCTACACATGTGATGTGCCTTTTGCAGCATTTTGCTGTTTTCTCTGAAGCCTAAATGAGTCTTAAAAAATCGACATCTTTGATTGTGTTTTCAAAAATATCCGTTTTAGTGACCTAAAACTTACTGCAAAATATAATGTTAAATAACTACATTTATATGTGTAGACACAGTTTAAATGTTTTCTAAGAGTGCAAAGGTGCTGCGGGCGTTCCATCTGTACATTTAATTGAGTCAAGACCACCAACATTCAAATATAATTTATACTAGCTTTTTTCTGTTCTCATTGTTTTTCAGATTCTATCTACTTCTCCTATCTGATCTCATAGAATAGAAGCATTTGAAGTCCATCTTGCTATAGTGGTACCACCAGTACTAGTAACCGTAGAGTAGGTGTGGTGTCACCTTCATCTGGGTCAATGGCCTGAATGCGAGTGAGCAGGGCCTTGGTAGCGGTGTCTTCGTATACACTGGCAGTGTACTGTGACAGGGTGAAGATGGGTGGGTTGTCATTCATATCAGTTACTGCCAGTTGCACCTCAGCACGGCACCATCGTCCACCACCATCCGTTGCCTGGGCAATGAGCCGGTAGCAGGGTGTCATCTCATGATCAAGAATTATAGATGACTTGACCTCACCTGACAGGTTAAAAAAAACAAGTTGTGAAACATCAATAGATGTAGAGATAGAGCCGTGAGAAAGTAACACAAGTTCAAGTATCCATAGGAATAAATGTGCGTCTAACTGTTAACTGTATAATAAGCTGGTACCCTGGCTCCAATTCGCTGTTGTATTTCACACAATATTGGCTAATTTAAGTTTATACAAGCACTGTAAAAATACCTGGTTAATGAGAAGCCCTTCTGGATGCTTACCAGTGTCCGGGTCAATGCTGAAGTCCTGGGATCCAGGACCATGTAAGGAATACTGGATCCAGGCACTGACGCCTATATCCGCATCTGTAGCTCCAATTCTTAACAGCAGACTGTTTACTGGGAGGTTCTCTGAAACGGAGGCAGTATACACAGCCTGCAGACACACAGCAATGAGACGGAGAAGACAGTTACACTTTTAAATTGTTGGTAAAGCTTCTATGATGGCTAAATTTACAGAACTGTTGCAGCCTCATTATGTGGTTAGAACAAATGGGGTTGGCCCTGTTAGGGATTTAAGCCAGATGTGCACCCCTAGTCAGGAAATTTGTAGTACGTGTAATAATGTTTAGTGTTAGAATTATAGTTTGTGTGATATTAGTTATTACATTAACATGTTAGATGAAGTGAATGCAATTTCAATCAAACACAATTCATAGTCATTTAAATCATATAAACACTGTACACATTAACATTCTGTCACAATGTGATGTTAAAACCTGGGGACGGATGCCAATTGCCGTTCTTTATGGATTTCTCCCAATTTTATCCTCAAAGAGGGTTTTTTGGGAGTTTTTTCTCCTGTCAGGTAGTAAATGAACAACAGCCGACTGAGGCAAATGTCTTGAGAATTGAACCACATGAACTGTCTTAAATCTTATCATGAAGTGTGATGAAGGGTGATCATTAATGATGGGTTGTTGTAATGAAAGTGTACTAGTTATAAGATGAAGACTTAAACAATGTATGCTTTGTTAAATTCACTCATTGAGGCATAAAGCCAACTGAATCTACATTGAGTGCATTGGAATGTGAGGGACAGATAGGACAGAGAGGTTTCAGGTTACAGCTGCAGCTTCACACCTCGACGTGAAGGGGACAGTCCAGGAGGTGGCCCTTTGGAGAAGAAGCCAATGACATTCAAATGCACCAAGGAAGACACACCTCAAGAGTTTTCAAAGGACCAAAGCGGGGAAAGGACTGGTAGAATCTGACCTGCAGCCGCCTTGAAAAGTCACTTTAGACTTTCTCAGAGGATTCTCTATTTCGCGAAATATTCCACTGTTAGTATAGTTAGTATTTCACTTTGTAATTGCATTCCTTATAACGTTGTTTAGTTATTAAATACTTTTTGATTTTTGAATTTAAACGAATTGACTCATTCGTGTCCTCGTTTCCGGCCGGGACGAGAACAAAGGAGTGAGGCCTCCCTCGAGAGCTTTCCGAAACCCTAACAGCCCTACACATGCAACAGCCTGTTTAGGGTTAAAATCACTCCAAAACTCCAGTAGACGGTAATTAACAGCAACATGTTATTTTTGGTTCAAAGTCAACACTGAGGTCTGGTTAGACCGTGGACACCACACGGGATCCCTGTGCTGCCACCTGCCATCCCACAAAATTTGGCGTTCATAACACGTTGTTTCTTTTTTAATAAAAACCTAGGAACAGTTCAAAATTTGTTAGTAGACCAATTAACTTTCCAGCATCCGAAGAAGGAAGAAAAAAAATAATTATCTTCCCTCTCAGGTTGACATCTTTCCAGGCTAAGGGTACCAAAATCGCTTTCATTTTCAAAGAATTCCTGCTTTCGTACGAAAGATGACGCTCGTGCCTGAGAGGGGATATGTAAGAGTGTATTTATCATCTTGTTTATTTTGTTTTAAGATCATTTTACAGTTAACATGTTATTGTGTATGTTTATGGACCATTACTGTATTATGAATGGGCTCCCACCATAGCGTAAAACCAAGGCTGACTTTGACTATGTGAGGTTTAACTATGTGAGGAACACACATGGTGTACAAACAGAGCCTCCTAGCAAGACCTCATCCATGTTGTCGGTAGCTTAGCGTCCAGCTCGCTCCCTTCCTGAGCTCTCCCCTCCCCCGTGAGTTCACTTCATTCATCCTGGTCGGTGTTTACACGCCCCCGGCGGGCAACGTGCACGAGGCACAGCGGACACTCGCCGACCAGATACGCATGTGGAGCGGACCAACCCGGACTCTTTAGTTATTGCGTTTAGCGTGCTTTGACTGCACAGACTGGGATGGTTTCAGGACTGCTACTGACAGTCTGGATGAGTTCACAGAGGCTGTAACTTCCTACATCGGCTTCTGTGAGGACAGCTGTGTACCATCATGCACCAGGGTGAGTTAAAAACCCTGGTTCACAGCGGAACTCAGAACACTTCGCCTGCAGAAGGATCAGGCATTTAGGAGTGGGGACAAAGACTGGTACACAGAGTCAAAATACAAGTTTAGCAGGGCGGTGAGAGATGCGAATCTGCTAGTTCTACTGCAGATTCAAAAGACAATGTCCTGATCCCATCCCCCACAGCTCCACCAACCTGCTGGAGTCCCCCACCCCTCCCTCCCCCAGCCCATCGGGGGCTCACGCCTCTACATCTATTATCTACATCTTCCCCTCCCCCACCAGCAACGACCCTCTCTATTCTGGAGAGAGACATTAACCGGCTCTTTAAAAGACAAAAGCCCTGTAAGGCAGCCGGCCCGGACTCCGTTCCCCTCACACCCTGAAGCATTGTACTGACCAGCTGTCTCTGGTGTTCACTGACATCTTCAACACCTCCCTGGAGACATGCCACGTACCAGCCTGCTTCAAGGCCTCCACCATCATCCCTGTTCCCAAGAAGCCCAGGATCACAGGACTCAATGACTACAGGCCCGTTGCCCTGACCTCTGTAGTCATGAAGTCTTTTGAACGGCTAGTCCTGACACACCTGAAGTCCCTCACCGACCCCCTCCTGGACCCCCTGCAGTTCGCCTACAGAGCCAACAGGTCTGTGGACGATGCTGTCAACATGGCCCTCCACTACATCCTCCAGCATCTGGACTCCCCAAGAACCTACGCCAGGATCCTGTTTGTGGACTTCAGCTCTGCCTTCAACACCATCATCCCGTCTCTGCTGCAGGACAAACTCTCCTAGCTGCACGTGCCCGACTCCACCTGCAAGTGGATCACAGACTTCCTGTCCGACAGGAAACAGCACGTGAAGCTGGGAAAACATGTCTCAGCCTCTCGGACCATCAGCACCGGTTCCCCCCAACGCTGCGTTCTTTCCCCTCTGCTCTTCTCCCTCTACACCAACAGCTGCACCAGTCACCAGTCCGTCAAGCTCCTGAAGTTTGCGGATGACACCACCCTCATTGGACTGATCTCTGGTGGGGATGAGTCCGCCTACAGGTTCCATCTGGTGTCGTGGTGCAGCCAGAACAACCTGGAGCTCAACGCTCTAAAGACAGTGGAGATGGTTGTGGATTTCCGGAGGAACAGAGCCCCACCTTCCCCCATTACCCTGTGTGACTCCCCCGTCACCATTGTGGATTCCTTCCGTTTCCTGGGCTCCATCATCACCCAGGACCACAAGTGGGAGCTGAACATCAGCTCTGAAGCGAGCTAAAAAGATCGTAGCCGACCCCTCACCCTGGACAAAAACTGTGTGTGCCCCTTCCATCTAGCAGGAGGCTGAGGTCCATCAGGACTAAGACCTCCCGCCACACGAACAGTTTCTTCCCGTCGGCAGTCGGGCTCATCAACAGAGCCCGGTCCCCCACTGACTATGACATTCCACCGGGCACTCCCCTTCATACTGCACATGTCACTTTAACTGTAATTTTTCACTCGTCACTTTGTTGTCACTCGTCCGCTAGTGCACTTTATGTTTAATATTTTTTAACTTTTTAAATATTTAACTTTATTCTCTTGTTTTACACTAACCCATAGCCTTATTCGACTAACCCATTGCATTAGCATTTCATTTTATTTTATTACTTGTGCACTGCTGTCTTGTTGTCTATTGTTACACTGTCTACTGTCACGCACCAACCGCCAAGACAAATTCTTTGTATGTTTGACATATTTTGGCAATAAATGTTTCCTGATCTCACGGACACACACACACACCCACCTCTCCCTCCACATACATGAATGAGTGTTTTTATTTGTTGTTTAGATATTAGGACATTGTATAATAGCTTTTCTTGATGTCAAATGGTATTGATTAGATTAGTATTATTGGAAATTAATAAACCATGTAATACTTTAAGGAGCAGTTTTCTGTGATTTCTTTGTGCATATGTGTGTACTGGAATGCTGGTTGGAAACACAGCCAGTGTACAAACTCAAACCTTCAATTCCTCGCTCTTTTCGAAAGGGATCGAACTGTTCATTTCCACATACAATTTATTGATGACAGTAGATGAGTCAGACTTCCATGTATTTGATTTACATTTCCTGGTCACACACACAGCCATTTCTTTTTACTTTTAAACATAAATTGCTTTGGGGCTTTGTTAAACACTTGTTGAACGTCTATAAATTCTCCATTAAGCACAGCTCAGGGCCTATTCATTGGTCATTGGCGTAAATAAAAATTACAATACAATTTTTAGGTTTGGATTTATGTTGCTTCTGTGGGGTGAGGTACAGTTGATGAAAACAATTGTAATGAACAAGTCTTTAACAAGGCATTACTATTAACTCTTTTGACATAGGTCAGACCAGAGTTGCTCATCAAGTTACATTCAAGTCTGACTCCCACCTCATCCTGGATCTGTGTAGTCCTGGCTTTGGGCCTTCATTCAGCATCATATCGAGTATGTTTTAGAAATAAATTTGTACACATTTCCCTCACGAAGCAATTTTTCCATGTTACTGGCCCAAATTAGTTCTCCAAAAAAATGAGCAGTCACATATTCTTTGGCAATATTTTTGGAACCACTACCATAATTTAATAAAATGTTTCAAAATATGATTGATTTTGGAGTTCCATTTGTAAATTAAACCACTGGAGGTGTCTTCAGGGGATGGAGTACAATTTTTATCCAAGATGGGGCAAAATCACAGTCAAATAATGACGAAATATATCACATCTGGGCTGCTAGATAATATGTTTTTAAGTTGGGTGACCAAAAACCTCCTTGACTATAATCGCCAGTTAATGCTCACATTAACACACTGGGTATTTTACAGTTCCATAAAAACTGACTGATGTGTTTGTTGAAGGTTTTAAAAAGTATTTGAGGTAATTGAATGGGTAAAGACTATTCACATAGAGGGTTGTAAATTCCTACAAGCATTCAAACTTTCATTGTTTACTTGTTTGTTTACTTTCATTGTTTTCTTGTGAAACAGCACATTGACAATTAGCATATTGACTGGACACTAATTATGAGACATTTAGAATTTGGTTATTGTTCGCTGATCCCCTCTTGGTGTCCTGTTGTTCATATGTATCATTGAATCAGCAACTTGTTTTCATACTTTACAAAAACATAAACAACAACATGCAGTTCTATTCCTCACCTGATCACAGATGGGCCTGTTGTCATTGGTGTCTATTACTGTCACCTCCACCGTTGCCTGGGAGACAAAAAGTCCATCGCTTGCCGTGACATTGATAATGTAGAGATTGCGATCCTCCCTGTCCAGTGGCCGCTTTACATACATCTTCCATTCCCCCTGAACTAGGCCCAGCGCAAACACCCCACGATAGTTCCCACCTGGACAACACAAAAGCAGAGACAGGCTCAGTGAGATCCAGGATCAAGAACATTTCGGACATCTACAGTTTATGACCACTGTTCATTCTTTTTGTAAAGGGAATTAAGGTAGTTATTACATTGACATTGGAGCCTCCAGTTTGGGTCTGTGACTGCAGCTCACATCTATCTTCTACTGGATGTTTTTTGTCTAATTCTATCCATACTTATAAGTGGCACAGAAATTGGTGTTGCAGCCTGGATAAATGTTGGACCATAACAATGAGAAATGACTGGTCTGCTATGTAACCAATTAAAATCTAAAATAGAACTCATATCTTTTTTCAAATCCCTGTTCATTTATGGTTTAGAGAAACTGCTATCTGCGTATGGATTGTGTAAATTAGCAATGTGTGAAAATAAAGACTTACTTTAAATTGTATCACTACAATTGTATCATTAAGCTGGCCAAGCTCACCGTAGCAGAACTTAAATAAATAAATAAATGGATAACTCTTGTTATCAGAGTTGGGGGTCCACTGATTGTTGCAAAACATTTAAAAAACACTCATTCTGATTCATGTAAAGATATACTCATTATGGTGACAATCATAAACTGTAATTCTGCATAATGGTTTGTAACGCTGCTGAATTTTTTTGCCATTTTTTGATACAGTTACTCACCAGTGATGTGGTAGCTGACTTGACGGTTAACGGCAGAGCTGTCATCATCTCTGGTGTTCAGCACAGCTACCACCTCGCCTGGCGGGTCGCTTTCTTGAACTGAACCAAAATAGCTTTGCTCCAGGAACATTGGGGGGTTGTCATTGATGTCTGACACTGCTATGGTCACAGTTGTGGTTCCGGAAAGAGAAAGGGTCTCCCCAAGGTCTGAGGCCACTACCAAGAATGTGTAGGATGGATTGGTCTCATGGTCCAAGTCCTTTCGTGTAGAAATCCAGCCTGTGTTGCTGTCAATGCTAAAGGTGTCAACCACTGTGTCCAAGTCCCCAGTTGACTGGATGAATGTCCCAAGGTGATATGTTACCTGGCCATAGGCCCCTGAGTCTTGGTCTAGTGCTTGTACTTGAATGATTCTGGTTCCAATGGACATTCCCTCCATAACCGTGGCCTCATAGGAGTTGGTCTCAAATGCTGGTTTGTTGTCATTAAGATCCAACACTTTGACTTCAACATAGATAGAAGTCACATAATCCACTTTAGCCTGTTGTACAGTGGCAGTAACTTTCAAATGGTATTCTTTTACCATCTCATAGTCCAAAAGCTTATCAGCCATGATGACACCTGTATCCCTTTCCACCACAAACACTGCGTTTTGGTTGTTTTCTACAGTCTCTCCATTGACAAGGGCAAAAGTAGCAGGAAGGAAGGTATATCCGGAAGAAATGTTAAGGCGCACAGTCCCTATAGCTGAACCTATGGGGGTGTCCTCTGGCATGCTAAAAAAGTATTGATGTTGGCTGAAGGAAGGAATGAAGGCATCTGGAGAAAGCACATGGATGTAGACCGACACTAAAGAGTGCCGGACTGGATGTCCTCCATCCACAGCCTTTACAAAAAAGGATAACACAGAGTTCCTTAAGTGGCTGAAGCTACCTTTAGTCACCATCCATCCGTTGTCTGGGTCTATCTCTAAGATGTCCACCACAGGGACATGTGCTTCACTGTAAAGTGAATATGTCACTTTGGCATTAGTCCCATCATCAGGATCATGTGCCTGAATTTGTGTCACCAAAAAACCTTTGGACACATCAGATTTGACTGAAGCTCTGTATTCTGTGGCACGGAAGCAAGGGACATTATCATTATCATCTAACAGAGTAACTTGTACTGTGCAGTAAGAGACACGTCCACCGGGGTCCTGGGCTGCCACAGCCAGGACAATGTCCTTATTGGCTGGGTCCTCACGATCAAGCTTTTCTGCAGTGGTGATCTGTCCATTTTCATCAATGCTAAATTGGTCCTTGCCCACATCATTAACAAAGGAATAAATTATGTGATCCAACCAAGGGTCTGCATCCGTTGCCTTTACCTGAAATACAAAAGTTGTATAATACAGACATTAGAATTCATGATAACCGTAAAGCACTATCAATGTGTCTTGAACGGAATTATGCAAAAGAAAACGTATTTAAATGAATTTCAACATAACTTACTTGTATAACTTTGGTTCCCACAGCAGCATTCTCTTTTAACTCAGCCTCATACATATTTTGTCCAAACACTGGACTATACAAGTTGGCCCCCAACACCTTAATGTGAACCTGTGCAGTGCTAGTAAACACCCCATCGGATACGGAAACATTGAGGCTGTAGACAAGATCCATTCTTTGTTTACGGTGGCCGGACACGGTGAGGATTCCTGTATTATTGTCCATTAAGAAGTTAATTCGTTCATTTCCTGACAAAATGCTGTATTCCAACTTTTCAAAATCTGAGCTATCAGCATCTGAGGCCTGGACACATGTAACAAAGTGACCCCTTGGTGCTAACTCATTAACATATGCCTCATATAGCAGCTGATTGAAAACTGGTGGATTGTCATTCATGTCATTCACTACAATAATAACTGATACTTCACTACTCATTGGTGGGAAGCCATTATCAGTGGCCCTGACAATGAAGTCATACTTTTGGACAAGTTCATGGTCTAGCATTCGTGCGCTCAAGATTAACCCACTGCTACTATCTATGTGGAAGTAGTCTGTGCTGTTATGCTCATCTGAGAAAATCTGGTAGCGGACAACATTATTCTTTTCTGAGTCTTTATCGGTGGCGATAACTTGAAGTGCTGGAGTTCCAATCATGACTGTTTCAGACAAAACTACCCTGTAGGACATTTTCTGGAATATTGGTTGGTTATCATTTACATCCTGGATTACCACATCTACATCAACCTCAGCACGGGCTCCAGTGAGATAGTCTGTGGCTCTGATGGTCAGGTGGTAAGATGCTGCTGCTTCATAGTCCAAAGAGTGGATGACACTTATAACTCCAGTATCAAAACCAATGTCAAACTGAAGAGATGGGTCCCCGTCAACTATAGTATATATAATATTTTGACCTTCAGGACTAGTGGCATTTATGCCAAGGATTGGCGTGTGCACAGCCACATCCTCATTCACAGAGACTGAATAAAACGGTTTGTCAAAGACAGGCATAGCTTTGTTGACTACCGTAATAGGGAATTCTATAGTAGATGAAATAGGTGGATAACCACCATCTCTGGCATATATCTCCATCTGGTATTCCATGTTTGACAAGTCAGACTCAAAGGCCTTCTTAAGGCTAAGACCACCTGTCTGCTGGTTGATCTCAAAATGGCCATGGTCATCCTTGAGATAGTAAGATACTTCTCCATTAATCCCTTTGTCACAGTCTACTGCCATGACTCTGAAAATGGATGATTTTGGCTGAGCATCTACCTGAACAGCTGCATAATAAGGTAGTCCAACAAACACAGGGGCGTTATCATTTATATCCTCCACGTGGACAGTAACCATAACTCTGGCCACATGAAAACGGTCATGCTCCCTTCTTGCTTCGACAACAAGTTCGTAGAACTCGTGCTCTTCACGGTCAAAGGGTATACCTGTGGTTTGAATCACACCAGAAGTTGGACTGATTTTGAAGCCTGTGCCAGCGTTCAACAAGGTGTACTTCAATGGTTCATTGAGACGGTTTCCCACAGCATTGACCACAGCCACTTTAGTGATATTTGACACATTCTCTTGGATAGATGAAGTGTAAAGGCTATTAGTAAAGCTAAGACCAGAGTCCAGAGCTTTTCTGACAATAATGGTCACCAGAGCTGTGCTGGAAAATTTCCCATCCGAAACTTTGACACTGAAGCGGAAACGTTCTTTGGAGAAGTTGTTGTCTTTGACTGTAATAACTCCATTGGAAGGTTTGATGGCAAAGTACTGAAGTACTCCATCAGTAAGAGAGTATGTGAGCCCGGTGGGGACATCTTCATCCGGGTCCATGGCCGAAACTTGCAAAGCTTCTACTCCAACATAGGTGGGGAGTAGCAGAACTGTTTCATAGGCATTCTGGGTAAAGCGAGGTGGTGAATCATTTGTGTCAAGAACTTGTATTGTGACCTCCGTTGGACTCTCTGCAGTTAACTGTGACTTGCCGTTGTCTCTCACATGAACGTGGAAGTGGAAAATGGCAAATGTCTCATGGTCTAGATTAGCAATGGTTCTGATGGAGCCAGTACCTAAGTCCACTGTGAAGAATGTCTTTGCGGTCTCCTCAACAATCTGGTAGACTAAAAGAGCATTTTGGTTACGGTCAGCATCTGTTGCCTTGATAACAAGAGGTGAGTCATCTGAGTTCAAGACTAAGCTGTTGACGGGTGCTGCCTCGCTGATGCTGCCATGATAGTGAAGCTGCTGAAAAACTGGAGGGTTATCATTCTCATCAACTACTTGAATTATCAGAGTGACATTAGAGGCCATGCCAGCCATGTTGGTAGCCTGGACTATCAATATGTAAGATTCTGTAGTCTCATAGTCTAAAAGCTTTTGGGTAGAAATCACTCCACTGTACTGATTTAACTGGAAAACCTGATCTGTGTTGCCCTGCTTGATATCATAAGTAAGGGTGGACTGGCTGGCTGCACTGACTGTGGTAATGGAGGTCCCCATCACAGCCATCTCTGTGATTTCAGCCTGGTATTCAGGCTGAGGGAACTTTGGGCCGGCATTGTCGGAGAGGGTGACGGCAATGCGCACTGTAGTGGTGGTTGACAGAGGAGGGGAGCCATTGTCAGTGACTCTGATGGTAAGAACATAATATCCTAAACTGGACAAGTCCAGGTCACGAGCAACAGTGACGATACCCAAAATTGGTTCAATATGGAATGTATTTCCAGTGTTTCCTGTTGAAAGATCAAAAACACTTTTATCAAAGTGAAAGTATATATTTACTATTTCAAGTATTAAGCTTTAGAAGGTGCCTACCCGCTTCAATAGAGTAATGTAGCTCTGCGTTCACGCCTTTGTCTTTGTCCAAAGCAGTCACCTGGACCACAGCTGATCCCACTGCTGCTGACTCATAGACTGAGCCTTCATACAGTGCACTGGTAAAGATGGGTACATGGTCATTTATATCCTCCACTTCTATTAGCACACGTGCCAGGTTCTTTCTATATGGGAACTCTTGGTCCTTCACCTGTAGAGAAAAAAACAAAAACTAAAAAAAACGAAGATAAAAATAATTGAGTGTGGCCAGCGAAGCTGAGCCAAACTCCTTGTAATCTCACATAATTATTATTATTCTCTATTATTCTCCTTCCGTACAGAAGTTTGGCACGCACCTCCTCCCGCACCATTAATCGGAATTGTCTCATAATAGTGTAGCGACCCTGTTCAGCAGTGTGTTCTGTCAGTTTCATGTCAGTCCCCTCACGCTGGCCAATCAGGGGGAGTTGCGGTTCATGCTAGACAGGGGGTGGCCAGTGATTGGGGGAGACGGTGGGAGGCGGGTGTTCCCGTTGTTTTGGGGAGCTAGTCAAGTTTGGGATATTTTGCCTAGTTATTTTGTGTCTTATATATAATATATTTACTCTGGTGCTCCATTATATATACACACACAATTCTTTAGTTTAAATGACAACGAAATAAAACTATTAAAATGCATTAACAAGACCAAGTCATCAAGTCAGCTGCTGTTCCAATTGCGGAAATGACCGTTCTCCTGAGTCTATTCTCGCGGGAACGCAATGCCAACTGGGAATAGAAGGTAAACTTTGGATGCTGTAAACGTTCAACTTGACGAATCAGACTAGAGTTTCTAATAGGAGAATTGTAAATGGGTCAAGTATGTTAGATAGCCTTTGTGGCTAGTCTTCACTTGCCTGCTTGGCCGTTTCATGCACCGGCACCAGCGGGCAGTCAAGGCCACACTCTTAAAATTACTGCAGAATTTTCTAGTTGAGTGTGGCTAACGAAGCTGAGCCAAACTCCTTGTAATCTCACATACTTCTTCTCTATTATTCTCCTTCCGTACAGAAGTTTGGCAGGAATCTCCTCCCGCACCGTTGCTCGGAATTGTCTCAAAATAGTCTCAAACTGTCGATACCCATCGGGAATCATGTGCTATTATGGGAATAAGAGAAATGACTTACGGTTTTCCCAATGTAAGCACATTTCGAGCACCATTGGAATGAATGAAGTATTCATGTGTGTGGGTTTGAAATAAAAACCCTGTTTACTCTACTAGTGTACAGCAGGGCTGTTAGACCAGTGGAAAGGCTTTCTGCTTTGGATGTGGAGGACCTGGGTTTGAATCCCACATGTTCCATTCTGCATTTCTTTTAGTCTAGCTGACATTACGGCGGCGATGGGGGTGGGGCGACGACGGCGGGGGGCGCTAGCATGATGCTAACATGGCGCTAGCTAGCATTGCATTAGTAATACCAGGACCCAACTGCTGACAATTGGCTAAAACAGCCAGAGAAAATGGGTCGTGCCTTTAGTTTGTTAGCTATCCTTTTTGACTAGCCTTCACTTGCCTGCTTGGCCGTTTCATGCACAGGCACCTGCGGGGAGGCTAGGCCACACTCTTAAAATTTCTGCAGAATTTTCTAGTCTAAACCTAGAATCTATAATATAGCCAGTGGTTTTCCAAAGTATTACAAACACAAAAATGGAAACCCCTACTCTCTCACTTTCATTTGAGAAAGTGATTGCCCAACCTATGGAAAATCAGTACTGGATAAACAGATCAATTATATCAATTGCCTCTCCTAACTGGTTGGAAAACAACCTAAAATGTATTTGTCCTGTGGAATTCCCATTACAATACAATCAAGTCTAAATTATGGCACATACAGGAAACTTGTTGTTAATCCTTTGGAAAAATGCAGTATTTTGCTTTAATAATATGACTGGTTGTGACCACACTGACAAATTTACATTTGGTTGTATTTTCTATACTAAGAATTATGTCAGCAAAAAGGTATGTTCTGTGTTTTAGCCCAAAGAGATATAAAGCCCTGGATTCTGACATTGGTATAGGCAGTGAAATAGACTTACAATCACAGTGAGGATGTGCTGAGCACAGGCCTCGTGGTCCAGCCTCTGTGCAGTGTAAATGGTGCCCACGGTAGGGTGGATGCGGAACAGACGCATGCTACTTGAATCTATTGAGCTTTGCAGAGAATAGGTCAGCCAGTGATGCTCATCGCGGTCCGTTGCCAGAACCTGGACCACCTCAGTGTCAGGTGGCGTGTCTTCAGATATAGTGACATCATAGGTTGGTTGAGAGAAGATTGGAGCGTTGTCATTGTTGTCCATAACAGTGATGTGAACCTGGTAAAGGAACGGTCATATAGGCTAATTTAGGAATGGAAGCGAAAGATGAAAGAAGACATCCTTGACTGAGTTGTATAATCCTGCTCTTGATAGTTTGTAAAGAAGAATACATATTTTGCCTTATTATTGCAGGTATTGGGAATATAGATGTTTCCTCAAGCAGAGAACATGAGAATAGCATTAGAATTCCTACAATTTGCTATTTCGCATAGTTCGTATATGAACTTAATTTGGTTGGTGCATCTTTTCTTATGACTCAACCTTTACGGAATTTCAACACTGGACAGACAGGTGGATGTCTCATATCCCACACTAACATTATTTTAAACTTTCCAATACAACCCATCTCGTAAGATAAAAATCTAATTCATATTCTTTGCCCATATCAAATAATTGAAAATAACAAAACAAAGGTTACCTGTGTGTATGCAGTGTTAGTGCCATCGGTGGCCTGCACTGTCAGGTTATAGAAGGAGCGCTGCTCGGCATCCAGAAGCTTGGCGATGACGATTGTGCCCACAGCCTTTTCGATGGCAAAAATGCTGTCGCTGTTCCCACCTGCTCAACGAGAGCACAGACTCTCAATAAACACCAGTTATGATGAATATATGCAAATCCACAAACCCAAAAGCTGCCTGTATAGACCAGTGGTTTTCATTTATGTGCAACCATGTGCTGAAGCATGCCAGATCATTTATTCACTGTATTTATTCTACATTGATATTATTTGGAGTGTGTGATGGCATAAATGACGGAGTGGTGTCTCCTAGCCCTCCCTCCACAAACACACTCACATACACACGCACACCCACGTAAGCCTTGGCTGAGTTGTGGCGGGCTAATGCAGTGGCTGAGGTATCTTTTTGATGGAGTCGCCACTGAGGAATCCTATGCAGTCTGCTACACACACACACACAAAATCCTCACAACCACGCACCAACCAAGACATCCACTCAACAGAGGATACCAAATGCAGTTAAGATTAGATAAACCATTTTTATGACAAAACCGACAGATGCTAATCAGACAAACACACATTGATCCTGTAGGTTCCAAATGGAATAAATCCATTCCCCCTGTACACAGAGCAGGCTAGTCCTCATGGTTCACAGCTGCTTTTAAAAGACTGTTTGCAAGAGTATGTGGAGCTAGTGTGTGTGTGTGTGTTTGCGCCCTGGAACATGGCCCTTTGTGTCCTCCAGTCTCTGCTTGTCGAGCCCATTTGAAGAAGCGCAGAGCCTCTGAGTTCACTGATCTTTGCATCATAGTTTTTGCAGTAAAGCAGCTCTGCTGAAATGGCCTGGCCCAACCCTTTGGTTCCCAGATTGACGGGGTAGTCTGCACATATGTATTCAATGTCCACAGAAAATAAATAGTGCACTGGACTGAAGAGGTAGACTGGCACAGAGTTGGCATTTGAATACACGGTCTATACCCTGGTGTCCTGTGACATTGTGGAACTGAGTCAAAATTCACTTCAAACCTTTTCATTTACTTATTATTTTTAATTCTGAAAAGTGCTTCATGAAGGCAAGCATTAATCACATAGGGATCACAAGTGTGTGTAAAGGTGCTTATAACAATTCATTAGACATTAACGCTCGCTGTGATACTTCAGCTTATGTCGTATTTAAGTAACCTGCAGCTCATTAGGTAATCAGCAAATTTCTCGGTTTCTTCCATTTAAACGCAAACTTTAATGGGCCTCCTTCTCTCATGGATCAGCCTATGTCGCTGTCTGGCTCGGATTACTGTAGCTATTTCACCACTAGGCATATGTGAGGAAATCTGTATTCTGGTTTATGTACACCTGCTTTTAGGAGTCGCAAAGGTGCGCTTCCACGGGCGGTTTCTGGATTTACCGCGAAATACATAATTGGGTGCACTTTACGCATCCCCTCCCATCTTTTTATGGAAAACTCACACTTTCCCATTGACCCTCCCATGAATGCACATGCATGTCACGGAAAAACACCTTTTCAGTTTCCGTGTCAGGCAGTCCGCGCTTTCACCTCAGCTTAACGGCTTGTTTGTACATTTGTACATACATCGCCATGCTTTTACGCGCACGTTGTGAAACAAATACACCTGTGGGTAAAGTGGGTGCAAAAGCATTAGTACATAAGGCCCTGAGAGTGGATACACACTAACATAGACGCAAACCCTCGTCGTTTCAGGCTGACCTTTGTGGTTGATTTCACTCTGCTAACTGCCTCCAGCCAACAAAACAAAGGAATATGTCAGCACAGGGGGGCATGATGAGCATCAAAGAAAATGGAAGGAAAAAGAAAAGGAAGACCGCTAACAGGGGTAGTGGAAGTTGGAAACGAGATACCTTCTGAGGAACAGTTCCTGCCACAAGAAGTCTGCAGTATATAGAACATCTCACGGAAAGACCTGGGACCTTCCAGGCATGAAGCATTGAGGAGAGAGAGAAAAGAATAGGTGAGAGAAGGACCAACAGGGTCTGGTAAAGAAAAAAGAGGATGCCATGGAGAGCAAAAGGGGTGAGGAGACAGACAAACGAGACAAGACGGGAACAGCAACGACCGAATATCAGCCGAATTTCAGCTCTGAGGAATTCATTAAGAGGAAAGTGTCAAATTTGCCATTTTCTCAACAAATAATGCAGCTCGGTCGGTCTTTACTTACTTACCTTCACTTTTTCATGGACAACATATAAATATCCACTTGTTACACGCGCCGTGTGTTTTCAAAACTGAACAAATCATTCAAGTGAATAAAGGCTGACGTGTCAAAGTGTTATACATGTGTTAAAGAAACAACGGTCTGTGTTTTTTTTGCTCGTCCACCTCCCCTAGCATCCTGCATGGACTTCCTCTACCTTTTTAAACTCGTTTAGTTGCCCATGATGCTGCTAGGAAGAACTGATACATTGTGGAGACTCTAGTTAATCTACAGTGGGCTGATTTAAGCCCCTGTCACTGTACATATAGCATTGAATGGGGTTACAAACTAATGAAATAAGAATGATTATTACTGCTTATTATTAGAAATATTAAATCATTTTCAACACACGCAAATAGTCATCATACATAATATGTGAAAAATTGAACTTAGAGCACGGAGCATGACATACTCTTGTTAAGTTGTTCAAGTGAATGTGAATGTTGACGGATCCAAGGGATTTAAGTGCTTAACTTTATAGGGTAATGTCAAACTGTATTTAAAATCTGTCTCAATGGTCCTGTCAGGGACCAACCAGGCTCCATCACCACACAATCACAGAGATCGCTGTCACCAGAGTCCTAATCACCCACACGTCATTAATTCATCAACTGTCAGCACAAAAGCACGATCCTCACACAGTCACTTTGTCTGGTCTCGTTTCTGAGTAAGGACTCTCGTCGATGCACCTCTCACCTAATCCAATTCGGTATAGTGTGCTATCTGCCTACCCGCAGTGTGTGTCTTCCACCTCCTCAACGAGAACGACTGTCAGTATTCCGATTCTCTTCATCCACATTTCACTTATTCTGATACCCTCACCGTCCAGTTCGCATTCACTTCTGCAGTCAATAAAACTCTAGTTATTAATATCTCCCTTGTTGTGAGTCTCTGTTCCGTAACAGGTCCTTAGTGAGAGCTAGCTCATCCTTCTTCCAAGCACAGACATTATGGAAGAATTTATATACGTAATAACAAATAATAACACTATGTAATAATGTGACATTCACAAAAGGTCCTCAGAGAACGTGAAGATGCTTTCGATTAGATTGCTTTTTACCTTTAGTCAATTCATAAAAGTTCTGCCAACTTCTGTCACCACCTTTCCTTGACAGCATACTGACCTGACAGCTGTGGAAGCTGTCACCATGGATTTGGATGGGCTGAGCCAAACAGGTCATGCAACAAGGCCACAGTGTCTGAGCCGCGAGTCAAACAAACGCCAACACACTCATCCTCCAAATAAAGTGACTGAGGAGAGCGAGATTTTACCTGTAATGTCAAACCACAATGGGGCGGAGCTCTGCTGCAGGGACACCAAACCCACTATCTCTGCCACCTTGTCATTCTCCATTATGGTGAAATTGTAGAATGGCTCATCAAAGAGTACTGGGACTGTTGAGGGAGGAGATCGACGAATCCACTCGATATGCAGGCGAGCTGTGGAGGATTTCTGAGGGCGCCCGTTGTCTGTCGCTTTGATCTGAAGAACACAGAAATTTGATTGTAAAGTAGAGGCTTGATGAAGAGTCCGCCCCACTTGTTTCTTGATTGTAAAACAGAGAATAAAAATAGGTATTTTTATTGAATTCCTTTTTTTCAGACACCAAAAAGAAACTTTGGCAGGGTGTCAAGTAGACCCCAAAATAACATCCAGTGATAATGGTTTCAATACGCAACCTTTAATAGAACTTTCCCCTATTTTCCACCAAATAAAATTGGTCTTTAGTAGTTTAGTGTGGAGACTTGATCCACATGATAGTTTTGTAATTGATGTAGATTCACTATTGAAGTACAGATTGTGTTTCTTGAACTGAACTAATGCCAAATATAAGGAGAAAATCCATAAAGTCCTTAAATGAGGAGGCATGATAATTTAATAGATATTCTAGATGTCCTTACAAATGTTGGAAAGCATGCCTAATAATTAATAATGGTATGCATACAGTCAGAATGTCGTAGCTCCCTGCAGTGAAGGCCTTGCGTGAAGATACAACTGCCGTCTTGGGGTCGATGAAGAACTTCCCCTCCTCGTTTCCGTCCACGATGCTATAGGAAAGGTCGCTGTTGGGCCCTTCGTCACGGTCGTAGGCGAACACCCGATAGATGGGCTCCCCCTTCTTTCTCCGCTCTCTCTCTGGAAGTTTGACCTGGTAGACTTTCTCAGGAAATGTGGGCTTGTTGTCGTTTTCATCCAGGATTTGAACCATCACCCACACTGTACTCTGCCTTGGAGTAGGACCACCATCCAACACCAGTACCTGAAGAGGCATTGACGGGCTCATTTTAAACATATACAAATGTATTCCAATTCAGCAACATAATCTTAGATCAAGAGCCGAAAGGCCAGGTTTAACCACAAATCAAGCAGTTTGATGTCTAAGAGGTTTAAATAATGGTGCTTCTGGAAGTAAACATAGTTCATCTTTTTTGCTTTTTAACCATCCAAAGGTTAAAAAAAGGTAAATCATGACATTTGCCTAAAATGCCAGTCAACGTCAATCATTTGAAAGTAAATTGACCAAATAAACTGAAACCATTTTAAGGAGTGGATGCATTGGTCAGTCAGAAATAATTAATTAATAAACTCTGTGTTAGGGTTAGGGTTAACCCTAACAAGGTGACAGTCTCCTTCCTCAAGCATAGAGTCAACACTGCTTTCTTCTGGTTTATACAATGTTAAACTAAAAATCTTTAAGTGGATGTCATCCAATGTATGGGGAGTATGGGAAAACCATGATAGTTTTGTCAGACAATCTAAAGAACAAAGAACATTCTGAGCAGATTATACTCTAAATGTTTTGCAGCCCCACAAAGAATTGTGTCACTCAGAGATTACTAGCATTGGTGGTGTGAAGGAAAAAGAAGAAATATAATGTAATGACTTAATTGCACAGTAACCTCATGTCAGGGGGTGAGGGTGGAGGCAGGACTCAAGACGCAGAGTTCAAAACAAAAGGGACTTTAATAGTCAAAGGTCGAAAATCAAAAAGGCCAAGGGGCAAAAACACACAGGCATGCAACTCAAGAGACACGGACATGCGTGGCGAAAGACAATGACGCGACAAGTGACACAAGAGACACACGGCTTAAATACACAAGGGAGGTGCAGGTGATTGGACACAGGTGGAAACTATTAGACGATCACAGGGGATGACGGGACAAGGCAGGAAGTGAAGTTACCCGGGGACACGAGTGGCAGAAAACTACAAAATACAACAGGAAGTGAAACCACACCGTGACACCTCAGCACCAGTGTATGAATCCTATTTGTTGCTCTCCTCTGTCAGTCTTTGACTAATACTATGAAAAAGGATATTTTGTTTGCTTCGATAATTACTTCTGAGGCTGCTAAAAGGTATTTTAAAAAGGGGATCACTGCGAGGTGGAACTAGCCAATACAGACTTTTCCCCCTTTATCCTAAATTTATAACAATTCTGTCAAAAGTGCAATCGTCATGCAGTCCTTCATTATGCATCATATTCACAACACAGCATCAGTTCATTTTCCCTGGGCTCATGGCTGGCTTCATTTAAGCATGCCATTTGTCATTTTACACAATGCCAGATATGAGAAACTTCAGTGATTGTGAAGAAAGAGTTATCCCTAAAATGGCTTGTTGGTTGCTGACTAGATCAGACAAAAGGGCTGGAGAGAACACGCCCACGTCTGTCCTTGAGAACTGAAATTGATTTAAGACAAATAATTTTTTTGATTAAGACACAAATATTTAAATACTACTTTGATTCAACCATTTTACATCAAGTAAAGAAAAACATCAGCTATGGTAGAAAAGCCATATGATGCATGGGCGTAAATTCCGTCAGGAAGACAAGCTGAACAAGTTTGTGCGTTTGCGGGTTGCCTCCTCTCTTCCTGTGGTGATGCGGTTAGCTGATTGAGGGTGGGCTCGTTTAGTAATAGCCAACCAAACGCAGGCACCATTAACGTAAACCAATTGCATTGGTGCTGTCAAATCTTTAAACCCGTTCATCTCGCTGCTGCTGTTAGTTGTCATTTCAGCATGCACCAGATGCAACCCCCTTGACACCTCCAATCAGCAGCAATTGGACTCTGACAGCAGGTTGATACAGACTGCATGGCTACCAGTAATTACTATGAAAGACCCAGTCGCAAGAGACTCATCTAATAGGGAGATATTATTACATTCATATAAAAATTGTTGAATTTGCATTCACAAACTGGCTGTTATGTTTGAACTTCACTGCATTTGCATGTAAGTTCTTTGAGGGAATCAGATATCTTTGTTTCCAAGCAATCGCATGAGCTCACCCTCGGAGGGAATACTCTTACGTAATACACAGGTCAGGAACGGGGTGTAGAGAGAAAGTAGTATACATGTCAGATAAGATAATGTCAGAATTGGTTGTCCAAACATTTGACTTGTGCATGTTGGGGTTGGAAGCAGAAAAGCATGCCTAGTGTTAGAAATTATAGTGTGTGTGATATTACACATTTTGATTGTTTTTTGTGATATAAATTAGACTTATAATAGACGTGTGTGTATATATACATTTTATATCTTGTACATCATCCAATTCTGTACACAAGACATCCATTCTATTCCGTCTACCCAGAGACAGAATAGAGAGGCGTTTGTTTTGGGAGGTTTTCCTGTGTCGAAGGTTTCATGCCAGAGAATGTTGCATGTTTACAGTTTGAAGGGCTCTGTGCTGCCATATAAAATTAGTTTGAATATATGTTTATGATGTTATAATTAGGATATTAGAAATATGAAGAATGATGTCATGTTGGTAGTATTAGTAATTATTAGTAATATGATGTGTTATAACATGTTATGATGTGCTAGGTATTGAATGATTAATGTGATTTGTTATACAACATCACATATTGTGTTTACTCAAAGAAGCTTTAGGCAAAGGTATAATCATTGAATGTGTTGTGTTATTGATGGAGTTGAGGATTATTTAGGTCAGTGAGGGATTGCAGATTCGATATTAATCTTTTTGACGCCGTAGGCTGGTTTTGGCCTCAGCTTCGAAAATAGCACACCCATTATAAAAAGTTGGCTGGCTTAAGATCATTCATTTCTTTATAAATTGACTTCACATTGGCCAATTCGCGTCACTCCAACACTCCATACATATCGATGTATTTAATTAGCCTGAATATGATGAAAGTCCTGCGCAAATGATCAACAACTTTCCCAGGCATTAACACGGAAAAACGGGTAGACCATCACATGATGCGCAAGATTTTTGATTGGCTCAAAAAATTGATGATTTTGTTTATTTTCGAGGACATAAGGACGAACACATTTACTTTGTCTGTTTTTCCGCTAAGGAACTCACTTATCATCCTGCAGCTTAAAACAACTGATCTGAAGATCTGTTTGAAACACTGACTGTGGCCACCAAAAAGTAAGAGGCTGGTTTTCTGGGACGATTAACGTAAGCATGTTTATAACAATTTATAGGCTATGTTTAAATTCTCCTACTGGAGATTTGAGGTCACTGAATGTTACCAACAGAATAGTTTTTGATTATTATTTAGATTACCATTCATTCAGTAAACAAAAAGTTGGAATTGGATCAGTTAAAAGGCTGGAGCCACACTCTGGGCCGTACGCCGACAGTCGGGTGAGAGACTGACAATCTCCTGGACCTCTCTGTGAGATCTGCCTTGTTTTTTTCTTTCTTATGTTTAGCCATATTGTGTTGTTAACCAACAACCCATAACCACATACACATAGTGTTTATGTTTAATAATAAGTAGAGTTGTCCTTCCTGTTTTCCTTCTTTGTCCTGTTTCAATTACTACACAGACATACACACACAGACACACACACACACACACACTATATTCTCACCTCTAAAACGTGTTCGGTTTGTTGCTCACGGTCAAGTTTCCTTGAGGTTGTAGTGATCAAACCTGAGTCAGAAAAGAGCAGAAAAAACAATGATATCGTAGTTGGTTCTAGTTGTTAGACACTGTAGCTTTTTCTACTAACGTTGAATGACAGAAATCCCAAATGTGGTTATTGGTGATGTATTGTGTTAGCTTGCTGCTTGAGTAGTAAAGAGGAAAGATGGAGATGTTCTAAAGATCCTGCATGGGTTCAATTAACATCATACCATCATGCACTTGGATGCTAGAATCTTGACATATTTTAGGATAATCATTAATATACATTGAAAATAAGAGTGGCCCCTATACTAGACTCTTTTCGGAACTCTACAACTAGCTATTGACGAACACGACCCACCAACTCTAGTATATTGTTATCTCTTATTCTGTAGGATTCCATCCAGGTCATGACATCGATTGATTGGGTCAAATAATGTCTTAAAATGAATAAAATTATTCCTCCAACAACAGAAATTTGTAACTAAGATCATTTTTCTTTTATTTATTTGGTGTGAAGAAAACTCAACTGTTAAACAACAGTCTAACTGATCACTAACTACCTTTTCTGAAATGTTAGAAGCTTCAAGGAGGATGCTAATAGGTCTAAAATAAATAAAAGATCGTTATTGATCAGATGAGTTAAATGACTAAATCTGCATTCATGAGGATTGATAGCATTTAATTATGGAATTTGAGTTTGGCCGTTTTAATGAGCATTATTATTTTTTTAACCAGGTTGGATAGGTTCTCATCAAGTATAACCAGACCCGTAAGGTAACCCATGCTATGACAGAACACAATCTTTAGCCAATCAGCCCTCCGGGGATAACCACATTCAGCTGCAGGCCATGTGCTTATAAGGGATGAGAGTTCAATCATTATCATTCAGACCCAAAGTTATATGTATTGATGCTTTGGAGATAAATAAATACACTTGTAAGATTGAATTGAATTCAATCTAGTAATTCTACAAATGAAAAAGGCTGGTGTATTTTGTTAGATATTATAAATATTTAATATGATTAATTATTGACAGCTGCTAACTTTGATAACAAAAATATTCCCACGTAGTCCTCACTTCTGGTCATCATACTGTAGCTGTGCGGTTAGTTTTGCTTTATCCAGGAAAAATAATTTAGAATTGGCATTTTACATTTAAAAAAGCAAATAGTCTCTCCCGCAGCTGTAAGAACATTCAAAAAAATAAAAACGGAACTTTTTAAAGTCTGTGACAGGCATTTTGGAGAAGAAATACAAAAGAATGAAGAGCATGAAATTTGTGGAGGAGAAGAATGGAGGGAGTGCAAGATGGCTGCCGGACTAGATATGACCAATAGAGATGATATACTGGCTTGATTAATCCACCACATGTAACACAATCAGAAATTCTTGGTACCCTCCAAAGAACTTGATTTAAACAGTACTTTTTTAGTATTTCATTTTTACATTCCATTAATACTTTTGACATGAGAAGATACTTATTTATTATTAGAGTATCCATTATTCATAATTCATCTAGTTTAATTTTAAACCTGGCGATAAATATTGTTGAAATATTTTCCAATTGAACTTTCTATATTTGATCTGACATGCAGAGATTAATACAACTACTTTTTTTTCAATATAGAGTAAATTATAGAACGAGTGAGAAAATTATTGTCATGCTCCATACGCTTCTCTATAACAGGACCTCGCGGAATTTTAATTGGATAACCTTGGGTTATAAAAAGAGGAAATGGTATGATAATTTAAACTATAACGTTATCAGGCAACTGGAATCTCTAAACCATCCGTCAATGACATAATACTATTCATATTCCTAAATACATGATATTTAAATAAACCTGATGGTTAATAAAAAAGAGTCAATACAAATGCATCAGTTAAATTGATCTGTGATCAAACATCTGTAAATGTTTCTGAATACAACAAATGTTACTCTTTGTAGGTATGATGCCCCGAGTCCAGACTGTCAGTCAATGATACAATCAGAGAGAAACCTATTCAATGATAACATAACTTGAATTGCTACATCAGACATTAGACTGACTTGTTAACGATCGTAGAACATCTAACTGCAGTTTTTGCATCTGTTAGAGCAAATTTATTTGATTTAAGAAGGAAGAGGAGGTGACAACTACAACAACTACACAACACACTCACTCACACACACAGAGGATCTGTTGATAACTGTATCTCTGTGTCCATCCTGGTGTCACGGATGACAACACAAACACACTAATAAACCAATTCTGACCTGAAGATATCAGTGATTATTATAAAAAACACCCATATATTAAGACCCAGACATGCTTACACATATAATTAGATGCTGAAGATAATATTCCATCCATCCATCCATTTTCAACGGCTTATCCGGGGTCGGGTCGCGGGGGCAACAGCTCCAGCAGGGGAGCTTTCCGGCTCAGCACTCTTTTCGTCACAACGGTGCGGTAAAGCGAGTGCAATACCGCTCCCGCTGCTCCGATTCTCCGGCCAAACTCACACTCCATCTTCCCCTCACTCGTGAACAAGACCCCGAGGTACTTGAACTCCTTCACTTGGGCTAAGGACACATTCCCTACCTGGAGTAGGCAATCCATCGGTTTCCTGCTGAGAACCATGGCCTCACATTTAGAGGTGCTAATCCTCATCCCGACCGCTTCACACTCTACTGCGAAACGCTCCAGTGAGAGTCACAGACGGAAGATGCCATCAGGACCACATCATCTGCAAAAAGCAGCGATGAGATCCGCAGCCCCCCGAACTGTAGACCCTCCTCCCCCCGACTACGCCTCGATATCCTGTCCATGAAGACCACAAACAAGATTGGTGACAAGGCGCAGCCCTGGCGAAGGCCAACCCCCACCGGAAACGCCTTCGACTTACTGCCGAGCACCCGAACACAGCTCTCGCTTTGGGCGTACAAGGATTGGATGGCCCCAAGCAAGGACCCCCTTACCCCGTACTCCCGCAGCACCTCCCACAGTATCTCTCGGGGGACCCGGTCATACGCCTTCTCCAAGTCCACAAAACACATGTAGACTGGTTGAGCATACTCCCAAGCCCCCTCTATGATCCTGGAAAGAGTGAAGAGCTGGTCCGTTGTTCCACGACCAGGACGAAAACCGCATTGTTCCTCTTCAATCCTTGGTTCGACTATCGGCCGAACCCTCCTTTCCAGCACCTTAGAGTAGACTTTACCCGGGAGGCTGAGTAGTGTGATACCCCTGTAATTGGCACACACTCTCTGGTCCCCCTTTTTGAAGAGGGGTACCACCACCCCGATCTGCCACTCTTTTGGCACTGTCCCAGACTTCCACGCAATGTTGAAGAGGCGTGTCATCCAAGACAACCCCCCAACACCCATTGCTTTTAGCATCTCTGGACGGATCTCATCAATCCCCGGGGCTTTGCCACTGCGGAGTTGTTTGACTACCTCAGTGACTTCCACCAGGCTAATTGACGATGATCCCTCCTCCGCCTCCAGCTCCGCCTCCACCAAAGAGGGCGTAGTAGTTGGGTTCAGGAGTTCCTCAAAGTGTTCCTTCCACCGCCCGATAACCTCCTCAGTCGCGGTCAACAGGGTCCCATCCTTACTGTACACAGCTTGGATGGTTCCCCGTTTCCCCCTCCTGAGGTGCCGGATGGTCTTCCAAAAACACTTTGGTGCCGACCGAAAGTCCTTCTCCATAGTTACCCCGAACTCCTCCCATACTCGCTGCTTTGCCTCCATCACGGCAGAGGCTGCTGCCCTTCGAGCCTGTCGGTACACTGCAACTGCCTCTGGAGTCCCACCGGATATCATAACCCGGAAGGCCTCCTTCTTCAGTCGGACGGCTTCCCTGACCACCGGTGTCCACCACGGAGTTCGAGGGTTACCGCCCCTTGATGCACCTAAGACCTTGAGGCCACAACTCACCGCCGCGGCTTCAGCAATGGAGGTTTTGAACATAGACCACTCTGGTTCAATGTCCCCTACCTCCACAGGAATGTGAGAGAAGCTCCGCCGGAGGTGTGAGTTGAAAATCTTTTGGACCGGGGCCTCCTCCAGACGTTCCCAGTTCACCCTCACTACACGCTTGGGTTTACCGGGTCTGTCCCGAGTCTTCCCCCATCCTCTGACCCAGCTCACAACCAGATGGTGATCAGTTGACAGCTCTGCCCCTCTCTTTACCCGAGTGTCCAGAACATGCGGCCTCAGATCAGACGATACGATTACAAAATCGATCATTGATCTTTGGCCTAGGGTGCTCTGGTACCACGTACACTTATGAACATCCTTATGTTCGAACATGGTGTTTGTTATGGACAATCCGTGACTAGCACAGAAGTCCAGTAACAAACACCCGCTCGGGTTCAGATCAGGGAGGCCATTCCTCCCAATCACGCCTCTCCAGTTATCTCCATCGTCGCCCACGTGCGCATTGAAGTCTCCCAGTAGGACTATGGAGTCCCCTACAGGAGCCCCATGCAGGACTCCATTCAGGGTCTCCAAAAAGGCCGAATACTCTGAGCTGCTGTTTGGTGCATATGCACAGACAACAGTCAGAGTTTTCCCCCCCACCACCCGAAGGCGTAGGGAGGCGACCCTTTTGTCCACTGGGGTAAACTCCAATGTAGCAGCACTCAGCCGGGGACTTATGAGTATCCCCACACCCGCCTGGCGCCTCACACCATGGGCCACTCCGGAGTAGAATAGAGTCCACCCCCTATCCAGGAGTTTGGTTCCAGAGCCGAGGCTGTGCGTAGAGGTAAGCCCCACCAGATCCAACTGATAACGCTCCACCTCCCGCACAAGCTCCGGCTCCTTCCCCCCCAGAGAGGTTACGTTCCACGTCCCCAGAGCCAGCATCTGCCGCCCAGGTCTGTTCCGTCTAGACCCCCCACTGTCACTGCCACCCTTGTAGCAGCGCACCCGACCCCATCGGTTTCCTCCACAGGTGGTGAGCCCATGGGGAGTAGAGTGTTGGGCTGCCGCGTCACTCCTTCGGGCTGTGCCCGGCCGGGCTCCGCGGTAAACC